TGAATGCAGAACTGTGGACTATTCAGGTCCACTGGTAATCCCAAAGTCTCTCCTGTCACTCAAAGGGTAAAGCAGAATAAATTAGGAAAGGGATCCCTTTTTTTCAATATATGTGGGCTTCTAAAGTCCGCTAGGGGGATAGTTTGAAAATCTTAAAGGTCTAATCAAGTTCAAGTAGACACCTAAATTTCACCCTTCATCATATTTCAATGTATGGATCAGGTTTTGATGGCTTGCTTTTTTTTTTTTTTTTAAGAAAAAAAATCAGTTTTAATTACCTAACTATATATTTGCTTTTCCTAACTATGTCTCAAGTTCCAACTCTTTCATGGAGTACTTTTAGGTTTACCTTGATCTTTTTTAATGTTATTTTTTGTTGATTTCAGAGAGGAAGGGAGAGGGAGAAAGAAAACTAGAAACATCAATAACGAGAGAGAATCATCCATCAGCCTCCTCCTGCACACACGCCCAAAACCCTGGCATGTGCCCTTGACTTGGAATTGAACCTGGGACCCTGAGCCAAACCAGCTAGGGCACATTGATCTTTGCGTTTTATATGCAAGTGTGTTATCCTACTGACTGACACGTTTTTAACTTGAGAGCAGGGACTATGGCTAGTATGTGAGTCATGGAAATGTTGAAGTGAATGTTAGATATATTAAACATGAGAAGGGAAAGAGAATTAGCATTATCTTACATGTCCCTCAGAAAGGAGACCACGTGTTCCTGTCTAATCCTTACAATAAACAATATGTTGAGGTAGATCACCTTAACCCCATTAAAAGCCTGAGGCTCAGAGAAGTCCAGGAAGTTTATCTTTAGGCTTTAGTTTGTCTCTTAAAAACTGAAATTATTTCACTATACCACATTGCCTTCCTGGTAAATTCCACCAGTTTACAAAGAAAGTTACTTATGGTCCCTGCCTTCATTTAGCTTTCAGTAACTGCACTAAGTTATGAATTGTCAGCCAAGCATAGGCAGATTCAATAGAGAAGAAGAGAATCTTCTTTTGTGTATGCCCCAGGTGCTACCAGAGGCCAAAATATAAAATAAAATGACCTTATTGAATGAGTGAATGCTGAATTATTTGTCTCCCCTACCAAGGAAGGTAGGGGAGACAAAATAATGGTTCCTCCAAAGATGTTCATGTCCTGGAACCTATGAATAGATCACACAAGAGGAAATTAAGTATGCAGGTAGAATTGAGGTTGCTAAAGAGCTAACCTTAAAATAGGGAGAATTTCCTGGATTACTTGATAGACTTACTCTAAGAGGAAGATGGGAGTGTTAAAGTGATGCAATATGACAAAAACTTGACCAGTTATTGCAGGTTTTGAAGATGAAAGCAGGCTTCAAAAATTGAAAAAGTTGAGAGAGAAAAAGGCAAGAGAATAAGCTCATCATTTGGAATAATGCTTACTCATAAAGAGAAAGTAAAGGGATAAGGCAGACAAAGAAATTGGTAATGATCTCTTTCTAATGCTAGCTAGTGGGCACATGAATATTTGTTTTGGAGAAATATGTACTGAATATTTTTTTATAGATTTTATTAATTTTTTACAGAGAGGAAGGGAGAGAGATAGAAACATCGATGAGAGAGAATCATCAATCAGTGCCTCTTGCACACCCCCTACTGGGGATGTGCCCGCAACCAAGGTACATGCCCTTGACTGGAATCAAACCTGGGACCCTTCAGTCCGCAGGCTGATGCTCTATCCACTTAGCCAAAGCAGTTAAGGAAACCTTGGCATATTGAGATGACCAAATGACTATGCAGCCAAGGCTTAAAAAATTTATTTTAACATCTGAAGCCTTATTTTTAAAGTTTATATTACAGAGCTTTTCCTACTTATCTATACTGCATTTAGACAATACCCCAGCAAGGAAGCACCATGAAATAAATGTTTATTTGCTTCTATTGCGGGGGGGGGGAGGGGAGGATCTGAGAGCAGTTTAGCTAATACTTGCTGCTAGACAGTAATATCATATAGCCCATCCTGTAAAATCAACTGAACGATGGAATGACCAGTTGCTATGATGTGCACTGATCACCAGGGGGCAGACACTCAACGTAAGAGCTTCCTCCAGCCCAGCCAAGGTGAGTGCCAGCGGGGCCCTCCTGACAGGCCTCGTCCCACAGATTGGCTGACAGACCCCTACCCACGGATGAATTTCGTCATCAGGCCTCTAGTATATCATACAGCTTGAGGACTGATGCCAGGAGAAGCAGAGCAACAGGGAAATACAGATAGACCTTGGAGGTATTGTGGGTTTGGTTCCAGATCACTGTAATAAAGTGAGTACTGCAGTTAAGTGAGTTGTAATCTTTTTGCTGGTGGACAGTGTTGCCTTCCATTTGTAGAAAAACACACCACCTATAAAGCACAATAAAGTGAAGTGTAATAAAATGCGGTATGCCTCTACTGGAACTCTAGGCAGCTTTGAGTGCCTATAACTTTGCTTAAAGAAAACTTTCAGTTAAACCACAACTGCACTTAAAGCACAAATCACAATCCAAATCACAGTACTTTGGAGGTTAGCTCTGATTGGCTCCCCTTTCTATGTTAGTTTCTTATTACTGCTGTAACAGATTACTACAAACTTAGTGGCATAAAACAACACAAATTCGCCACTTGGAGTTCTGTGGTTTAGACACCCAAAATCAAAGTGTCTGCAGGCTTGTATTCTTTCTGCAGGCTCTGGTAGAGAATCTATTGAGGGGTTTGTGTGTGTGTGCTTTTTTTTTTTCTTTCAGTTTTACCAAATATGTATATACTAATAGCCCTGTGCGTGAATCTGTGCGCCAGTAGCTCTCTGCTGCCCTCCTATTGCTTTCCTGTAGCTTCTCCCCTCTCTCTCCCCACCTGTAGCTTTTCAACACCCGCTTGTGTAGGTCGCTGCCCCACCCTCCTGCATATCTGCCACCCAGTCGTTTAAGGGGAATCAATCAATGGCAAAAGTATAAACGACTAGATCAAATAATTAGCATATTCCTCTCTTATTGTGTAGGATTCCCCAAATAATGAATTAAGCTTTATATATTTAATTTTTTTAATCCTCACCCAAGGATATTTTTTCCATTGATTTTTAAAGAGTGGAAGGGAGGATAGAGGGAGAGAGAAACATGGATGTGAGAGACACATTGGTTGCCTCCTACACACTCCCAGACTGGGGCCAAGGATTGACCCTGCAACCCAGGCATGTGCTCTTGACCAGAAATTGAATCCAAACACGAGACCCTCAGTCCTAGGGCCAACGCTCTAACCACTGAGCAACTTTATGTTTGGAATTTTATATGTTACATCATGCTGTATATAATAGTTTTCACTCAATATTATTTTTTTGTTTTTTAATCCTCACCTGAGAATATGTTTTTTATTGATTTTTTAGAATGAAAAGGAAGAAAGAGAGAAGTATTAATCCATTGTCTCCCGCTTGCACCCCAAATGGGAATTGAGCCCACAACCTTTTTGGTGTACAGGACAATGCTCCAACCTAGACTAATATTGTCCAGGGCTCAATATTAGTTTTTGAGATTCATACATGTATTGCATGAAACTGCAATTTACTCTTTTTAGTTCTGTATGGAATTCCATTGTATGGCCATATCTCTGTTTACTTATTCTACCAATGGGCATTTGGGCTTTAAAGTTTTTGATAATTCTTCATATTCTCTTATTATGAACATTGTTACACATATTTTCTGGTGTACATGTATAAATGTTTTTGTAGAATAAATATCAAGGAATAGCCGAAACCGGTTTGGCTCAGTGGATAGAGCGTCGGCCTGCAGACTGAAAGGTTCCAGGTTCGATTCCGGTCAAGGGCATGTACCTTGGTTGCGGGCACATCCCCTCTTGGTTGCAAGAGGCAGCTGATCGATGATTCTCTCTAGTCAGTGTTTCTAACTCTCTATCCCTCTCTCTCCCTCTTTGTAAAAAATCAATAAAATAAATATCAAGGAATAGAATACCTGAATTTTAGACTTGTACATTTTCAACTTTACAAGATGATGCCAGATTTGTTTTTTTAGATACAGGCAGTCTTTGGATTATGTCAGACTTGACATACATCATTTCATGGTTACGTCACCATCTCCCATTTATTTGTAAAAAAAATAATAATAATTAATTAATTAATTAATTAATTTAAAAATTTCGTCATTTTGCCGAAACCGGTTTGGCTCAGTGGTAGAGCGTCAGTCTGCGAACTGAAAGGTCCCAGGTTCGATTCCGGTCAAGGGCATGTACATTGGTTGCGGGCACATCCCCGGTAGGGGGTGTGCAAGAGGCAGCTGGTCGATGTTTCTCTCTCATCAACATTTCTAGCTCTCTATCTCTCTCCCTTCCTCTGTGTAAAAAATCAATAAAATATATATATTTTTTAAATTTCGTCATTTTGACATATGCAAATATGTGCTTTATGTTTTTTTATTATTTACTGTATTTACCACAAGTAAAGATCAGGAATTGTTATCTTCCTTTTAATTTTTTTTTTTTTTTTTTTTTTTTTTTACTGTTTCACTTAATTACTGCTGTGTGTGTGCTCCATGTGAGTGACATAGATGCTTATGTAGGTGGGTTTGACTTACGGCGAAAATCTGGCTTTGCACCGGAGGAACAGATCTCCGTCATAACCCGAGGACCTACTATATTTGTACGTACTGTCTCGTTGACAGAGTATGAAAGTCCTAGTGCTTCCTTCACAGCCTTGTTAACATTTGCTATTATCTGACCTTTTTATTTTTCCCAATATGGTGGTTGTGAATGATCTCATTGTGGTTATGTTTTAATTTATATTTCTCTGATTTGTAATGAGAATTTTCATGGGTTTACTATCCATCTGTACAAACTTTCCTGTGAAATGTCTGTTTGTGTCTTCTCATTTTTAAAAAAAATCTATTTGTAGGCATTCTTTATATATTGAGGATACTAATCCATTGTGCAAATATATTTTCCCAGTTCTGGTGACCTTTTTGCTTTTTGAAGAGTGTGGGGACAATGCTGAAAGGAGTGACAAGACTTGTCTCCAGGGTCCATAAGGTGAGTCCTGACTTAGATGCTTTGTACCAACTGTCTGTAGGTGGATTTCTGTTTTTATATGGATTTACTATATCCAGAATTAAATGCGCTAGAGAACTTCAGCTGACCTTAATTTACAAGTTCACACTCAAAAGAACAGTTACAGCCCTAACCAGTTTGACTCAGTGGATAGAGCGTTGGCCTGTGGACTGAAGGGTCCCAGGCTAGATCCCGATCAAGGGCATGTACCTTGGTTCCGGGCACATCCCCAGTAGGAGGTGTGCAGGAGGCAGCTGGCTGATGTTTCTCTCTCATCGATGTTTCTAACTCTCTATCCCTCTCTCTTCCTCTCTGTAAAAAAAAAAACAAAAACATTTTTTTAAAAAGAACAGTTCCAGTTCCATTTCTCTTCCCCTTCACTTCACTCCCAGCTGCCCTAAAAATCATGAACAAGTAACAAGGTCTCCATAGAATAGTTCTGCTTGAGAATTTACCATGGCATCGAAGAATTGACATTTTTTAAAAGAGATTGCAGTTATCTTTTATTAGTATTCTCTAGTTGGATTATCATTTCTTAATGAAGTACTTAAAAGAAAAATATGTTGCCAGTTTAGACTCTACGTATCTGATAGTTGAACAAAAATCATACATAAAAAAGACATTTTGTTGCGCAGATAGTTTTCAGTACTTTCCATATTGCAAGTTCTGAGGATTTTCAGATTACTCACTTCACTAACGGTTACTATTTGTTGGGCATTCATTATGCGCCAGGCACTGGGCTAAGTGCTTTACTTTTTCAGTTGTCACAATAACCCAGGAACTAGATGACAGCTTTGTTTCACAGGCACAGAAATGAGGATTAGAAAGGCAAAGTAAGAGGCTGTGAAATTGCAGAGCTCAGACTAGGTACCTGACTTCAAAGCCTGTGGCCTTAACCACTGTGCGATATTGCATGTGGGAGTCCATGCAATATAGGATCTGAGAGTCAGTAATGGAATCATGAACAAATGGTTGTTAGTTATAGTAGGGAGCTGTTAGTAAAGCACCCAGTAGGAGCACCTAACCTGGGTTAGCAGGGCCCAGGGGAAGTCCTCCCAGAGCTGTATCCTGAAAAGTGAGAACTGAGCCAGAGGGCTTAGTCACTTCCATCTCATTGTTAATTACTACAGATTAGATTTCCTAGAAAAGCAGCCCTTCCTCCTATAGAATCCACTTTTTTCCAGTGGATTACCATAAACCTATGTACATAAAATGAAAATAAAAGCAAGGATCAACAGAGGAAGGATTCTGGTCTCAAAATCTAAAAAGCTACAATTTCTTCTTTAATAGCAGACAAGGAGGACTTGAGTCCCAAATGCAGAGATGTCTGAAGAAATTTTGTGCTTCAGATAGATTGGTTTAGTGCAGTGGTTGGCAAACTGCAGCTCAAGAGCCAATTCGGCTCTTTGACCCCGTGAGTGTGGCTCTTTCACAAAATATGACGGCCTGGGCGAGTCTATTTTGAAAAAGTGGTGTTAGAAGAAGTTTAAGTTTAAAAAATTTGGCTCTCAAGAGATTTTAATTGCTGTATTGTTGATATTTGGCTCTGTTGACGAATGAGTTTGCCGACCACAGCTTAGAATAACTGTCTTGATTGGATCATGAATGCTGTTCTTAACTGCATGGTGTTCATTCTGGAACCGTGTAGAGGCTATTGTACTTACAGTTGTTTTCCCTGGAAGCAAGAGGCTAGCTGGGTGATGCCATATGTAATGCTGTGATAAGTAAGGAATCCATTTTGCTAGCTCTTAATTTGCTTCAAAAAGCAGTTAACGAGAAAGTCATAGAATTCTTGTAGAAATAGCACCACCTTGTGGTCCTCGAATATCTTAAATTTTCCACTCCACTTAATTTTTTTTTAGAGACAGGGTGCTCTCTCCAGTAGAATTGAGTACGCTGTCCTATCAATAGTCGGGTATACTATTCAGATTGCTGTACTGAGGTAACAGACCCTGAGTTCTCATTGGCTTAACCCAACAAATGATATTGTTTGTGAAAATCTGTGCGTGTTTTGTTTTTCCTGTTGCTGTATTTTCAGAGTGGTTTACAGGTACTTGTGGGAGGGGCTTGACATGGGAATGAAGGTTCCTTTTGGGATGCCACCACAGCCTGTAGGTTGCCATGACAGAGGAAGAAAAGAGGATTTATAGTCACTCTAAACTGATTGACTAGAAAAGACAGATTATATTCACGTATTGCTCTTTATGAGAATTAATCAAATAACCCCAATTTGTTTGCACAGGAGGCTGGAAAATATAGAGAATTTGGATATTTGATAAACATTGGTGTCTGCCATCCTCAGACAAAGTTGGAGCAGCTTTGTTACTTTATATTAAATCTCTAAGTTCTGGCTCAAGAGGTTTCTGTGTGCAGTTCATAGAGTTGAATTAGTGCAGTTTATTTTCACTTAGCTAGATGCTGTACATACTCCCTGCTACATGAAAGATTCCAATGTAAGATTCCTTATTCCAGGGCACAGCATGAAGTATTTGTGGTTTGTTACTTAGAGAAGGAAATACAAAGATGAATAAAATCTGATCCATTCTCTTCCAAGTGTGTCCAAAATGGGGGACAGACTTGTGTATAAAATAGTATATAATAAAAAGAATAGGTTTTGCCGAGACCTGTTTGGCTCAATGAATAGAACGTCGGCTTGGGGATTGAAGGGTCCCGGCTTCGATTCCGGTCAAGGCCATGTGTCTTAGTTGCGGGCATATCCCCAGTAGGGGGTGTGCAAGAGGCAGCTGATCCATGACTCTCTCTCATTGATGTTTCTGACTCTTTATCTCTCTCCCTTCTTCTCTGTAAAAAATCAATAAAATATATTTTTAAAAAATGGATTTTGGAGTCAGACAAACCTAAATTTGAATTCTGGCTTCACCTGCCAACTCTGTGGCCTTAGGCAAGATTACTTCATTTCCCTGAACGTTAGTTTCCCTCATCATAAAACAGATGTGGTAATATTCTACCTACTTCTAGGATTCTTGGCTCAGAAATGTGTTTAAAACTCTGTATTGCCTCACATCTCACAAGTATTCACTTAATAAAAGCGACGAATGCAGTTCAAGGCAAAGTAATAATGCCATGCAAGCACTGGCCGGTGTGGCTCAATTGTTGGGTGCTGTTCCTTATACTGGTCTGGTTGCTAGTTCGATTCCCAGTCAGGGCAGTGAGGGGCATGCAGGGGGCAGCCAACTGATGTTCCACTCTCACATCCATTTTTCTCTTTCTCCCTCTCTAAAAATCAACAAAAATATATATTTTTAAAAACCTATTGCCCTGGCCAGTTTTCTCAGTGGTTAGAGCGTCGGCTTTTCAGACCAAAGAGTCACGAGTTTGATTCCAGGTCAAAGGCACATACCTCAGTTGAAGTTTCAATCCTGGGTGGGGAGTTGTGCTGTAGGCAACCAGTCCAGGTGTCTCTCTCACATCAGTGTCTCCTTCTCTCTTTCTCTCTTCCCCCCTCCCTTTCACTCTCTTTAAAAATTAATGGGAAAATATCTTGGGTGAAAATTTATATATATGCCATGCAAGACAAAGTGCTATCAGCAAAGGGAAAATAATTACTTTTGACTTGAGGTATCTGGAAAAACTTCACAGAGGATGTGACATTTGAGATGAGCCTTAAAGGAGGAGTAAGACAAATAGGGAGAGAGGGAAGTTGAAGCAGAATGAGCAGTATAGAAGTATCAAAGTGAATAACTTTTTAGCATGGTCATAGGCTGGAATATGGAGTTCATTCAGGAATGAAACTAGAGAGGTCAATTGAAGTCATGGCCTTGATTACTACCATGCTAAGGACTTTGAGGCTTATTTTGTCATCAGTAGGAAACAAAACTTTTAAAATATATATATTTTTGTTGATTTCAGAGAGGAAGGAAGGGAGAGAGGGAGAGTTAGAAACATCAATGATGACAGAGAACCATTGATTGGCTGCCTCCTGCATGTCCCTCACTGGGGATCGAGCCCGCAACCGAGGCACGTGCCTTTGACTAGAATCAAACATGGGACCCTTCAGTCTGCAGGTCGATGCTCTATCCAAAGAGCCAAACTGGCTAGAGCAAAACCAACCTTTTTTATTAGAAGAAGGTTAAACTTACTATTTGGAAGGGCAAGTCACAGGATGAAAGATGAAGAGTCACAGATTTAGAGGTAAAGATAATCAGTTAGAAAGTTGTCATTGAGTTTAAGGTCTTTTTAGTAAGTGTTCTGAGGGCTGGTACAAAGATAATACACAGTTTCTGCACTCTGAGGCTGCTTGGGAAGACTAAATACAAATACAGGCAGCTTCCATGTTACCTGTTACTTATCAGGTATCTCCCTTACTGCAGCTGGCTTTCATATCTGCTTCTGCTGATTTCATATCCTAATATTTCCCTTGTAACTGGCACCTTTTCACTTCTACATAAGCCTATTATCCTCATACTCAGTTTCGCGGGTTCTCCAATTAGCATTTTGCCAGATTTGTCTCTTAAATCACCCCCTCCCTAACCCCTTCCAAGTTCAGAGGGTTTTGTGTGCAGGTCACTGAATGAAGCAGGTGGGCTGGAAGGAGTGAGGAGTTCCAGATTGCAAGAGGGATCTCTGACTTCTGGCTACCCCCCCCCCGGGTCCCGGACTGCAGGAGGATCCAGGCCAGGCCGAGGGACACCCCCAAACTCATCCCCTCCCCCAGTGCACGAACTTCGTGCACCAGGCTTCTAGTAGCAACATAAGCTGGAACAGATTCAGAGCATGAATAATGTGATTATTCTTAGAGAATTATAAGGAATAACAAAGATTCTCATTTTACATAAAACTAAAATGTATGTTAGTGGCATTTTTTCCTGTTGCAGACATTGCTTAAAAACTAAGTGTTGTAGCAAGCATAAACTTTATAATTACTAAACGCTTATGTGGTTTCTTTTCTAGTTGGACCCTGGACACTTTTTGCGCCTGGGGACCCAGGCACCCCAAAGCCTTGCTGCTCAGCTGGATAACCAGGTTTCATTTGAGAGTCCTAGAGCCATTTCTTGCACCAGTGAGAATGACCCGGTGAGTTGGTGATATGTATATGAATTTTTTTCAGGGCTTATAATCTCTGCTGCTGTCATTATATATGTAACAAGAAAATGTACGCGTAGTCAGACAATGCATCCAAGACAGCGTTCTGGAACCCAGATCGTCCCCACCCCTGTCTGGTACATAACATAAAACACTCAGGCAGGTCTGTCCACATTTGCTCTCATTTAATCCCTACCACTGAACTCATCTTATGCCAAGGATTTTGCTGGGGATAGAGCAGGCACATAGTAAATACCTAAGTCAATTCCTCAGAAGTTAAATTTAGCAGATATTATTGATCTTACTGTATGATAGGTTGACACACATTTCCTTAAAGGAACAGATAGTAACATTTTAAGCTTATGAGCCAAAGTGGACTCTGTCACAACTGTTTAGCTCTGTTATAAACAAATGGGAATGGATATGTTCCAATAAAACTATTTATAAAAACGGTAGTCAACCATAGTTTATAGACTGTGGTATGAAGAATCCTAAATAAGTCAACTTAATTTGCTCAAGATCTCAGCAGAGCAGTTACAGAACCTAGTTTTCCTAATGACCAATCTGGGACTGTTTTCTATCTATTTTTCTAAGTGGATTTCCTAGTTCTAGAGAAGAAGGTAACTTGACTTGTTGGGAAGAGCTGCATTTAAAACGAAGTTTGTCAGCAGAAGCTAGGATTACAGTGGTATCCAGTGTTATATTTTCTGCTTCAGATCGCTTTAGACTAGATGTTGATTTTTTTTCCTCCTTCCCAGCATGTTGCTGCCTCTCATAAATGAAGTTAGTTGTAAGATCTGCGGTTAAATGTGAAGAAAACCAATAGCTTTTGTTTATTTGTTTGTTTTCCTACTCTCTGGATTTCCCCATCTTAACATATGCTGCTGTTCACGGGGGAGGAGAAAAATAATTCATTACCCAAAGCATACTCAGTAGGGTGTGTTTTATTTATATCTCCAGTGTTCACCTACTATAAAAGCACAAAATGAAACAAAGTGAATGAAATCATCAAAGTGCCCTTCAGCTTTCCCTGTGAATATGGTCTCTTTATCTGCCAATTCCTCTAGAGTTTCTATGGAAACAGCAGCATGCAGATGATCTTGTCACATGACTGGATCATCTCTATACACAGCACAGAGGAATCCAGATGGCAAGAATTGTCACTGCTACCTCCACATCTAGGGTTTACATTGCTGGGCAACTGGTTACATCATTCAGGCCAACACCAGCTTTTTGGGGACAAGAACTAGCATATTTTTATTTAAGATAAGAAATGAAAGATAATGCTTTTCAATTCTGAGATGATGTTTCCTCAGTGTGGTCTATCGGGCCCTTTCCACTTTTTTTTGAAGTCTCTGTCACTTTGTCTACAGCCCCATTCTATCTGCATTTTATTTCATAGGCCAAGCATGAGGAGAAGCATGAGGGTCTGCACTACAACTTACCCCTCCAGGATGTGAAGACTATTTTCCCCCACGGCCTGCCTTCTCGATATGCAATGCAGGTGCTCAAAACCGGAGGGAATTGGAGGGGACCCAGAACACATGCTGCTCATAGCAAAGTGATGTGATTAAATGAGTAGAAAACTATACAAAAATGAAACTTGAATCTTAAAAAAAAAGATGCATTCATCTTTTGTTAATAGTGCTATTACTCTAATTACTTTAAGCAATGTTTATCTGAGTTTAACCAATTAAAATCCTTTTTGGAGCTAGGCAAATATTCTTTTTTTTTTTTTTTTTTTTTTTAATCCTCACCCAAGGATATTTTTCTATTGATTTTTATTTTTAATTTTAATTTTTAATATAGTTTATTGATTTTTTACAGAGAGAAGGAAAGAGGGATAGAGAGCTAGAAACGTCGATGAAAGAGAAACATCGACCAGCTGCCTCTTGCACACCCCCTCCCTACCTGGGATGTGCCCGCAACCAATGTACATGCCCTTGACCGGAATCAAACCTGAGACCTTTCAGTCTGCAGACCGATGCTGTACCACTGAGCCAAACTGGTTTCAGCTCTATTGATTTTTAGAGAGAGGGAAAGACAGAGAGAAATATCAATGTTAGACATCGATTGGTTGCCTCCTGCATGAGTTCCAACCAGAGCCCAGGCCAGGGAGGAACCGACACATGCCCTTGACCTAAACCAAACCCAGGACCCTTCAGTCTACAGGACAGTGCTCCATCCACTGAGCCACATTGACTATAAGGCCAAAATATTTTTTCTTTTTTTCCTTTTAATATATTTTATTGATTTTTTACAGAGAGGAAGAGAGAGGGATAGAGTCAGAAACATTGATGAGAGAAACATCAGTCAGCTGCCTCCTGCACACCCTCTACTGGGAATGTGCCCGCAAGCAAGGTACATGCCCTTGACCAGAAATCGAACCTGGGACCCTTCAGTCCGCAGGCCGACACTCTTATCCACTGAGCCAAACTGGTTTTGGCCAAAATATTCTTAAATAAATAAACAATATTCTGCTATTTTCCTTACCTAACAGGTTTTTGGAAACTTGAATATTTAAATAGTTATTAAAAATTAATTTAATATTTTCCTTGGAAAAGTATCATGAAAATAGTTAACATGCTATTAAAATTATAATGTATTCCTAAGCCATATAGAAATGATGTCTGGATTAGATGCATTATTGTTCTTCAATTTCACAGTTTTTCAGAAAATTCTAGTTCTGTGGTCATAACTTCAACCCAAAGAGTTGGTTGGATTGTTTTATAGTCAATAAAGAATTCATGATCACACTGGCTGGTGTGATTCAGTGGTTGGAGTGTCAGCCTCATACCCAAGGGTCTTTCTTGGGTTTGATTTCTGGTCAAGGGCATATATACCTGGGTTGCAGGTTCCATCGCGGCCCTGGTTGGGTTGTGTTCAGGAGGCAACCAATCAATGTGTGTTTCACGTCGATGTTTCTCTCTCCTTTTCCCTCTCCTTCTCTCCACTCCTCCCTGTCACTTCTTAAAATAATAATAATAATAATGGAAAATATATCCTAGCCTAGGGTAAGGATTAACCAAAAAAATTATGAATAACTGCAAGCATATTTTGTTGACATGATTGGTTCTTTTGGCTAATTCCTGCTGAATTATTTTCGACCTTATAAATTATTCCTTTTTGTTATTGTTGCTAATCCTGACAAGATATTTTTTTCCATTGACTTTTTTTAAACATTTTTATTGATTTCAGAGAAGAAGGGATAGTGGGGAAGAGAGAAACATCAGCGATGAGAGAATCATTGATCAGCTGCCTCTTGCACGCCCCCTACTGGGGAATCAAGCCTGCAACATGGGCTTATGTCCTGACCTGTGAGCTCCTGGTTCATAGCTCAACACTTAACCACTGAGCTATGCCAGAGGTAGCATTAAGTATCATTTTATATGCTTTTAGTATTTACATCAACCATAAGTGGAATACATACTAATAGTTAAGTTGGGAGATGTCTGTATTTGTAGATTTTAATTAACTGATGCAATATCTATACTTCATAACAGATATAATCAAAAGATGACTCTTATGTTACTTGGTGTGAGATCATTTGTTTCAGTTTTTAGCTTAATTATATGGATGTATTTTCAAATTCAGAAACAACCCAATCCCTCCTAACTGCATGAATTAAAAATACAGTTTGTTGCTATATTAGATTCAGTTCCACACCCACTCTCCTTTCTCCTTCCCTATTTTGTTAGATGAAGACATTCAATGAAGCTTGCCTGATGGTAAGGAAACCAGCCCTAGAGCTTCTGCATTACCTGAAAAACACCAATTTTGCTCACCCAGCTATACGATATGTGCTCTGTATCCTTTCCTGCCTACGTGGGCTGTTAAGCCAATGCTTTCCTCCCTCAAATGTGAGAAAAGAAGAAATGCAAGTGTACTCTTTGTTAGCAGAAGTGTTCCTTCTGGTAATGTTTTCTTTAACACCGAGTGTTTTAGATGGGGAGAAGGGAACAGGAAAAACACTCAGTCTTTGCCATATTATTCATTTCTGTGCAAAACAGGACTGGCTGATACTGCATATCCCAGATGGTAAGAACTTCTCTCTTCACTGTGCTGGGGTTTGTCTTCCTGGTCCTGAGATAGCGTGTGGCTTCAGCGGCCTTTGCTCCAGACACAGCCATCTAAACTCGTTCATAATTTATTCATATTATCAACAAGGGAGTTGCAAGGTGAAGTAAATGCAACAAGAAGGAAATCAACTGCCCGGCCAGTGTGGGTCACTGGTTGACTCATGCACCAGGAGGTCATGTGCCCTGGCTGGACACTCAATACCAAGCAGCCCATCGACGTTGCTGTTTCTCTCTCATCCATGTTTCTGTCTCCCTCCCCCTTCCTCTATCTCTCAAATGAATAAAACCCTATTTTTAAAAAAGAAGAAGAAATTCAGTTAAACACTTCCTGGAACCTTTTGATAATAAGAATGAGCTATTTTGGCCCAGCAGTCCTCCCTTTGCTCTGTGATGCCCAAGAGCATAAACTCCCCCTTAGAGGTCGTCACAGGCATTATGGCCGTCAGTCAACAGCTTTGAGATCCAGAGAAACCGACATGCACTATAATCAGCATTCTAGAGTTTAAAAACTTAAACGCTCATTCTTTGTGCATATCCTCCCTGTGTTTGTGCAGCCACATACTGTGAGTGTCTTTAGAAACTATGAGGAAGCTGAGGTGACCATGAATTCACTTGGATGCCTTGTGTGTTGAGTGCAATGATAATGTTTAATCTAAAACGAACCTTGGAAACGAGGCTTGAAGAAGTATATATGACACTAAATCATCCCCCGCGACTTAAAGAGTTAATAGAGTGCTTTGTGTTGTATACAGTTGGTTCCTGCCTACTTTGTTCTCTGCCCCGCCCCCTTCTTTTTAGCTCATCTTTGGGTGAAGAACTGCCGGGATCTTCTGCAGTCCACCTACAACAAGCAGCGCTTCGATCAACCTTTAGAGGCTTCAGTCTGGCTGAAGAATTTCAAAACTACAAATGAGCGTTTCTTGAGTCAGGTGATTAGACTCCCAGAAGTTTGGTGCTGAACATTCTGTAAATAGATTTTATCTTCTTTTTTTTTTTTCATATATTTTATTGATTTTGTACAGAGAGGAAAGGAGAGAGAGAGTTAGAAACATCGATGAGAGAGAGTCATCGATCAGCTGCCTCTTGCACACCCCCTACTGGGGATTTGCCTGCAACCAAGGTACATGCCCTTGACCGGAATAGAACCCGGGACCTTTCAGTCCCCAAGCCGATGCTCTATCCATTGAGCCAAACCAGACTCTTCTTTGTGCCCCACGTACCAGTAGACTGGAGAACTGGTACCCTGGTTGAGATTACGATACCATTTTCTGCTTCTTACATATGCAGTATTTTACTCACAGTGAGCTCACAATCCGAAACTCATTTATCCATAGAGGCATCAGTAGGCTGATCCCATCTTGTGGGTAGCAAATTGAAGTTCATATTAATTCATTGACTTTTCCAAGGTCATAAGCTCAAATTCTCTAAAGCATATTCTAACTCAGTGGTCGGCAAACTGCGGCTTGCGAGCCAAATGCGGCTCTTTGGCCCCTTGAGTGTGGCTCTTCCACAAAATACCACATGTGGACACACACGTACAGTGTGATTGGAATTTCATGGCCCATGTGCAGAAGTCAGTTTTTGGCTCTCAAAAGAAATTTCAATCGTTGTACTGTTGATATTTGGCTCTGTTGACTAATGAATTTGCCGACCACTATTCTAACTACATAATTATCTCCAGATAAAATCTTTTCTGGAACCAGAAATGTGTTGGTAAAATTACTCTTTACTCTAGTAATTCTTGAATATGATCTCTAGGCCAGAGGTTTTCAAATCTAGATATTTAGAGTCATCTAGGAACCTATTAAAAATGTAGATGTCAAGGTCTTAACCTGGACCTTTATAGTCAGAATCGTGTGTGTGTGTGTGTGTGTGTGTGTGTGTGTGTTTAAGCTCCAGGCAGAAATGGGCTAGATAGCATTCACTCATACTGAGATAGACCTCTTATAGGGCTTGAAAAAGATTCAAACTGATTCTAATAACACAACCTTTTGTTTGGTTTTAGATAAAAATTCAAGAGAAATGTGTCTGGAATAAGCGAGAAAGCATTGAGAAAGGCAGTTCTCTGGGAGAAGTAGTTGAACAGGTATAAAAAAGATACTGTGTACTGTGCCATAACCAGAGAAGGCCTCTTACAGATAGGACTGGACTGTGAGCCACTATCTCCCTTTTGCTTACAGGGTATAACACGGGTGAGGAACGCCACCGATGCTGTTGGGATTGTGCTTAAAGAGCTAAAGAGGCAAAGTTCTTTGGGTATTTTTCGCCTCCTGGTGGCAGTGGATGGAGTGAATGCTCTCTGGGGAAGGACCACGCTGAAAAGAGAAGATAAAAGCCCAGTAGGAAAACTGAGTTTCTCTGTTCTGGTTTCTCTGATTTCTGGTGCCATATTATTTACTAGAGGCCCAGTGCATGAAAATTTATACACTGGAGGGGGGGGAGAGTCCCTCAGCCCAGCCTGCCCCCTCTCACAGTCCGGAACCCTCATGGGCAGGAGGCAACCCGGTGATCAGGGGAAGGTGACACCCCCATCCACCTCTGCTGCTGCCACTGCTGGCAGCGCAAGCCTTGGCCAGCCCGGTAGCTTACTCAGGCTGTACCTTCAGCCTCTACTACAGTTAGGTGGTAGTAGAGGGTGTTTTAGTTGTTGTTAATTACTGATGATTTGTCTCAGGGGAGCATCTAGGCAAAAGCAAATAATGGCCTCTTTCTGCTCCCACCCTCCGTCCCTTTGCACTGACCACTGTGCAGATCGCCCCCGAGGAACTCGCACTTATTCACAACATGAGGAAGATGGTGAGAAACGACTGGGTGAGTGCAAATGGTGCCGACACATTTCAGAGAGAGGTGTATTTCACTTCAAAGATCTTCCACTACTTCGTTCCTCCTACTTTCCAGTCTGTAATTTTATGGACAGAAAGTTCTTTTATCTTGTTTCATCCCCATAACTGTACCAACTTTAAAATCTATATATTTGGTTTCTAATCTTTCCACTTAACTGGAGTAAGCTTATTCAAACCATTTTATTTAAATATTGGTGTAATTACTTTGTTTGCAATTGTTCAAGTGTCTTTATATCTTCTGTCTTTTTTAGCTTTTTCTAAGTGGCTCCTCCTCCTTTCTTTCAGAATGGAGGTGCCATCGTGTTGGCTTTGAGCCAGACTGGGTCTCTTTTCAAGCCCCGGAACGCCCACCTGCCCCAGGAGCTGCTGGGAAAGGTCAGGTCACTGGAAAATTTGTTTCTCTTAGTCATTCTGTCTAAAGACATCTTTCTTTCTTTTTCTTTTTTTTTACATAATATCAGACTTGGAGAAAAATTATATTCCTATATGACTTAACCAAATTCCTAAAATGTTAACGTTAATCATATTTGCTTTAATCTTCTTCCTCTTCATTCTTATTTTCTGAATATGTGGCAGTAACCTGAGGATGCATGTATCTTTATCTCAAAATCATGTGTACTTCCTAAAACCAAAGATACCTCAATATAGAACCAAAGCACAACTGACAATATCAGAAAGTTGACAGCAATACAGTACTGTTAACCTCGTCTACAGAATTTCCTCTGGTTTTGCCAGAATGTCCCAGCATTCTTTACGGAAAGATGGTCCTGGACTACCTGTTGCACTCTGTGGTCGTGTGTCTGTCTCCTTTAACTTGGGACAGTTCCTCAGTCTCTGTCTTTTTTTTTTTTTTTTCCGAGCTTAATTGTGATTTATTAATGAAGTATTCTCTTTTTTTCTGTCAGAATTAAAACAATGCATTTCACATTCATCCCTTTTTCAAAAATGCCGATGTTTGTATCTGACATTTGTGTTTTAAGTCATTTTCTGACCAAAACTCCTTTGGATAACAGGATGCATTATTCACTATTACCAGGCATGTTGCTGTTGGATAAATATGGCAGGAATAAACTTGAAAGATTAGAAGGATGGAAGAGTAAGAGTTCAGAAGAGACAAGGTCTGAATGCCAAGATAGAGAGGAAAGAGAAATAGAGAGAGGGAACAGAGGGAAGAGAAGAGAAGGGAGGTGAAGAAAGGGAAGGAAAGAGGGAGAGGGGGGAAAAAAAAAAAAAAGGAAGCCTCAGTCTCTGTCTTATGTAATCTTAATATTTTTATTTTTATTTCTGAAGAGTACATGCCTGCTACCTTAGGGGTTATTCTGATGTTTTTCTCCTGATAATAAGCATCTTAGTGCGTGATATCAGAAGGCACATGAAACCTATTTCTCTTATAGTGTTAACCTTGAACACATAGTTAAGGTGGCATCTGTTTGGTTTCTCCTCAGTGAAGTTATTTTACTTTTATAGTGCATAAATAACCTTGTGGATGTATACTTTCAGACTAGGTAAATATCCTGTTACTCCTCAAATTTCTCCTAATAGTTTTAGTACTCATTGGTGATTCTTTCTATCATAAATCAGTTACAATAATTGCAAACTAGATATATTCTAGTTCCATCATTTCCTCTAAATGTATCAGCTGGCTTTCTATTTATGTAATAATTTCCCCTTCTACCTTATGTATTTATTTCAGTACAGACATGTGGATTCTTAATTTATACTACCATTATTTATTTTGATGCTTAAATCATCCCAGATTTGGCCAGTAGGTGCCCCTTTAAGCTTACCCTGGATGCATATGGGCTACTGATACTCGGTTAAAGGCACCTTCTGGTCCATGGTTGGGCAGTTATGTGTGTGTGTGTGTGTGTGTTTTGTTTTGTGGGGTTTTTTTTGGGGGGAGCAGTGTTAATACCTACCATTTCTAAGCCACGGAAAACTGATAGAGAAGAATTTATTTTCAAGATGAATTCCTGCCCTGGCTGGTTTGCTAAGTGGAGAGAGCATCAGCCTGCGGACCAGAAGGTCCAGGGTTCGATTCCAGTCAAGGGCACATGCATGGGTTGCAGAGGCAACAGATCTATGCTTCTCTCTCATCATTAATGTTTCTATCTAACTCTCCCTCTTCCTTCCTCTCTAAAGTCAGTAAAAATATTTTTTAATTGAATTCCTAATAAGGTCAACATAGAACACAGTTGCCTGAACAGCACACACACACAGGCGACATGTAGTAGATGAACCAGAAGGAGAAGAGAGGGTATCTTTAAGAGCATGTGTGGCCTGGTGCGCACACGCCTTGTGTGTCACTTAACAGTTACTTATCTTTATCCTTTTTCTTCTCCAGGAGGGATTTGATGCCTTGGATCCATTTATTCCCATCCAGGTGGTCAACTACAGCCCAAAAGAATTTGAAAGCTGTATTCAGTATTATATGGAAAACAGTTGGCTTCAACATGAGAAAGGTCAGTAGTTGGTTTTCCTAAAGGACTTTATGCTGTCAGCAAGACCCACTGTCAAAGCCTTGATCTCGTTTTCCCTCAAGAGTAGTGTGTCATTTGTATTTCATCTTTTCCCCTTTATCTTGACTTCTTCCTGGCTGACCACGTGGTACGGAAACGGGGGGGGGGGGGGGGGGGGTAAGGTTTAATTTCTCTCTTCCTAAATTCTCAGAGTAGTCTAAAGTAAAAGAATCATGCTAAGAGAGGAGGCCGGACCAAGCCCAGTCATTTGGTTCAGGTTGCTGCCACACTCTCATTGTTGCATTTTTCTTTTTTTAAAAAAATATATTTTAGATTTTGTACAGAGAGGAAGGGAGAGAGATAGAGAGTTAGAAATATCGATGAGAGAGTCATCGATCAGCTGCCTCTTGCACACCCCCTACTGGGAATATACCGGCAACCAAGGTACATGCCCTTGACCGGAATCGAACCCGGGACCTTTCAATCCCCAAGTCAACGCTCTATCCATTGAGCCAAACCAGTTTCGGCTGCATTTTTCTTTGTTGTTTTTTTTTTAATCTTTTTTATTCATTGTTGCATTTATTCATCATTCGACAAACTTCAATTGACTTATATGCTAGACACCCATAGAATAGTTGACAGTGTGTAAGAGACTACCCTCCCCACAACAAACCAAGTCTTTGCTATTCCTGTCCTCGTCTTGTACATGAAAGCAATCAAGCTGTTCTTTTTATCCTTACCCTTGGCTGGAGGAGGATATAGAGGAAAAGTCAAAGTTGTTCTATCAACAGATCATAGAGAATTCTCTGTAATTAGAATCCGTCACTAAAGGAAAGAGTATATATATACATATATATAAAGCAGCTGCAACCTGCGGGCTGGGAAGCACAGGGAGGAGGTCCGGGTGGCTGGGAGATCTGACCACGACCTAACGTCCAGAAGGTAATCTTGGAATAGTGGGAAAGATAAACGCTGGATTGGAAGAATAGACAGAAAGGGAAAATGTGTGTAGAAATTATAATCGTTTAATAGGATAAAGGCTCTAGAAGTGAGGTCTCTTGAGAGTGCTGATGATAACAGAATGTAATCTAGATAATGTAGCCTCTACAGAATTCTCTGGGTGTAACATGATGCTTTGGGAGAAAACTGCCAATTATCTGTGCTCGACTCCATTTCAGCTCATACAGAAGAAGGTAAAAAGGAGCTGCTGTTCCTAAGTAATGCGAATCCTGAGCAGCTGGAGCGGCTCTGTGCCTACCTCTAGGCCATGGTCACAGCATCCGTGGAAGGCAGTGGACACTAAGCTCAATCAGATGGGGCGTCCCGCAGTACCCAGAGCTGTGGGACTGGACAGTACTGCACGTCAGCTCCCAACTTCACTGGAATGGGTTCCTTGTAAAGTGACTATAATGGCAATAAGAATCCTCTTGTTCCTGAAACTAATATGTTTATTATATGTGGTTTTCACATTTTAATCAATCATGTATCTTTTCCTTAAAAATTAAATTATCTTTCTTAAAGTGTTGTGTTATATCTATGCGATGGGAAGAGTATTCAGATTGGCCAACTTTTACACTTTTATCCGTGGACCTTGAGAACCTTACTGACACTCCACCTCAGCTTTGTACAGTACAGTCCCTCATACAGGTTCCTGAAAGAACTGAGTAGTAAACCCTGACAGAATACATTGTATGTAATGATTAAATTGTCCTTAATGCATACTAGCTATGTACCATCTTTGGGAGATTTGAGAAATAAATTTCAACAGAGTTAAAATTTTCTGACCATCCCCAAGTTCTTGGTATTAGTCCCAAATCTACCACTTAATGGCTATCCGTCTGAGGGTCTCTTACCCTATTTCCTTCTTTGATTTCACCTTATCTCTGTTTTACTACATCAGGCCACTCTACAAGTACAGGAGACAGCATCTCCACCTAATACATAGAAACAAACCAGGGAAGCAGCCAAACTGATGAGACAGAAAAAATAGTTCCCAAATTTAAAAACAGGAGAAAACTTGAGAAAAAGAATTAAACTATCGGGTCTAGTAATAATTAATGTCGTTTTAACATTCGTTTAAAATCTTGCTTGGCGTTGACTTGTATTGACATAACCTTCAAACACGTGGTATCTACAGAACGTGTGAAGTGCAATTAACAAGTTTTGCTTGAAAAAGTTTGTGTTTGGTTTGGTTTTTGTTGCAAAACTAGGGCTAAGAAGATGGTGGATGAAGAGCATATTCGGCACTGCATGCTTTACGAGCTCCAATTAGGAAGAAAAGCAAGTGAGGCTGCAAAAAACATCTGTAGTGCTCTTGGTCAAGATGCAGTTAGCGCCAGAAAATGCCAGCGTTGGTTTGAGAAATTTCGCAAGGGAAATTTTTTGTTAGATGACAAGAGTGGTCGAGGCCGTGTGTCCAATTTTGATCAAGAAGCTCTTCAAGCTTTTTTGGTGCAAAATCCTCAAATTACCCAACAAGAGCTTGCGACAACTTTAAATTGTTCACAAAAAACAATTTCCAATCAATTGCGTGCACTTGGCAAAGTCCAAAAGTTTGGAAAATGGGTTCCTCATGAGTTGACAGACAACAACCGTAATCAAAGAGTCACAATTTGCAGTTCGCCCCTCTCTCGTCAAAACCGTTTGCCGTTTTTAGAGCAAATTGTTACCGGAGATGAAAAATGGGTGCTCTATGTTAATTTGAAAAGGCGGCCTCAATGGTTGGACAAAAATGAGGCTCCCCAGCCCACGCCAAAACCTGACTTGCATGCGAAAAAAGTGGTGATGTGTGTTTGGTGGAATTTTAAAGGAATTCTTCATTATGAACTTTTACCATCTAACCAAACCATTACAAGTGCAGTGTATAGTGCCCAATTGGAAAGGTTAGCCCAAGCTTTAAGAGAAAAAGAACCCGCGCTGATTAATCGGAAGGGCGTAATTCTTCACCACGATAACGCACGACCGCATACTGCAAGAATCACTGCTGAAAAACTGCGCCAGTTGGAATGGGAAGTTCTCCCTCAACCTGCATATTCTCCTGATATTGCCCCTTCCGATTACCATTTGTTTCGTTCTTTGCAAAACTTTCTTCTTGGAAAAAAATTTAATAATGAAGAATGCCTCAAAAATGCATTGACCGAATATTTTGCATCAAAATCACAAGAATTTTACAACAGAGGGATTAAAATGCTTCCTGAGCGTTGGGCACAAGTAGTAGAAAACAACGGCAACTATATTGTTGATTAAATTTTGTTGTACTATTTAAATAAATTCGATTTAAAAGTATTAGAAAACGACATTAATTATTACTAGGCCTAATAAATGAAAGCAAGTAAATTATCAGATATAGAGTTCAAAATATAGGTATAAGGATACTCCAGGAATTTAGTGAGCACTTCAGTAGCATAAAAAAAGACCTAGAACACCTACCTGGCAGGGGAGATACCACGATCACAAAAGTGATTTTCCCAAAGTGAGGATACATTGCACTCTGGGTGTGTGGACCCCTGGGATTTCCCCAAATGTGGGAACTCGGCTGCATAATTTGTGGTAGTGGGAACTGCATTTGCGTTCTCCCCTGAAACAAACACAGACTGGGAGCCCTAGCCAGTGTGCTCACTGGTTAGAGTGTTAGCCCATGCACCAAATGGTCTAGGGTTCGATTCCCAGCAAAGGGCACATATAATACCTGGGTTGTATGTTTGATCTCTAGCCCCAATCAGGGTGCCTCTGGGAGGCAACCAATTAATGTGTGTCTCTCACATCAATGTTTTTCTCCCTCTCCACCTCTCTTCCTCCCTCCCTCCCACTCTAAAAAATCAATGGAAAAATATCCTCAGATGAGGAGTAACAAAAAAATAAAATTTTTTAAAAGGACATAGAAACCACAAAAAAAGAATCAGATGAAGGATACACTAATGAAAATAAATGATCACTGGGCCATGTGTAGGTGGGTATGGAGTGCACACCAAGTGTCTGCCCCCTCTGCCTAAGGGGTCAACTTCCAGGCTCCTCCCACATCTTTGAGGGCCTGGGGCTGCAGGCAGGACCTGCCTAACAGGTGACCGGCTGGGGTTCCGGGCTCAACAGGTCCCTGGAGCTGTAGGGGAGCGCTGGGGGTGCCGTGTGCTGAATGGAGGCCCAGGGGATGAGAGATGCTGCCAAGAAGGTGGGGTGGCATCGGGGACTTGGACCAGGAGGCGCCGGGACAGAGCCACTTCTCACAGAGCGAATGCAGGGAGTCTGCTGGTTTGTAGGCCCCGAATCAATTCATTTCGAGGGAAAACAAAGGCTGGAGGCGTGAGCCAAATGGGAAAAATCAAGGCACTTTGTAGTCAAAGTCACAGACGGCGAGGGGAGGTGGGATGTTCTCGCAAGGCCCACGCCCCAGTGCAGCGGGACTCCCCGGGGTTCCCGGCTGGAGGGACCGAGGGACAGAGAGCAGGGCCCGGAGGCTCTGGTGCCAGGACAGGACCCCTGTCCTTGGGGGCGGAGCGGGGGGTGAGGGGGAGGGTGGAGCCCATCAGAGCCAATGGCCACAGGGTGAGGGGCCGCTTACCCAGAGGTCACAGGTCGAGACAGAGGCTCTGGGCGGCCGAGGGTTCCATTCTGAACTCTGTCCTTTCACTGCCGTGCACCCGCGAAGGAAGAAGCCACTCGCCCTCTCTGTGCCTCAGTAGCTTCACCTGTACAATGGGCACGTGAACAAAGGGGCGTGGCCACGCGGGCAGCCGGATATATGCGATTAAGCAGGGGCGGGGCCACGTGAACTACCAGAGGGTACACGTGAGCATGGGGCGGGGTGGTCACCTGCACACTGGACAGCCGGAAGTGGTCACCTGAACACAGTGTAGGGTTCAGTGAGTACATAGAACAAAATGAGTCACAAAATATACCGAGCAAAACGCAGACGCAAAAGAATATGTGCTCTGATTTATTTACATAAAATGCTGGATGGAGAGACAGATATAGTTCACATGGTTGGACATCAGGAAGGTTGTGACTTTTTGAGCGGAAGAAAGGGTGCGTGGAAAGCTTTAGGGGAGCAACTTTTCCAACAAGCTTTTAATTTTACCGGAAGCAGAAATATCCCGAGAAAAGAATCAAACGCTGGAAGCGCCGCGAGAAGTAGGGAAAACACCGACTGCCCTCCCCCCCCCCCCCCCCCCGGCCTGGGCAGCAGAGACAACAGCACTAGGAACGCGCCAGCGGTGGCGTCGACTCAGGCGCCTGCAACTTCCGGCGTGGGCCCCACCCCTCAGCAACCACTAGGAAGGAGGACTCGTCCACGACAGGAAGAGGCGGGGATGAGCGGTGTCTCTAAAGCCCAATGAATCGTTGATCCTCTGGGAAAAGACGTACTTGTGGCCCAATAGGGCTCAGAGGATGAGGCCCCGCCTACAAGCCTGCGGAGCCAATCGGCTGGGAGCAGCGAGTGGGCGAGCGCCGGTTTTGCGACTGAGAGGCATGGCGGGCGGCGCCCGGGAGGTGCTCACGTTGCAGTTGGGACATTTTGCGGGTTTCGTGGGAGCGCACTGGTGGAACCAGCAGGTGAGGTCCCTTGGCAGTTGCCCCCAGCGGAGCCTTTCGGGGGCTCCAGCCCTTACCCCCGGCTTGCCCATCTTGCCCCCCTCCGTCCGGCCCCTTTCCTGCCTCCTCAGGATGCTGCGCTTCATGAACGGACCGATTCCCAGGAGCAGCCGGGGGAGCTGTGCCCCGACGTCCTGTACCGCACCGGCCGCACGCTGCACGGCCAGGAAACGTACACGCCCAGGCTCATCCTCATGGATCTCAAGGGTGAGGCGGTGGCCGGGGTCGGCCAATGCCCATGTTCTCCTTCGCGTCGGAGTCTCGAGCATCCGTTCGTTTCAGCACCCTCCGACCACACTAAGCCCCAGGGCAGATGAGTTGCCCAAGGAGAGCTAACCACAGTGTGCAAATACCCGAGGGACGCAAGAAGGCAAACCTGATTCCGTTCAAGGGCCATCTCCTCTAGGACCGCTGGGGGGTCTTTGCCTCAGGCCTCACAGCGAAGGGAAGGAGGAAATCTAGATTCTCCTAGGCAATGCCCCCCCCCACTTATGTATATTCAAGAAAGCTTGGAAGTGCCAAGTGTTGGAGGGATGGTGATAGCAGGTTTCCAGTTGATCAGAGGAAGACCAGGGAGGGACTAGGCTTTGATTTCCCATTTCCTGTTATTTTTGTGCAGGTAGTCTGAGCTCCCTAAAACAAGAAAGTGGACTCTACAGGGACAAACAGCTAGACGCTGCAATAGCATGGTACTTGTCGTTTGGAGAAGAGTGGGAGATGTGCACAGAATGCTGGAAAGCAGAGGCAAACTGGCTATGATCAGTCTCCAATTTCTTTAAGGCAGGGGAAGCTCACCACACACAAAGAGGAACTCCATCCCAAGAATCCTTATCTCCAGGATCTCCTGAGTGTGGAGGTGAGGGTCTCAGCCCTGAACTGCTTTTTCACATTGTAAGAGAAAGTTTATTATAGAGTTAAAAGTGAGCCATAGAAGGAACAAGTGGCTAAGAGACAAAAGAAAGGTTTAGGAAAGGACCATGGGAAAAAAAGATTTGAGAGGGTGTGCTCTGGGGAGGGAGGGACAGACAGACTGCTCTGAACTTGCACACTGAGTGCTACAACCACAAGTGCCTCTTCTGGGTCAGAGAAATAGAGGATTTCAATCATCTAAATGCCTTAAATAGCACTTTTGGAAGAAGCACTTTTCTTCCTAAAGGATTGTGACTAGAGCCCAGACAGTGTGGCTCAATGGTTGACCACCAACCTATGAAACAGAAAGTCACTGTTCGATTCCCGGTCAGGGCACATGCCCAGGTTGCAGGCATGATCCCCAGTGTGGGGGAGGAGGGAGGTAGTGCAGGAGGCAACCTATCAGTGGTTCTCTCTCATCAGTGATGTTCCTATCTCTCCTCCCTTCCTATCCGAAATCAATTAAAAATATATTTTAAAAATAAATTTTAAAAAAGGACTGTGATTACATAAACAGAAAGGAGGCTGTAGGGCGTGGCCAGCAAAATCGGGGAGGATAAACTTTTTGTCTTTAGTCTGCCTGGAACTAAATATTGATTTTTCTCATCCCTCCCAGGGAGTGCTGAGTAGTGATGGTATCTGGAGGGTCAAATCCATTTCCAATGGCAAAGGTGAGAGTTGTCCAGGTATAGTGCATGATGGGAAGTGGGCAGGGCAGGAGCATGGAGATGGATTTCCTCTTATTTTCCTTTAGGTCCCAAACCAGTCACTGCTGCAACTCCAGAGCCACTTATCCCCACAGAGGGCAGCATCCGAGTCTGGTCAGACTTCCTCAGAGTGCACCTCCATCCCCGGAGCATCTGCATGATTCAGAAGTACAACCATGATGGGTATGGGGTGCCCCAGAGGCTGTGAGGCAAGAAACTGGGTCCCTACCGATGTCAGATGGGAGATCTTGTGGAGGGTTGGGGGAAGGGGGGAGCAGGACCCTGCAAGCCCTGGACGGTATTTATGCATGATAGTGAAGCAGGTCGCCTGGAGGCTTTTGGCCAGGGGGAGAGCATCCTGAAGGAGCCCAGGTACCTAGAAGAGCTGGAGGACAGGCTGCACTTCTACGTGGAGGAATGTGACTACCTACAGGTAGCTGTGGGCATAGTGGACACTGGGGTAAACTCTTCTCATCCTACTTTTCTTAAGATTTTTAAGTTGAGTTTTGGAGAGCCGGAGAGAGGGAGAGACAGACATTAACGTGAAAGTAACACATCAATTGGGTGCCTCCTGCACAATCTCTACTGAGAACCAGCAACCTTTTGGTGCCTGGGACTATGCTCAACTGAGGCTCCCACCAGGCTCCTCCTGTCTCATCACTCACCTCTCCAGGGCTTCCAGATCCTGTGCGACCTGCATGACGGCTTCTCTGGTGTAGGTGCTAAGGCCACAGAGCTGCTACATGATGAGTATTCAGGGCGAGGGATAATGACTTGGGGCCTGCTCCCTGGTCCCTACACTCTTGGGGTGAGTCGAACTTGGAAGGAAAAACTCAGGTTATGGAGGGAGAAATGAGGGAGTGATAGCCCAGTGAGAAAGTTGCTTAGAACAAAATATTCTTTCTTTCAGGATCCCCAGAAAAACATCTATCGTCTGCTGAACACAGCTTTTGGTCTGGTGCACCTGTCGGCTCACAGCTCTCTCGTCTGCCCCTTGTCCTTGGGTGGGAGCCTGGGGCTGAGGCCTGAGCCACCCGTCAACTTCCCTCACCTGTGTTATGACGTAAGGCTCGATGCTCTGTCCCACTCACCAAGTCAGTCTGTTCTTGAAGCCTCAGCTTGAACTCAGCTATGATGTGGCCTCTTAGATCACAGTCCTGTTTCTCCAGCCTTAGGCCGATCACACCGATTTGTCTCAAAGCCCCCAGACCGCCCTGCCCATGCTGTCCTGCCTCCACACGCTCTTTCCAGAGCTGAAAGGCTCAAGTGCTCTTTTTGGAATCCTCTTTATAGGCAGCTCTGCCCTTCCACTGCAGTGCCATCCTGGCGACAGCCCTGGACACAATCACTGTTCCTTATCGCCTGTACTCCTCTCCAGTTTCCATGGTTCATCTAGCTGATATGCTGAACTTCTCTGGGAAAAAGGTAGGAAGCTTTGTGAGGGATTAGGTCAGAACTGAGAAAAGGCCCTGTAACCGATTTTGTCCTTACCTTTAAGGTGGTGACAGCAGGAGCATCCATCCCCTTCCCTTTGGGTCCAAGCCAGTCCCTTCCTGATACCCTGATGCAGCTCGGAGGGGCCACCCCTTGGACTCCACTGTCTGCATGTGGGGACCCTTCTGGAACCCACTGCTTTGCCCAATCAGTGGTGCTGAGGGGTCTAGACAAAGCATGCCACACCAGGTGAGAACTGGTGGTCCTTAGAGCCCTTGTCAGACTTCTGTTTTATGTTCTTTTCTCTTTAATCCCTCTGGACATTCTCATTGTATTCTTCCCTCTGTCCCACTTAAAACAAAAAAAACTGAGCACCATATTAAAGGTGCTTTTGTCTTTGCTCTGGCAGTCGGCTCACCCCAGGTACACCTCTGCCTTCCCTACTCCATGCTTGCTCCACTGGGGAAGAAGTCTTGGCCCAGTACTTACAGCAGCAGCAGCCTAGAGCCAGGAGGTTAGTAAAATGCTTGCTCCGGCTCTCCTCCTAGATCTGACCTCCCTTGACCCTTTCTCATTCAGCTGCTATTCTCTTGTCCCCAGTTCTTCTCATCTGCTGCTGACTCCCTGCAAGGTGGTTCCTCCTTATCCCTGCCTCTTCTCCTCAAGCCTCAGCCAGCAGGGCTTGGTTCTGGATAACCCAACAGGAGCAGGTATGTAGGAGATGAAGAAAACCAGGATTTCAAACATGGGAGTGGTTTACTCTGTCACTTTCTGAATAAAGATACTTTAAAGTCACAGTCAAACATTTCTTTATTCATTCGGTGGTTCCTGAAGACTTCTTCCTCTGGAGTACTAGTATACTAAGGGGACAGTACACACAATTTATTGAGTTTACTTTATGATCAAGCCAACTAAAGACTCAGTCTTCCCTATCTGTACAACAGAGTCTCAGGGTGGAAGAACAATCCGTCTACAGGTCTCTCTCTTCTCTCCCTCTGTGGCAGGGGAGAGCATCCCAGTGCTGGGGGCCCTCTGCTCCTCTTCATCCTTGAACCGGACCCTGGGAGACTTGGCCAAGGAACTCACCAAACTCAACCTGCGGCGCTGGGCCAGCTTCATGGAAGCCGGCGTGGAGCAGGATGACCTGGGGGAGCTGCTGCAGGACCTACACAGCCTGGCCCAGTGCTACCAGCATGGTGACAGCCTTATGGACTAAAGTTCCAAGAAAAGGAAAGACTAGTTTACAATAAAAAGTGCTGGATGCAGAGCTATGTCTTGGGACCGGCTACACCAACATACGCACTTCTTACATTTAGAATCACTGTGCCTTACGTCACAACAAATGTGTACCAACAGGACAAATTCCAAAAAGGGTAGTAAAGGAGCTGAGCCCCCCTCTCCCTCAACACTATTTACACAATAATTCTAAAGACTTCGTAACAGACAGTGAGTGAGGCAGAGAACGGCGGAGCCACAAAAACCCTCAGCCTAGCTTTGTCCTTGTCCTTGGGCCCTGCTCCTTCAGCTCCACACTGAGCTCAGGGCATTCAAGCAAGGTACAAGCACCCTTCCCTCGTGGGGTGCCTATGGTTTTGATCCTATGCACATGACTCCTACGTGCTTCCTGAGTCTCACTCATCCAGCTCCTCCTCAGAGAGAAGATCCCCGTGGTCAGAGAGCTGGTCTGCGTTGCTGGTGCTGGTTGCATCATCTTCGTCCTCCGAGCTGGCCTCACAGGCGGTGTGGAAGAGCTGCATGAGCTCTCGGAAACGGTGGGAAACCTAGGAGGAGAGGCGAAGGTCGGTGCTCCCTGTCCCTAAGTAACATAAAGCATCACACACCGAGCTAAACAGTCTTACTTGTCCCACACAGTAAGGCTGTGAGGGCCGTGTCCTCCTTAAAGACAAGGAAATTCAGGTTAAGTGGCCCAAAGCCACCCTCCTAAAACCGAAACTACAGAAGAATCTCTGAGGCTTCCACCTCAAAATCCAATGCCCTTCTCTTCTAGGACCACTACAGATTACCTGAAAAGCCAGGCCCTTCCTCAGCAGACCTTCACAATCTTCTCAGCTGGCCAACCTGCCTCTCGGGATTTGAAACTGTAGAGGGCTCCTCCCCCGCCCCCCCTTACCTCAGTAGGAGTCTTATTTCCTAGCTGCTGGGAGATGATTCGGAAAGTCTGGGGCTGTGCTCCTTGTTCTTGGCACATGGTGAGAATCACACGGTCAGCTTCCCTGTAACACAAATGTTGTGATTAGTCCTAAGTTAGTATCGTGGATGTGGCCCATGTGCTTTATAAATACACACCCATCCCTACCTACCTTGTCCACAGGACCACCTTTTCCCCGGTGGAGCTGACCTTGCTGTTGTTCGCACAAACGGTGACTTCTGCGGCCTTTGGCTGCTGCTCCCCTTCTGGAACCTTGACCTGTGTTCCACTGTCTTTAGCTAACCCTCCGTTAGGGGTTTTGAGAGAAGTCTCTGAGGTGTCAGCTCCTGATGGAGATTCATGGACTGAGGACTTCTTGTCTGATGTCTTCACACCAGTTCTGCTTGAGGGCAGCCAGCTCTCTTGAGTATCTGGTTCCCCAGACGCCTGTCTCCCTAAGTCTCTGGTCCTTGAGGAAGCAGGACTCGGGAAAGAAGCAGGGGGCTCAAGAGTTCCAGAACGTTGAGTTTCTGAAGCATCGCAGGCCGGTGTGGGAGACTCCGAGTCCCCTGCTGCCTGGTGGCCCTCCCCCTCATCCTGAAGCCTGGGGGCTGCCTCTGGGCCGCAGGAAGCCTCCGGTTTGACCTGGTCGATCCCCGTGTTGTCTAGAACAACTCCAGCTTTGGAGGGAAGCTGAGGAGTCTCTGGTGAGCTGGGCGGTGGACCATCCAGGAGCTGCTGCTGTTCTGTAAGAATCACTTCTTGAGGGGACAGCAACGTGCTCCCCACTGCCAATCCTGCTTAGGAGGAAGACAAAGGTCGAACAGCGTGGACAGAGTTGAGATGCAACTAAGGACTGACTGCAAATTACCACAGGGTCACTCTGGTAAACAACAGTGACAAAATTCTAATCCGTAAGAGTGAGGTAGGGGTCAGGGCTAAAGTCACATTTAAAGAACTGAGCACCGGCCTGGTGTGGTTCAGTTGGTTGCATGTCACCCCATGGATGAAAAGGTCTGTTCAATTCCCAGTTGGGGCACATGCCCAGGATGTGCACTTGATCCCCAGTAGGAGGGCATGCAGAAGACAACTGATTGATTGTTCTCTCTCACTGATCAGTAACAAAACATATTTAAAAAAAAAAAAAAAAAAAACTTTGCCCTCCTAGCCTAATAGCTCAGTTGGTTAGAGCACCGTAAGGCTGTGGGTTTTAGCCCCATCAGGGCACATACAAGAAGCAACCAATGAATGCATAAATAAATGGAACAATAAAACAATGTCACTCTAGACATCAATAAATAAATAACAAAAAATACCTGCCTGCCAAAGCTGATAATGCTGGAGTCTTTAGAATGCGGAAAGATAAAGAGAAGGGATTCAGAAATGGGAATACAAGAAAAGGCTGAATCGTGCTGATTTTGTAGCAATCTTAGTTCTGCAAAAGTATTAAAGCCACAGGAGAGAAAACTAAGGCTGAACAGGAAAAGCGATTTTTACTGGTTTATTACTAACAGTCCCTGAAGACTTATTTACCCAGGTTCAAATACATTTTTACTTGAAGTGCGTGAGAATAAGACAGAAATAAAGGGAGAAAGGCTGGATTGGCAGCCAGCTCACTCACCTGAAATAGGCACCTCTCCCTTTCGGGTACTCCTGCCAGTCCTGCCCTGGGTTGCCTCAATGGTTTCTCGTTCCTCTGGGGCTTCCTCCTCCATCACATCCTTGCCCTGCCCAGCTTCCTTAGCAACAGGCATAGGACTGGCCTCTCGGTGGGGGCTGCCACCCACCAACTCATGGGGCTCCTTGCTCTTGTAGGATTTGCTGTCATAGACCTGCAGGGATGGCCTTGTGGGTCAAGGGTCTCCAGACCTCCTTTGTCTTAGGGGGCCAAAGGAAGACGCCCTGTTGTGATGCTCAGTGAGTCAATCAAGATGCATGCCTGCGTCAAGGATTTTACATGCCCACAACACAGTACTGGATTCAACAACCCCTCTACCTAAGGGCTGTTTGCTGCCAACCAACCCTACTCTATCTAGAGTTACCTTTGGGTCTGTTTCCCTGACCCAGGCTGATTTCATTAACAAATAATATCTAAGAAGGAACTATTTGAACTAATTGATTTTTTTTTCAATTCCAAAAATTTTATCCACAGAATTCTCTTTAAAAAGAAAATCTGCCAGACCAGTGTGACTCAGCGGTTGAGCTTCAACCTAGGAACCAGGTCACAGTTCGGTTCTTGGTCAGGGCACATGCCCAGATTTCGGGCTCAATCCCCAGTAGGGGGTGTGCAGGAGACAGCTGATCATTGATTCTATCATTGATGTTTCTCTCTCTTCCTCTCCCTTCCTCTCTGAATAAAAAATATATATATATATTTTTTAAAAGCAAAACCCATAATGTATTTTTAAAAGACTCTATTTGTAATCTATGAGTGCATACAAGGTTCACATTTATGGTAGCAAACAATACCCAACAGTAAGGCACCCTGGTGGTTGACCTAGGTAGGCAGCTCGGAAACCTCTCGGGACAGCCCCTGCCCTCACCTTGCTGCTGCAGTGGCTGCAATTTCTCCTTTTGCTCTTCTTCAGTTTGGAATCAGGACCTCCTTCGTGGCATGCACAGGCACAGTCCTTGGCACCATCTGGCCACTCAGTCTCCTAGGAGAGATCTGGGCTTGGTTAGCTGCCAAGTATTTTGGTAGCAATAAAGAATTATCAGATTGCTCTGGCCCTGCCAAATCCATCTTTTCTTTTATTATAAACCATATCTTTATAATAATAGAGGAAATCAATGTCTAAACTCGATGAAAGCTTATTATGAATAAACAATTCTTAAGTGACCCCAAAACTAACATATCCCAGTTGCCTAGATGTTTCAAGAAATATTCAAGTCAAATATAATCTGAGGCAGACACTGGAGGGCTCCAACATAAGGTATGATCTACTCACTCATTTGTCTTTGTTTCTGTCTCCCTGGGCTTTGAGCTCTCCCCTCCCAATCACCTTGAGAGAGGCTTTGTACATAAGGAAGGCTCACTCAATGATACCCTCTATTTAATAAACCCAAGACACAAGTACCATATTTATTCCCATTGATGATGAAAAAACTGAGATATTAAATAAACTGCCCAAAGCCATTCAGCTACTAAGAAGTTCTTCCCTGAGAAATAGTAAAAAACACGGAGTAAAGGGACATGGATTAAAAAGACTACTTCTTGACGTAGTCAGTTAGGCTTAGTGAATAGAGCTTTGGCCTGCAGACTGAAGGGTCCTGGGTTCGATCCCGGTCAAGGGAACATACTTCAGTTTCAGGCTTGATCCCTGACTGTGGTCAGGCATTGTAGGAGGCAACCAATTGATGTGTCTATCTTACATCAATGTTTCTCTCTCCCCGCCTCCCTTCCATTCTCTCAAAAAATCAATAGAAAAATATCCTGGGGTGAGAATTAAAAAGAAAAAGGGGAAAAAAAAAAAAAAAAAAGAAAAAAAAAGACTACTTCTTGCCCATTGGTTCACCCTCAACCCATGAACCAAGAGGTCACCAGTTCAATTCCTGGTCAGGGTACATGCTGGGTTGCAGACTCAATCCCCAGTAGGAGGTGTGCAGGCAGCAGCCAATCAAATCAATGTTTCTAACTCTTTGTCCCTCTTCCTTCCTCTTTCTCAAAAAAAATTAATTAATTAATTTAAAAAAATAAATAAAAATGTAATTTTTAAATAATAAAATGAAAAGAATACTTCTTGAAGAGCATTAGAGAGCAGTGTGAGCAGACGCTGGAGCTGGATTTCCTGGGTTCCTATCCTAGCATTGCCACTTATTAAATATGAGACCCTGGCAATGGCCTCTCTTTGCACTTCAGTTTCCTTTTCTGTAAAATGCAAATAAGAGCAATCTCTTCATAGGATTCTTGTGAGAATTAAATGAGTGGATAACCCATTGGAAATATTTCCAAGAGACACATATTTTGTAATGCACCTAAGGACTAGCCATTATCATCATTACAATGGGCAATCTTAGTTCTATTTTTTCACAGAAAAGAAAAAGTTAAGACCCAAGGGCAAGAGAAATAGCTCGGAACTAGAAAGAAAATGGGAAACACATCCTTCTAATGAAGCACTCCAGAGTGGGGCTCTTCAGCAACACTCAGGCAGAAACTCAAGTCTTGATTAGTGAAAAATGGACAATCTCCAACAACTTGGTGTACCTTATCGTGATTTTGTACCCCAATCTCCTTTCTTCTTTTGTTCTTTGGAGCTGTAGGTATCTTGGGAGGTTCCTCTTCCTCTTCCACATCAGGCAGCGCCACCTCTTCAAAGCCATCAAACTGGGGAGAAATTGGTGCCACTCAACACAGACTATGGGCAGATTATCCCTCCCTTCACAGCCCTAGTGCAGCCTCCGGGCTTTTACCTCATATTCCTTCTCTTCCGTCCAATTGATCTCTTCAAAGTCACCCATCCGGCTAGCTGCTGGGCGCAGATGGTCAAAAAAGATGGAGAACTCATCCTGCAGGTGGTCGTGGCCCTTGAGGAGATGCCACATCTGCGACTTGAGCTGGAAGAGTTGTAGAGGGAAAGGTGAAACCCCCAGATCCTCTCTAGGCCATATTCCAAACCAGTCCCAGATACTTCTACGCCCTATTTTTCTAATCAACTGGGAGACACACAGAAGCCTCTCTTTGATAGAAAAGTTTTTAAATTTCCTCTCCCTCCTTGCTTGCCTACACAGGAGGAGTGTACAATAGGTCTGATTCCTAATAATAACACTCTCTATCCTGCCCTACTGATCTCCAGGTCAGGCATTAACCCAAGCAGAGCAATAAGCCTCTTCTGGGCCCCACCATCACCTCTTTCCTTGAACATCAGTCAGGATCTGGTTTCAGGTGGCAATCGACCCCTATTCCAGTGTATTATGCCATAGACAAGCCTTAAAAGGTCCTTGGCTTCTTCATCTCTTCCAGAAGTGCATGGTACCCCAGAAGCAAGAGGATATGAGCTAAGTTAGGGAAAGGGGGAAGGGAAGGGCCTAAGGCCTAGATGAAAACGGAAAGGATAGGAAAAAGTACCTCAGTAATCTCCTGGGGCAGGCAGTCTGCACAACCTTGGAGGACCTTGATAATCTTCTGGTGATGTGAGGGGTTCTCCGCAAAGCAAATTTCAAGCTGCCGGAGAAACTTGCGACTCTTCTCAAAAGCCTGCTGCTCCTCAAACTACCAGAGCGAAAAGAGAGCAAAAGAGGAGTCACCTCTACAGCCAGAGCGGGATGGGAGGTTCTAAGCGTAAGAACCAAGAAAGCACGCTGGAGGAAGAGAGGATGAAAGGCTCCGGTTTACACTGTGTGATTTTTTTGACGACCTCTAGCATCCTCCGTTCACCTTGGGTTCCGGGGCCTACTGATCCAAGATAACTCTGAGGTGAATGAAAGATTCAAGAGATGTACATATCTCAAGGTGTTTACTGTTTCATGCACTGTGAAATCAGACACTCAAACTGATGTAGCATTCAGTTTACAAAGAATTTTCACATATGCATTCATTTGATTCTCATAATACAGAAAGAGAAGATTGGCATGATATGTATAATCATTCCATTACCACTTATCTGCCTTAAGACTATCAGAAAATTATCATTATATCCTTTCTTCCTATCTACTAGTCATGACAAAAAAATGAGAACTACCAAGATATCCCTCATGTTTAGGTACTTATTCTCCATTTCAAATATCTCCTTATCACTGAGGCCCTCCCAACCCTCCATGCATAAAGCTGCAGCACCCTAACCCTCAACCACTTACCTACTACTCTCTACTCCCCTTTTCTACTTTATTTTTCTATAGAGCATTATTACTATAAATCATTATATCTATCTTATGATTTTTATAATATACAAGGCAGGACAAAAGTAGGTTTATAGTTGTTCATATGGAAATAATACAACAATTAACAAACAAATACAATAAACTGTGTTTCACATATTCACAACTATAAACCTATATTTGCCATACTCTGTATATATATTTATAATAATGAATTTTGCAGTTTGTATGGTAAATGAGAACACTGGCCCTTTCTCATGCTCCAACTCCCCTTGCCACCCTGTGGGAATACCCAGAAGGCCGTCTGTAGGGGAACTGTGAGACCTTCGGAGTTTGGCCAGCAATTCAGACTAAGAAAGGCCAAAGAGAAACTGCTTCTAGATGTGAGCCCGGATTGCAAACAGCTAGTGTTTTATCTCACACAGCTTGCCCCTGGGCATGACCCCCTTCCCCTGCATGACCCATTTTGCTTTACTTTCCGTACTCTATTATAAAACCGTGTGCTGAGAAAGTCTGGGTGGTGGTTAGACAATAGCACCAGCTGGCTGCCCCCCAGAGTGGCCTATCAGCAAGCTAGATGAGACTAGATGGAAACAATCACAGGTGGAAGCCAGTGCACATGTCAAGTCCTAAAAAACTCATGTCTTTCACAGCTCGTCCTCAGGGTTATTTCTTTGGAGTCCACAAATACCCTAAGGTTTTCTCAGACCTCAGCACGTTACATAACACTGTTTATCATCTGACTTTCCCCTTGAGAATATGAACTCCATAGGGTAAGGACTTTTTTTTATAATCACTGTAGGCATAGTAATTATATGCCTGACACATTAAATATTTGTTCAATGAATGCCTTTTTACAACAATGAGGAGCAATAGGCATATGATTTAGCTAAGGTCTTCTCTGGCAACTGAAGGTAAAATCCCCCTATTCCCTATGTAACGTAATTGGGAGACTAGAACTGGGAAGATCATCCTTTGAAAAGGAGGCTCTTACCACTTTGTGCTAGGAGAAGGCTATCTGTTTGGAAATAGTTGGGAGATTGGAAAAGTGTTAATTAAATTTATTCAAATCCAATCTCGCTCTGACCCAGGACTCCCACTGTGCGGTCTTTGCCCATCTACTCACTAATCCGCAGGCCAGGGCTTGCTCGGGCAACAGGAAAGCAGCAAAGTCCTTCAGCAGCTGAGGCCAGTCTTGGAGAAGAGTTTTCAGGCTTTTGTAGAGATCCACCGCTGTCTGCCTCTGAGTACTTGACTCAAATTCGTAGATAACCTGAAGGAAGCCCTCATACCTGCCAGGGATATGTTGCAGGGCCTCTCGTACCTGGACAGGAAGACTATCAATCATCAGTACCCTTTTTTGCGTTGCAACAAAAAACAGCAATACCAAGAAAGGAGAGGAGTTATTGTTAGAAAGCTCTAAGAATTGTCCTTCCTCTAACAAGTCCTAAGATCTTACCATTAATGGAAGACAACGAGCAAGGTGCATACATACAGCTCCTTTTCTGCTAGTGGGCAACTGAACAGCCATTTTCCCCACAAAACGAGGTAAGTTTTTTTTTTCTAGCTCACAACCCTAGCCTCTCCTTCCTGATTTCAGCTCCGTATTGAAATAAATATTTAATATATTTCAGCATGGTATCATCTGAGGGTAACTGACACAAAATTAGGGTTGTTAGTAAATATTAGGAAATAAGAAAAAGTCATGACTATTACTGTTAGTACTCCACTTTACTTGGGGGGGGAGGAGAGATAAAGGAACCAGGTGGTTAGCAAAAGAATGATACAGCTAGCCAGGACAACTTCAAGGAGCAGGCTGATTCCTCTCTCTGAAGATCGGGTGCCTGAGATCCACTCTCTGGCAGTGTACCAAAGGTCTGTCTTCACAGCCAAGGGCTCAGTAAGGGTCCTATTTTAGCTTACCCAATGAAGTTACAACCTCTTACTGATGATGGTGGTGTCCATCTTACCCCAATTTCTAAGCAAGAGAGAGATGATGCTAAGGTACTAACAATAAACCTGCTTAAAATTCCATCTCCTTATGGTTCTCCCACAGATCTTTAGGTAATTCCAAGAGAGCAAAGGCAAAGGCATAGAAGGCTGTTGTGGAGCCTGAAAAGCATACTTCATTTTAATAGCACCTTCCCTTCGGAGACCGTCGCAACACGGAGGACGGGAACGTTTGGAGAGCGCAACCACCCCCACCATGAGCCTTCTCAACAAGCCCAAGAGTGAGATGACCCCGGAGGAGCTGCAGAAGTGGGAGGAGGAGGAGTTTAACACGGGCCTGCTCTCCGTGCTCACGCAGTCCGTCAAGAACAACACCCAGGTGCTCATCAACTGTTGCAACAAGAAGCTCCTGGGGCCGGGACTGGTTTGGCTCAGTGGATAGAGCGTCAGCCTGCGGACTGAAAGGTCCCAGGTTCAATTCTGGGAAGGGGCATGTACCTTGGTTGCGGGCACATCTCCAGTGGGGGGTGTGCAAGAGGCAGCTGATTGATGATTCTCTCTCATCGATGTTTCTAACTCTCTATCCCTCTCTTCCTGTGAAAAATCAATAAAATATATTTAAAAAAAAAAAAAAAAAAAAGCAGCAGCTCCTGGACCGCGTGAAGGCTTTTGACAGGCACTGCAACATGGTGCTGGAGAATGTGAAGGAGATGTGGACCGAGGTCCCCAAGAGCGGCCAGGGCAAGAAGAAGTCCAAGCCCGTCAACAAGGACCACTACATCTCCAAGATGTTCCTGTGCGGCGACTCGGTCATCGTGGTCCTGCGGAACCCCCTCTCGCCGGCAAATAGGGGCTCGCTCCCTGCCGTCACCTCACTCCCTGCCCTGCACAGACCTGCCCCTGACGTGAGAACAATAAAGTACTATTTTGTTTTGTATAAAAAAAATAAATAATAAAAAAATAAAATAAAAGCACCTTCCTTAAAGGAGTAGCCTCATTCAGAGGGAACGGCAGTACAGGAAGTAGCATTTACCTACCCTGGTCAGATAAGCCTGAGCAAAGGCCAAATCCTTCTGCTCTCTGAGTGGATCCCGCTCGAGAATGTTCTCATCATACAGCAACAGCAGTTTGGACGTGTCCTTGCTGGCTCGGGCCCGACTGCCCCTCTTATTCCGAGCTCGATGGCTGCTCCGGCCCTTCCCTGCAGCTTTGATGCTCTCTCCTTAGAGAGCGAGAGAAAAAGAACGTTTCTTCATCCCTGCAACCCCTGCTCTTCCCATTCCACCACATGCGCCCACCCCATGCAAATCAGGAGAAAAGCTTCTGGGAAATGGAATGAGAGGCATATGTGTCTGTGTCAAGGTCAGCTTTATGCAGAATCAGCAATCTTAAGGGTACGGCCTACGTCGAGCTCTCAAGGGACTATGTCTTGGTGAGGAATAAGCAGAGCTTTCTGAAATAAACATAGCTTTTAGCCTCATAGATGACAGATGAATGAAGAGCCAGGATAGCCTGGCTGGTGTGACTCAATAGATTGAACATCCTCCCATGAACCAAGGGATTCTGGGTCCAATTCCCAGTCAGGGCACATACTTGATCCCCAGTAGGGCGCGAGCAGGAGGCAGCCCAACAATGTGTCTCTCTCATCGATGTTTCTCTCTCTTTCCCTTTCTCCTTTCCTCTCTGAAAATCAATAAAAACATATTTTAAAAAACAGTGTAAAATTTAGATAAATCTGATACAAATCTAACAGCTGATGAGAATAAAATTTTAAATTTCTGAGCATCTCGTCTGTAAAGCACCAAGTTAAACCTCTGTTTGGGGGAAGGGAAGTGGCAGGAGTGATCCAGAGGATTTTTCTGAAAACTTGCCACCTGGTTTACAAGCTAGCCACTCTGCACACGTCTTTACACAAGAGGCCAACTGAGAGCTGCCCTTCATACAGGCTTGCCAAACTCACCTGGTGGGGTCCTGCTGGTCTCTTCTGGAGCAGTTTGAGGTGAGGCAAAGGTAGCAGGAGGTTTCTCAGCAGTGTCTCCTATGGCTTCATCTGCCATTCCATCCTCTTTCTGCAGGCTTTCCATTCCTTCTGCTTCTGCTTCTTCCTCCTCCTCTTCTTCAGGCTCAGAGTTCTCTTCCTGAGAGTTCTCTTCCTCAGACTCACCTTCCTGACTCATGCGCCTTTCAGATGCGAGCCAAGTCAGTTTCTCCATTGTTTCCTGCAACCCTCACCCCCCAAAGAGTGTTCATAAGGGCTGGTAAAGGCTCACCAAGTGCCAACTGCAGTTTTTGGAGAGGAACTGACGTTAATCATTTCTGGGTGGAGGGGGGCACCGCACGCACATATGGCAGGGGGTGAACCAGGAGTTACCACAATCATCAGAGCTGGTTGTCTAAGTTATGGAGTCACAGGTGTGGCTGGGAATCCTGCCTGACAGTAGGAGTGGGGGTGGGGGGTGTTTGGAAAGGTCCCCTCTACCCTGAAGATAGTTTCCCTTTGCCACAGTCCACACTTATGATCCATTTTTTAGGCATTTAAATTGTGCTTAGGTGACTCAATGAAACATTTAAATGTGTTTAAGTAAAATATAATGAGTCAAATTTCACCCTTTCCCTCCCCTCTCACTGCAAACCAAAATTTTTATTTCAAAAGTCAAATAAAAATGATTTTAGGAATATCTATAGTGCAACAACCAAGGTGACCTATTGATATTACTGAGTCCACAAAATATTTGAGAATATTTCCCAACTCTCACCTGGAGTTCTGGGACAGAGAGCACAGATTCCTCAGAAGCTGAGGACATCTCATCTTCCTCATCTTGGGTAAGGTCATCAAAGTCCTCTTCTTCCTCTTCCTCTGGCCCGTCCTTCTCTCCTCCCGTTTCTGGCCTCGCTGGGGTCCCTGCTAACTGACCATCGATGCTGGGTAAGTCTTCAGGTTTCCCGGGGAGGTTGCTGAGCACCACTTCAGGGTCCATGGAGGATGAAGCATTCTTTGAGGATTCTTTGCTCCCACTTCCTGAGATTCCTCCATCAGGAGGCTCCTGAGCAGCTGACGGGGTTTTAGCTAGTTGATTCCTCTCCTCCTCCTTTTGTAAGACTGTCTGTTTCTTTGCTTCTCTTGCACCGCTTGTCTCCTCACTTGGGAAGCCAGTGTCCAGTTCCACAGAGTATTCTTCTTTGACTTCATCACAACCGGTGTGCTTCGGGGATGCCCGGGGGACTTCCTCCCCAGGATCTTTAGGTTCCATCTTGACAGTCTTCTCTACATTTTCAGGAGAGCTTAGAGGTTCTTGGAAGCCCGGAGGCAGTGGCTCCACAACTTGCCTCCCCTCCTCTGTTTTCACAACAGTCCAGACATAGGCACTGTTCTCAGACAAGTCACCCTGGCACACCCCATCTGAGGGCAGAGGTCCTGGGCTGTGCTCCTTTTTGGGGAAGGCAGAGGCACAGAGAGGAGGTGGGTCCTGGGGTTCTACTTTGGGAACCAGGCCTGGCAAGGCATTTTTCCCTTCATCCAAAGGACAACCAACATCCATACTCACTTGGGCCTTCTCTTCAGAGGTGGGCTGTACAGGAAGATTCATAGAGTTGCCAGAAACAATTAAGGGTGGGAGGGAGGAGGCTACAAGGGGCTGGTTCAATGGACATGGGAAGGAAGTAGGGTTAACCAAGAGTGTGGTGATGGGAAGGGTCTGAGAACTCTGGGCCACAGCTGCATTGACAGGCTGAATCATGTTGCAGCCACTGCCAAGGCTCACAACCTTCACAGTGGTGGCAGGAACAGTGAAGATGACAGGTGCAGAGTTGATGAGGGGGACAGACTTCAGACAGAGCGAGGCCTTGGTCCCCTTTTTCTTGGGGCCTCTCCGTTTCGCATACGGCTTTCGGAACTTAGAAGGGGCAAGTGAGGGCAGCATTATCTTGGGCACGGGAGCAGGGGAGAAGAGGGTCTGGGGCTCAGACAAAGGGAAGCTGGTCCTGGCCTCAGGGGATATAGTAGGCAATACTGTTGAGGACTCAAAACTATCACCCCCAGTGACCCTCAGTTGAGGGACAGCTGGCACTGTCTGTAAGACCGTGGCTGGCTGGATCGTTTGAGGAATCCGGACCACCATTTTGCTCGGAGGGGCTTCTGACTGAGTTGATCTGGGTGGCATTTTCCCAGAACTGGAGGTAGGCTGGAGAGAGGGGCTGGGTCTAATAAGGAGGGGCTTCAGGGCTGATGACCGCTTCTGTCTCCAGCCCTTCCTGGAAAAACAGTTGGCAACTGGCTTCAGTTTCAGGACTACACCCTTAGGCAACAGCAGTGGGTACCGAGTCTCACTTCCCAACTCCACGCTGGCTTTTCCTACATCTGGGTCCGGCTTGACCTCAGTGGGGCCTGTCACATTTCCTGCCTCTCTGGCACCATCGGCTACGTGCTGCATTTCCTCCTGGATGGATGGCAGACTGGCCTATTGGGAACAGAAACACTCTGATCTAGCATACGTCAGAATCTGGTAAAAAATAAAATGGGGTTTTCTAGATTTTAGGAACTTTGTCAGGACAGTCTCAAGATAATCTTTTCAAGAGGGATTTTTCTGCACAATATCAGATTTCTACAAAGACTGCATTCCTACTGCATTAGAAGACTACATTCAGAAACTCTTCTCTGAATTTCCTCTAAGAAACTAACATTTTACCCACCTGTGGGAAGGGAAGAAAGAAAGAAGGATGACTTCTTAAATCCTAGTTCTACAACTAAAGCATTAGGAGTGTAAGGTGGAACTGATATTTCTGCCAGGTGTTTAGTGACCTTCTGCCTCTGGTCTCTGAAGAGGAGGGCTTACCTTTAACCAGAATGGAAGCCGGTGTTCTTCCCTCTCTACAGGCGGCTTCCACTGGTGTGGCTGGATCTCTTCACAGCACTTCCCGAAGATGGGCAGCTGTTTGGTCTTCTTATAAAACTGAGCATGAAGAAATGAAGCATGAGTCACATTTCTTTCAAAAACACTGCTCTCTGTCCGGGTAAGGAGTGGGGTGGGCAGCGGTTTGACTGACACAAACACATGTATATAAACAGCATGTGCTGAATGCTTCTGCATTTAAAATTAATCTCTAATTAGTAAAGATTTTACAATTATTCAATGCCTTTTAACTGATAATCTCTATTCAGGTCACCAGGAAGGGAAAAGTTTAGATCACTGAGAAAAGGAAGCAGATGGTCAGAGAAATCTTATTTAAAATGATAACAACAGCCGGGACCGGTTTGGCTCAATGGATAGAGCGTCGGCTTGGGGACTGAAGGGTCCTGGGTTCGATTCCGGTCAAGGGCATGTAGCTTGGTTGCGGGCATATCCCCAGTAGGGGGTGTGCAAGAGGCAGCTGATCGATGACTCTCTCATCGATGTTTCTAACTCTCTATCTCTCTCCCTTCCTCTCTGTATAAAATCAATAAAATATATTTTTTTTAAAATAAAAAATAAAAAATAAAATGATAACAGCAGCAAAATTTTCAAGGCTAAAAAGCAGATGGAGCCCTGGCCGGTTTAGCTCAGTGGATAGAATGTCAGCCCCCAGTCTGAAGGATCTCAGGTTTGATTCCGGTCAAGGGTACATACCTCGGTTGCAGGCTCGATTCCCAGCCCGGGGACTATATGGGAAGCAACCGGCCAAAGTGTCTTGTTCACCCATGTTTCTATCTTTCTGTCTCTCCTTCCCTTCCACTCTCAAATAAAAATCAATGGGAAAATATCCTCAGGTGAGGATTAAAAACAACAAAAAAAGCAGATGGATGAATACTGAAACACATGAGTTTCCAAATTAAGACATAGGAAATGAAAAAAACCAAATCCCATGTGGAAGAACATTCACAGCCAACAAAATTGATGTCAGAGTCTAGCAAAGGCTAAGACACCTCCTACTTACTGAATTGGAGGAAAAGCTACAACTAAAATTAGGTAAAGATGAAGACAGATTAAATCTGTTGAAGAGCCAAACCCCCACCCCTCTCCCATTGTGTGGAGTAGGCACGCCCCACACTGCAGATTGAGCCCGCAACCAAAGAAATGTGCCCTTGACTGGAATCAACCCGGGACCCTTCAGTCTGCAGGCCAATGCTCTATCCACTGAGCCAAAACAGCTAGGGCCAATCAAGCCATGCCGAAACGGGTTTGGCTCAGTGGATAGAGCGTCGGCCTGTGGACTCAAGGGTCCCGGATTCAACTCCAGTCAAGGGCATGTGCCTTGGTTGTAGACATATCCCCAGTAGGGGGTGTGCAGGAGGCAGTTGATCAGTGTTTCTCTCTCATCAATGTTTCTAACTATCCCTCTCCCTTCTTCTCTGTAAAAAATTAATAAAATGTTTTGTTTTAAGTGGAAGCCACTTTTTGTTACCTATCCTGTATTGACTAGCAACACCTGGCCCTTTCTTTCCTTGAAGATAAAATAAATTTCTTCTCTGCATTTATCTCTTCTTTTAGTTGTGAATTCTTTCACAGCCTGAGCCTCCAGCCAAAGCCTTAATAAGTCCCCAGGTAGAACTTGCAGGAAACACTTACTTTGAAGATGTTGTCAGGAGCTCTGTTCATGCTGCGGTTCTTGATTCTCACTGTCAGTTGGTGGGCAGTCTTGCAAGTTAGAAGGTACTTGCTAATTAGAGGCTTAGGAAACTCGGTCCCTTCAAAGTGCTTTAGTCCTAGAACTAGCAAACTGAGAAAGAACAATGACTTGAAATCTCACTTCACAATCCATTCTTCTAAAAAGGCTCCCCAGACTAACTCCGCATTTTACAATCCACTTTTTCTACATCTAATTCTTGTATAAGTTAGTGACTACTCAACAAAAAATTTCAGATATTTACTGAGTGTTAATAAGTACAATGAACAATACTCAATGAGAAATTCACACTGTGTAGAAAGAGGAAACCCTAAGTGTAAATCACTAATGAATGTCAGAACATGTGAGTTTTCATATTTTGTATTTCTTTGAACTTTGTATTCAAAGGAAGGAGGATGGCTGTAATAAAACAAATATAAAAAACAATGGGCACCATGTTAAGCATATGAAGTCAATACCAACTCTATCTCCCATAACATAATCTATTATGGTAACCTATGTACATATTTTCTGATGGCAATAGGGCAATACACATCAAGAGCCATAAAAATATCCCTAGCCTTTATGGCATAATCTCACTCTTGGGAATTTACCGGAAGGGATGAACACCAAAGATTTTCAAAAGCTCTATGTATAGCCCAGCCAGAGTGGCTCGGTTGGCTAAGTGCTGTTCTGTGCACCGAAAGGTTGCCAGTTTAGTTCAGGTAAGGGCACATACCTGGGTTGAATTTGATCCCTGATTGGGGCAGGTACAGATGGCAACTGGCAACAGATAGATGTTTCTCTGTCACATAGATTTTTTTTTTGTGTGTGTGTGTGTGTGTGTGTGTGTGCGCGCTTCTCTCTCTCTCTCTCTCTCTCTCTCTCTCTCTCTCTCTCTCTCTCTCTCTCTCTCTCCATTCCTCTCTCTAAGCATGTCCTCAGGTTGAACTTAAAAAAAAAAAAATAAATAAAGCTCTAAGTGTACAAAGATCTTTGGGGAAGCCTCACTCACAACTGCAAAACAGCAGAAGGGAGAAAAGTAGCAAACGAAAGAAATATCATAGGGCCATTAAATATTGCTTTTAGCTGAAACGGGTTTTGCTCAGTGGTTAGAGCGTTGGCTTGCGGACTGAAAGGTCCTAGGTTCGATTCCAGTCAAGGACATGTACCTGGGTTGTGGGCACATCCCCAGTGGGGGGGGGGTACAAGAGGCAGCTGATCAATGATTCTCATCCATGTTTCTAACTCTCTATCCCTCTCTCTTCCTCTCTATAAAAAATCAATTAAAATATATATATACACATATGTTTAAATATTGCTTTAAAGGATAATATACAAAAACAATAAGAAGAAAACTGTTACAGCAAATAGAAAAACAACTTTAAAAAGGTGTCAGGTTAGCCTTGGCAGTGTTCTCAGTGGTTAGAGTGTTGGCCTACACACCTAAGAGTTGTGGGTTCGATTTCTGGCATAGACCTGGATTGCAGATTTGATCCTGGCCCTAGTTGGGGCTCATATGGGAGGCAACCAATCAATATGTCTCCCTCACATCAATGTTTCTCTTTCTCCCCCTCTCTGCCTCCCTTACAATCTCTAGAAATCAATGGAAAAAATATCCTTGGATGAGAATTAAAACAAAAACAAAAAGACAAAGTTTAAAAAAGGCAAAAAAAATGTATTTAAATCGCCAATAATTATACAAGAAATGCAAGAGAAAAATCATTATCTTGGGGTTATTAGAATAGTGCATAAAAATTTTTTTCCCTTTGGAAAATTTCTTCTAATAGTACATATTACAAGATTGTTCTTTACAATCAAACATAATTTAAAATGTTTGGAAAATGTGAATAGTATTTGGCAATGCTGAAACAAGCACGTATTACATAACGTTTTAACAACCAACACTGCTTTTCTTTGTCTTTTGTGTCCATATCTTATACATGACTTATTTCCCTAAGCTCCTTAAGAAATAATAACTAAACTTCTCTTCAGGATATTCTGTGCTAACCCCTCCATAATAAACCCTTACTTGTCCTCAGCCTTGGTGAATGAATTCTTATCCTGGGGATTCTTTGCCTTCAGGGAACACACTGGAAGTAGCTCTGGGTACATGAAAACCTTGCTTGTGGCCAGGATCCAAGCCACTTGCTTTGGTAAACAGGGAAATTTACAGGCTGTAAGAAAAAAAAAAAAAATCCCAATAAATTAAATTCTAGAATAGGACTTCACACAAGTTTCTGATTGCATTTTTGCATTTAGATAGAGTTGTCCCCACCTAACTTAATCCCCTCCAAATCCACACAAAAGTTTCCACAACTTTCTGAGCCTAACATATACCTCATGGGAATCCCATTCAATGTTACTAAAATTTGATTTTCTTATTCTTTCCTATTTGGAACACTTAACACACTAAGTAACATAAATACTTAGAAAGTACCTACTAATGCCTGGCACAGTGTATGCTAAAAGTATTTTTACCTCCTTCCCCTTTTAGATCCTTGAAAGATAAATGATCTCAACAATGCTTGCTTTCTTCCAGGATAAGATTTCAACTTCTTAAATGTCCCTCACAAATCTGGTATTCCAAATTTTATTTTATTCTTACTTAACTTTCATTAACTTTCTCCCAGTTTCCTCCCGAGGATGGGAATTAAAAAACATAAGGAGAATGAGACGACATGGTCCCATTAATTTCTGTTTTATGGCCTAAGTCTCTCAATTCCAGGCATTTTTCTGCCTTTCCAGAGATAAGAACTACGATAGCCATACTCCTCCTTCCATAGATATTTTTGTCACCAGAAAAAAGGTACAGGACACTGTATATATTAGTCATTACTGAAGTTTGGTATTAAATTAAGTTTTCAATATAGCTAATAAACATATAGCTAATAAAGTAGTTTGAGATCAGTTTCCATGACCTAATGAACCTTAATTCAAATATATTCAATTTAACTATGAGAGTCAGGGACTTAAAATCAAATCCAAAGACAACCTAAATCCAGACCAAACCACAACTAATTTGCTAAACCAGGAAACAAATATTTATAAAGTATATGGGTGATGCTTCTTTTCTGATGAGATACCAAACGGTGGATAACACTGGTGCTACAGCAGGGCCCGGAGGGCCTAGGGGCCCTGTAAAAGGGGGCCACTACCGCTTCTGAGGAGGATTTGGCAGCGGCATCTGGGGCCAAGATCAAGGCTCAGGTCAGGGCCTAAGCCAGGGCCGCAGCCATGGAGCTCTCAAAGGCAAGGCCAAGGACAAGGAGTGCTCCCAGTCACCAAGCTGGGCTTCCTGGTTAAAAATTGAAGACCAAGTCCCTGGATGAAATCTAGCTCTTCTCCCTGCCCATCAAGGAATCTGAGATTATTGACTTTTTCCGGTGAATTTCCACAAAGATGAGGTTTCGGAGATTATGCCTGTGCAAAGGCAGACACGTGCTGGCCAAAGGACCTGGTTCAAGGCATTTGTTGCCACTGGGGACTACAATGGACACGTTGGTCTGGGTGTTAAGTGCTGGAAGGAAATAGCCACTGTCCCCTACCCGTCTTGACAGTTTTACGAGGACTCCAATCAATGCTGACATGTGTTTTGAAATCTTCAATGAGCTTCATGGCTCCCATCAGATTACAGGGTTGGAACAAGGTCTGAAACTTGGAGTTGAACTGCTGGTGAAGGGCAATGGAGCTTTGAGCAAAGGTTCCCAGCTCTTCCTGGGAAAACAGGGCACAAAGAGATTTAAGTTCCAGGCCATTAGTATCAATTGCCCTTATCTTCTGTGTGAAAAACTGTCCTTCCTATTACAGGATAAAAACAGGTAAAAAAAAAAAAAAAAAATCATCCTAAACGCTTTCACAATTAACATTACCTCTTTAAGACTGCAAGTCAGAGCAATACTCTCAAGGAAACTGAATACACTCTCTGCCCTTTCATGAAAATCAGTGATTTATGTTCTTTCAGCAAACACAGGAAGACATAGGAATAGCTACCAAAACATGCAGGAGAGAAGAAGAAATATAGATTATGGTGGGTGAATATCTGTGAGAAATGACTTGCCAAGCTAACTGTATACTCTATCTTTAGAGTTGGGGATATTTGGAACCTTACAAGAAATATCCTGGTAGTACTGGCCTCCGAGTTGAGACTGGGGTTGGAGGTGGAGAGAAGGTGAATTTGCGTCAAGAGCTGAACATGCTGGGAAAGGAAAGAAAACAACACAGTGACACGTTATCATGCCATTTGAGGAACCCAGAAGATCTTGTCAAGATATCTGCAACTTTATTATACATCTTTTGCTTTCTCGATAGTCTATAAGTACAACATAGTATGAATTTTACAGTTATGTTTCCCTGGAGCAAAATAATAGAATCAGAAGAAATTTAACCTCAAACCAGAGAAACTGAGATTAGAAAGAAGAAACAACTATTCTGGCCACAAGGTTGTTAAATCAGAACAGATTACTAGGATTCTTTGAAATCTATAATTCTGAATATTATCAACATACATATATGCATTCTCGCCTGAGCCATGATGACTCATGAGCATAAGTTTTCAGGGCCCCGCTGATGTGAAGATCCTGGGGTCCTATGGTTTCAATGAGTGTCAAGACACCTATTTCTGACTTTTACAAAGCTGCCCACTTTGGCTTCAGGTCCAAGACATGGGACGATCCAATGGAACATTACCAAGAAGAGTCTCACCTGCTGCATCTGCTGCTGGAGCCTCTTCCTCTGAGCTGGGTCTAGAATCAGAGTCTGAGGAACGTTCTCGCTCTGGGGCTTCACCCTTTCTACTTCCTGCTGCTGTTTGGCTGAAGATTTTCTCAACTTCAGCTGCTCCAGGAGCTCCTTCATTGTACGATGTTGCTCATTTAGCAAGTTGGCCAGTGGTTCTTCAAACCTATTCCCAACAGGGAGATGACTGAATGTGAACATTTCCGTTGGTCCACAACACATCCAATTCCTTCTAATAGTGGTCTAAGAGAGTCTATCTACTGATAATTCCTAAATTCCACTTTAGCCAGTAAGCAAAACTGGTATTCTATCCAAATCTTTTCCCAAAGTTGTTAGCATAGATTCAAATAAGATGATTCTGAACTGTGCCTCATTCCCATTTTTCTATAATCAGTCCTCTAAGTAATCCTATATAACATGTAATAAAAGCCTAATATGCTAAGTGTCCAACCACTCGACTAGTCGCTATGACACACACTGACCACCAGGGGGCAGATGCCCCGACCAGTAGATTAGCTTGCTGCTGGGGTCTGGCCAATCGGGAATGGGCGAAAAGGGCCAGACAAATCCTGGACAAATCCGTGTACTGGGCTGGTTTCGGCCCAATCCCAGCAGGCCAGGTGAGGGACCTCACGGGTACACAAACCCATGCACTGGGCCTCTAGTATACAAATAAAAGGAGAAAAACATCAGGATAACGAAGCAGTCAAAGAGCAAATGGAAACTTACCATTCCAATATCATAATGATATGCACATTAATCTGGAACTTGTTCTTAACAAGTATATAAAATATCCTCAAAGTATAGCATTTGTTCTCTGACATACCCATTCCTCCAATCCCTGATCTAGCTTCTCCCATTCCACTCTTGTTCTGCACTGCTTTTTTTTCTTAAAAATTCAAAGACCTGCAGGCACGAAGCAACAAGGGATATACTAAAATACATGGCAGTTTAACTGACCTGGTGAATATGGCTCGCCATATCCTGGTAACTCCCTGAAACCCCATCTGGTGAGACAAAGGGCTTCTAGAAAACCAGGTGGCCTGCCTACACTCGCTTACAAACATTCACTGTAAGCTGAAGCCTAGAGACAGCAGCTCGAAAGGGGCCAGAGACATACAGGGACAAACTGAATTGTATGGCTTCATGGCAAGCGCCACCATTGTCCCTGTGTTGAGCCCTCCCTACACACAGCTGGCAGATGCAGGAGGGTGCCAAATCTGAATCTGCATTAACCTAATGAACACCATTAGCACCAGCAGGTGACACCGAGACTCTGCTCCAACCAACATTGTCAATAACACCTCAATAAAGCTAAAAGTGGAAATTCTGAGATACTTGTTATAGTTTCATTATGGTATTTATTGCAATGGAGTATGACTAATATTTCTAGCTTTTACACATTGGCTAATATACTTTGTTGTCTTCACTAAACTGCAAGTTCCCTTAAAGACTAGCTTTCAAATGGATCACAGGCTCTCTAGCTAGGTAATGCTGTTCCGTTAAAACACAGGACTCATTAGGAGCTGTGGATCTCTAAGTTTTGCTTTGTTCCACCCAGGGAATAAACCCCATCTTGGTTTGTTTCTTCTAAGTATGAATAACAATAATGTACAGATAGATTATGCAAACCCATCGCAAAAATAGGGGGGGGGGGGAATTAAAGCCTCTACTTTCTGGGTGAAGCAACAAAAGTTCTAGCTTTATGTGATGAGGGCAGTACATATATTTCAGACTCTAGGGCATTACTACAGGTGCTTCATGGTTTGTTCAATTAATGCCTAGGTAATTAACAAACATTCATTAACATTTACCAGATGTTAACGGCAAACGAGGTGAACAAAGAGACATGATGGATATGACAATTTGGGGTAGTTTTTGTGGCTGGCCACAGAATCCTACATACCTCTCCAGCACCACTCACCTGGAGAAGTTGTCATTGATGCCAGCTGCTGATTTTTCTCCCTTCCCAAACAGATACAGCTTGGTCTATAGCTGCACTGCCCCGTAATAAGGAGATTTATTCACCTGACAGCTAATACCCCGTAGGGCTGGGGAATTAACTGAAATTTCTGAAAACCTTTTCAGAAGACATTTTTTCTCTTTTCTAAGTTTCAAGGTCTTTGACAGGCCTACCGTAGGGCTTGAGGAGTATTAAAGTTAGGTCGAGGCTCGGCCACACGTTCCTCTTCCTCTGGGCCATCATCCTCCATGCTGGGGAATCCCATCTCATCTTGGAACTGAGGAAAAGGAAAAGGAGCATTTTCCTGGGGAACGGGCATGTGAAGTCCCTGCAGCAGTGAGAAGGGAAATCAATCACTAAGTTTACAGGATATGCTGGCACTCAGAATATTTTTCTCACTTGAGGACTTCCACAGTCCTGCACATGGGATGACTACACTGTTACCCAAGGGGGAAAAAAAAATCTCTCAACTGGTCAATCTGTATAGCTAAGGACAGAGCATGGATAACTCACAGTGATCATAACTATCTTTCAAGAGACAAATTTATGAAAAAAGTAACTATGTGAGTTTAGAATAATCTAAAACTACTATGCAATCCTTAAGGATGCACCAAATGATAACTGGGAAGGCCATCCAGTTTGCAAGTAAAGTTTACTAAGAATTATCTATATATAGATAATCCAAGTTTGTTAGTAATCAATATTCTCCTGCCATTATATTCTCTCCTGGGTGGACTAAACGGAGAATTGGCTTTGTATGAACATCATTCTGGAGGCAGAGGCCCTGGGACCAAAAGACAGAGCTTGCTGAAGAATCTACTTTTACATCCATTCTTACCCAAAGATCCTTACTCACAGTTTCAAACAGCTCTTCCATCAGTCCATTCACTTCCTTTTCTGCAAGAAAACCCAAACAGTATGTTGTGGGCACATTCCCATCAGAGGGAATTCCAAGAAAACAATGTATGTTATTTTCAGCAAGGCATTTGACAAAATCCTCATATATATTTAACATTCATTATTCAAAAACATTTACTGAATACCAATTATGCCTCAATCCTGTTCTAGAAACTTGGAATACATGAGAGACTAAACAGTCTTATTCTTGTGAAGTCGGAGTAGCTCAGTGGTTGAGTATCACAGTTCGATTCCTAGTCAGGACATATTCCAGGGTTGCCAGCTTGATTCCTAATAGGGGGCATGCAGGAGGCCAATCAATAATTCTCTCTCATCATTGATGTTTCTATCTCTCCCTCTTCCTTCCTCTCTGAAATAAAATATTTTTTAAATATTTATATAGGCCAAATCGGTTTGCTCAATGGATAGAGCGTCGGCCTGCGGACTGAAAGGTCCCAGGTTTGATTCTGGTCAAGGGCATGTACCTTGGTTGCGGGCACATCCCCAGTAGGGGGTCATCGATGTTTCTAACTCTCTATCCCTCTCCCTTCCTCTCTGTGAAAAATCCATAAAATATATTTTTTAAATATTTATATAAAAAATAATAATAAAAATAAAACTTTCTTCATAACCTGGTCAAAAGCTAACAATGTAATATATGTAATAAAAATCAATACTTTCTGAAATATGTTTTCTATCACTGGCAATGAAGTAATTTTTCAAACAAATGACTCAAGTCAAGTGATTTGCTTTGCATGCCTCCAATCTTGTCTCTTTATATTAAACTGGTAGTTAATCAAAACGGTATTTCTAAAATCCAAATAAGTTCCTATTGATTTCCAACTTAAAACTCTTTGAGCTAGCCTTTTTGATAAACCAAAACTCAAATTCAAGGTTCTCAAATTCCAAGTCTGAACACTGATTACCCTTTTCTACCACCATTTACTCACACAACTATACCAACTACTTACTATTTCCCCAACACACTTATTGTTGTTTCACAATTCTGTTGATTATAGATGCTCTATATTTGTAATATCTTTCTCTGCCCTCATATACCAAAAATTTCCTATTCCTCCTTCAAAACTAGAATAAAAAAATCTCAACTTGTGAATCCTTCCCTGAGCCCTCCCACCCTAATTTCATACCATCACTATATTTTACCCTCTTTTAGGCCACTAGCATACCCTATACACAATTTATCACTTTGTATTATAATGTTTTCTTTTAAAATATATTTTTATTGATTTCAAAGAGGAATGGAGAGGGAGAGACAGAAACATCAATGATGAGAGAGAATCATTGATTGGCTGCCTCCTGCACACCCCCTACTAGGCATCAAGTCTGCAACCGAGGCACCTGCCCCGACCAGAATTGAATTTAGGACCCTTCGGTCTACAGGTTATCCCTTATTCATTGAGCCAAACCGACTGGACTATTATAATGTCTTCTGTTTGTATCCCTACAAAACTGTCACCCTATAAGACTCAGGCCACGTTTTATTCATTATGATATTCTAAGTATAATCCCTGCCAAATACTGGACTCAATACGTAACTATGAAATGTGTAAATGAGTGACTGATAGGCTTTCTGAATATATACCTACATTTAAAGATTTATAGAAATAGGATAGAGGAAGCTTAAATGTCTCAGGTTAAATGGACTGCAAATTTTACCCTCAAAAATATACAAAGTGAACAAATGTAGATGGGACACAGATAAGAGCAGGACCCACAGTAAACACAGACTCACTGGTGATTCTCACTGCCCGGTCGGTGCGGAAATCCTCTGTGTCTGGTTCGTCACGGTCTTCCAGGAAATTGTATTCTGGATCATCATCATCATCCGCCTCATCTAGAAAACACAGTTTCAGACACTCATTCCCAACCCTGAACTCTTATCTTTATTTTTTTATTTTTTTTTAATATATTTTATTGATTTTTTACAAAGAGGAAGGGAGAAAGATAGAGAGCTAGAAACGATGAGAGAGAAACATCGACCAGCTGCCTCTTGCACACCCCCTACCGGGGATGTGCCTGCAACCAAGATACATGCCCTTGACCGGAATCGAACCCGGGACCTTTCAGTCCGCAGGCAGCCGCTCTACCACTGAGCCACACCGGTTTCGGCTGAACTCTTATCTTTAGTGACAATGTAAGATAGTCAGCACTGAGACTCTGTTCCAATAAAGAACATTTATCCTTAAGTTGTTTTTGTTTTGTTTTGTTTTTAATATATTTTATTGATTTTTTTAAAAAGAGGAAGGGAGAGGGATAGAGAGCCAGAAAAACCAATGAGAGGGAAACTTCGATCAGCTGCCTCCTGCACACCCCCCAGGGATATGGCCCACAACCAAGATACAGACCCTTGACCAGAATCGATCCTGGGACCCTTCAGTCCACAGGCTGACGCTTTATCCACTGAGCCAAATCTGCCAGGGCTATCCTTAAGTTTTAAAAGAATTTATTTTTTATCCTCCGTGCCTTTGCACAGATCACTTCCTACAGCTGACTCATCTCACCTATCCTCTCCAATAAGCCAAATTTCTTCCTTCCTCCAAACAAGACTTAAATCTGTCAAAATGCAGCAAAAGCAAGAAAACTGGACATGTAATTTATCTCAGGAATCCCACTTTGATTATTACATCTTATTAAAATAATACTTTTTTTAATATATTTTATTGATCCTTTTACAGAGAGGAAGGGAGAGAGAGAGCTAGAAACGTCGATGAGAGAGAAACACCGACCAGCTGCCTCTTGCACACCCCCCACCGGGGATGTGCCCACAACCAACGCACATGCCCCTGACCAGAATCAAACCTGGGACCCTTCAGTCCGCAGACCGACGCTCTACCACTGAGCCAAACCGGTTTTGGCTGAAAATAATACTTTTGTTAAACTTCATGAAGGCATTGATGGTGAAAAAATAAATAAATCTAATTCCCCAAAATTAGGAAATGACTAATATACGAAATGCAAAGATGCAATATTCTATAAGAATTCAATACATACATGCCGAGACCGGTTTGGCTCAGTGGATAGAGCGTCAGCCTGCGGACTGAAAGGTCCTGGGTTCGATTCCGGTCAAGGGCATGTATCTTGGTTGCGAGCACATCCCCGGTGGGGGGTGTGCAAGAGGCAGCTGGTTGATGTTTCTCTCTCATTGACGTTTCTAACTCTCTATCCCTCTCAATTCCTCTCTGTGTAAAATCAATAAAATATATATTTTTTAAAAAAAATTCAATACATACATGACAAAAAACACAATGTAATAACATAATAATCATTAAGTTTCAAAAATTATATCTCTATATTAGGACTAAAAAATAACTAAAAATACACAAAAATAATAAACATTTGTTATGTTAAGATATAGAAATATGGTTGTGTTTCTCCCTAATAATTTTCTCTAGATCTTTCCCATTTCCCAATTGTTTGCCCAGCCTGTGTGGCTCAGTGGTTGAGCATTAACCTATGAACCAGGAGGTCATGAAGAAATCATTGAATTATTGTTATATTAAAGTAATATTTTTCTGAGGCTTTATTATTTTTTAATTATGTATTTTAAAATATTTTTGTTGATTTCAGAGAGGAAGGGAAAGGGAGAGATAGAAACATCAATGTTGACAAAGAATCACTGATCGGCTGTCCCCTGCATGCCCCCTACTAGGGATCAAGCCTGACTCAGGCATGTGCCCTGACCGGGAATCAAACCATGACTTCCTGGTTCATAGGTTGTCGGTTATTCACTGACCCACACTGGGTAGGCCCTGGGACAACTTTAGATCAGTGATGTCCAAGAGAACTTTCTACAATGATGAAAACGTTATAAATATGCATTGTACAACAATAGTAGCCACTGACTGTGTAGAAGTTGAGAACTTGAAATGTGGCTAGTGCAACTGAGGAACTGAATATATATATATATATATATATATATATATATATATATATATATATGTGTGTGTGTGTGTGTGTGTGTGTGTGTGTGTGTGTGTCTCTTTATTGATTTCAAAGAGGAAAGGAGAGAGGAGAGACAGAAACATCAATGATAAGAAAGAATCATGACTGGGTGCCTCCTGCACATCCCCTACAAGGGATCAAGCCCCCAACGCAAGCATGTGCTCTTGAGTGGAATCGAACCTGGGACCCTTCAGTCTGCAGGCTGACACTCTATGCACTGAGCCAAATCAGCTGCCTCCTGCACACCCCCTAACGGGCATGTGCCCACAACCAATGTATATGCCCTTGACCGGAACTGAACCTGGGACCTTTCAGTCCGCAGACCAACGCTCTATCCATTGAGCCAAACCGGTTTCGGCTAACCTATGGAATTCTGTCTTCCTAAACTCTACAGTCATTTCTTATTAAGTCTCTTCACAGAAGATCCTTTTCAAACACTGCTGAATAATGAAAGCACTGAAAGAGCCTATAACATATGGATATTATATTAATGTTTGGACACCCATCTGTTTGGGTGTAAGAATTGCAACAGACAACTTCTGCTCACAACACACAAATGGGTCAGCCAATGTTCTCAGAATACCTATTTGGCAAACATGTTAAAAATCAATGAAAAACATATCCTTGGGTGAGGATTAAAAAAAGAGAATAGGACAAAATCTGGAATCATTACAATCCTTCTGATCTGAGGACAATGTAAGAAGTAAACAATGTGCTTATGACTATGGTACAAGCCTTACAGAATAAAACAGGTTTAATAATGGAGTTGATTGACAAAAAGAAGTAGAGATGAAAACTATAGAGAAGGAAGGAGGGCTGTAACAGGGTGCCAACTCTAGTCTGGTTTCATTTGACCTTCTTGCAAGTGGGAGTTTGGATTCTTTCACTTGCATCATAAAGAACCTTAACACATACAACCAATAGACACAAAACTCTGAGGAGGGAGGGTATGTATGGGGGTGGGGGACAATGATAAAATATGTACACAGATAATAATTTAATTTTAAAAAAAACTAATAAACAAAATATCCAAATAAATAAATATTTTTATTATATATTCTAAAAAAAAAAAAAAAAAAAAAAAGAACCTTAACACAATAGTCAAGTGAACCAATGCACTCCAATCAATGAGAGGGTATATAAAATTATGTGTGCATTTATATTTCAGGGGAAGATTCTTAGCATTCAAGATTCCCAAAGATTCTAAAACAAAAAAGGAGGGAAGAAAGGAATTTAACTACTAATCTATCTATACAAAATTGTAATATACAAATCGACCAAATGGCAGAATGACCAATCGTTATGACATGCACTGACCACCAGGGGCAGATGCTCAATGCAGGAGCTGCTCCCAGCCCAAAGGCCCCAATTGGGGGTGGGGTGGGGGGTAAAAGTGTTAGCAAGCACGTAGCACCAGGCCAACCAAGGCAGGTTCAAGTGAGGGCTCTGATCACTCTGGCAGTCATCCCCCAAAGATCGGCTCTGATCACCGGCCAGGCCTAGGGACCCTAACCGTACACAAATTTTGTGCACCAGGCCACTAGTCCTATATAATAAAAGGCTAATATACAAATCAACCAATGGCGGAACGATTATTGCTATGACACACACTGACCACTGGGGGTGGGGGGAAAGACGCTGAACACAAGAGCTACCCTCTGGTGGTCAGTCTATTCTCACAGGGGGAGCACTGCTCAGCCAGAAGCTGGGCTCACGGCACAGGCTGGGCTGAGGGACTCCTTGAGAGCACAAATTTTGTGCACCAGGCCTCTAGTTTAAAATAAATTGCTGGATAAATACCAAATTCAATTAACCAAAAATATCTTCTTTAAGGTCCTAACTAATGAAAATTTCACCACAAAGTAGACAAAGTAGATAGCAAATGAAAGTAAAACTACTTACCTTCATTCCCCACATCATCATTCATAAGTCCCCCAAGCCACAACTTCCATTCCTCATCATCTGCTGTATTGTGGTCATACATGTCTGGGGTGATGTCTGGAGCTTGAAGCTCTGCCTCTAGTTGTCCCAGGGGAACATCTGTCAGAGGCATCTTAGAGCGGGTTCGGAACGCAATGAGACTGTCATCCATTGGCTAGCCAATAGAGAAGGAAATAAAAACATATCACTGAATGCCTAATGCTTCCAAATTCTCCAAATCTCATCATATTCTATGTGTTTCTCTTCTCTAAACTATTTGGGTTTATTATTCTTTGAGAAACTTTAACGATAATGACATCAGTCTTAAAACCAAATTTCGAAGACATTTAAAACAGCTTACTAAACTATAATTTATATGTCATAAAATTCACCATTAAAGACCTGCCAGAGTGGCTCAGTGGTTGAGCATTGACCTATAAACCAGGAGGTCACAGTTTGATTCCCAGTGAGGGCACAAGTCTGGGTTGCAGGCTCAATCTCCAGTAGGGGGTGTGCAAGAGGCAGCCAATCAATGACTATTGTTTCTATCTCTCTCTGAAATCAATAAAAATGTATTTAAAAAAAGAGAAATGATCCTTTCATTAAAAAAAAAAAAATTACCATTACAGGTATAAAACTGAGTGGATTTTACTGTATTCACAGAGTTGTAACTATTAAACTCCTGAACATTTTCGTTACCCGGCTCAAAAAATCCAATTCCCGCCGAAACCGGTTTGGCTCAATGGATAGAGCGTCGGCTTGGGGACTGAAGAGTCCCAGGTTCGATTCCGGTCAAGGGCATGTACCTTGGTTGTGGGCATATCCCCAGTGGGGGGTGTGCAAGAGGCAGCTGATCGATGACTCTCTCTCATTGATGTTTCTAACTCTCTATCTCTCTCCCTTCCTATCTGTACAAAATCAATAAAATAAAATAAAAAAATAAAAAAAATCCAATTCCCACTAGCAGTCACTCCCAACCCATTCTCACCTGCATCCAGTCTCTGTTAACCACTTATCTACCTTCTGTCTCTAAAGATTTGCTTATGCTGGCTATTTCATATAAATGGAATCATACAATATGTACGTAGCCTTCTGTCTCTGGCTTCTTTTACTTAGCATAAGTTCATTTTGTAGAATGTATCAAACCTTTGTTCCTTTTTAGTGCACAATAATATTCCATTATATGTGGATATACAATTTCTGGTTTATTCCTTTATCACTTGAGGAAAACTTCAGTTGTTTTTAATTTGGAGCTACTATGAATAATACTGCTGTGAACATTTCTGTGTACATTTTTACATGGACATGATTTCAATTCTCTGGAAAAGGAACTGCTGGGTCATATGGTAATTATTGAGAAACCACCAAACCGTTTTTCCAAAGTGGCTGTACCAGTTTATGTTCCCAGCAGCAACATTATAACCATCCTAGTGGTAATGAAGTGAAATCTCATTGTAGTTTTGATTTGCACTTTCCTAATGACTGAAAATGTGGAGCATCTTTTCACTGCTTATTGTCCATTTGCATATTTTCTTTGGAGAAATGTCTATTCATATGCTTTGCCCATTACAAATTTTTTAATTTTTCAATTATAGTTGACATACAATATTATAATAGTTTTAGGTATATAACATAGTGATTAGGTATTTACATAACTTACATAAGTCTAATACCCATCTGACACCATACTGTTGACTATATTCCCCTTGACTGATTTTATACTAGCAATTTGTACATCTGAATCCCTTCCCTTTAGTCCTTCATCCCCCTCTAACTCCTTCCCAAATTTCCAGTTTTTAATTGGGTTGCTAATTAAACATTTGTCCCTAAAGAACATTTTTGCCGAGACTGATTTGGCTCAGTGGATAAAGCTTGGTCTGTGGACTCAAGAGTCCCAGGTTTGATTCTGGTCAAGAGCATGTAACTTGGTTATATGGGCACATCCCCAGTAGGAGGTGTGCAGGAGGCACCTGATCGGTGTTTCTCTCTCATCGATGTTTCTAACTCTCTATCTCTCTCCCTTCCTCTCTGTACAAAATCAATAAAATACATTTTTTTTAATTTACTCATTTTATTTATTTTTTTAATATATTTTATTGATTTTGTACAGAGAGGAAGGGAGAGAGATAGTCAGAAACATCGATGAGAGAGAGTCATCGATCAGTTGACTCTTGCACACCCCCCACTGGAAATATGCCCGCAACCAAGGTACAAGCCCTTGACCGGAATCGAACCAGGATCCCTTCAGTCCCCAAGCCGACGCTCTATCCATTGAGCGAAACCAGTTTTGGCTAATTTACTCATTTTAGAGAGAAAGGAAAGGGGGAGAGGAAAGGGGGGAGAGAAATTGAAATTTGTTGTATCATTTATTTATGCATTCATTGGTTGAATCTTGAATCTTGTATGTGCTCTGACCGGGGATTGAACCTATAACCTTGGTGTATCGGGACAATGCTCTAAACAACTGGGCTATCCAGCCTGAGCAAAATCTAAGTTCTTTATTATGGGTTTTCAAAACCTTCATGATCCTACGCTCAAGCTTAGCTCTTACCCCGCTCCTACTACTTCCCGTGATCCTTATGAATCAGGAACTTTAAATGTGCTATTTCCTATGAATGACCATTTCCCCCAGATCTTTTACATATGCCTGCTCTTTCTCATTCAGATCTCAGCTCAAATGTCGCCTTCTCAAGAGGCTTTGTTGTTGTTAATCATCACCTGAGAATGTCTATCCACTGAGTTTTTGAAAGATAGAGGGAGAGACAGAGAGAAACATTGATGTGAGAGACATCATTTGATTGCCTCCCACATGCGCCCAGACCAAGGCCAAGGATCAAGCTGTAACCGAAGTATGTGCCCTTCAGTCTATGGACCAACGCTCTATCCACTGAGCCAAACTGGTTAGGGCTATGTTCCACATTTAAAATGCTTTCTTTCACATACCTTATTCCTTCCTTAGGAGCTGCCATTCTCACAATAAAATAGTACAAATAAAGTAGGATATCAAAGACCTACAATTTTATAACTTTTACTTATATCAGAATTTAATTATCATCCCCTCTCTCTTCCCAACATAACAAATAAATTACTCCATTTGACTTCCCCAGTGATTTATTATTTTCTTTTTAATCTGTTGTTATTAATCCTCACCTGGAGATATTTTTTCTATTGATTTTTAGAGAGAGTGGAAGGGAAGGAAGGAGGGAAAGAAAGGAGGAGGGAGGGAGAGAAAGGGAGAAACATCCATCAATGTGAGAAAGACACATCAATATGGTGCCTCTTGCATATGCCCAGACCAGGGCTGGGAATCAAACCTACAACCCTGGTATGTACCCTGAATGGGAATAGAACCTTTGACCCTTGTTCATGGGGTGACACTTTAACCAATAAGCGACACCAGCCAGAGCTCTGAGCAATTAGCATTATACTTACCTGAAAAGAATCCATGCAGACTGGACTAGATGCCAGTTCCTCATCCACAGCATGCAACTTCTCCATGAAAGTACTATCTCTGGTCTGTTTGGGCTTTGGTGGGGGTGGCGGCCCCATGGGTACTACCTCAGCACTGATGTGCCTGATGGCAGGTGTGGCAATTTTCTCAGCCTGATTAAAAGATGCAAGCACATTATAAAAATAAATGGAAAGGATGAAAGGAGAGAGAGGGAAAAAGAAGCTGAGAGATCATATACGAATGATCTTTCTGGACCCATCTAGATAGACATGATAGATGTACATAAAAACAAAAACCCTGTCAATATATTAATTTAATTGGGTTTCATGCTATTTCCAATCTAGCCAAAGGTTACTAAGGTTAGCAAAAGTGGGAAATGTTATAAAAATGGCTTTAGGACAATATTAGAAAACTGGTATAAAAAAGAAAAGAGTAGAAAAGAAGAAACTCTGTTAATCACTCTTATTTGGCCCCTTTAATGAGACATCACAAAAGCTCTTTCCCTATCACTGGGTTCAGTTTTCTGATTTAAAAGATTTAAAAGACTTTGGAATTTAAACAATTATAATAACCAGTTAAAAATTCCAGGAAGATCCTGGCATGATTATTGATCTTAATTCATGTTTGGCAAAGGGTAATAGCTCAGAATTCACACAGTTATAACTTATCACTTTTGTAGACATAGGTTTACCTCTGATAATATGCCGTTCTCTTCATCTGTTTCATTCATCTCAGAAGACTGCCTCAGTCTGGATTTCTTTGCCCCACGTGGAGACGAAGCAGTGCTTTCAACATCACTTTCCAACAAACTCTACAAAACATATCCGGTTCACTTTTATATTTATGCCTCTACCTTATTCCACTGAGTATGAAGTACCACAAGAGAATGAAATCACAAATTATCATTCAATTAGAGTAAGAGAAAATACATTTAAATAGAAGCTTAATATTTTGAAGGTAGGAACAGAGATCATCAGATCCATGTGCTCATCAGCAATGCAAACTTTGCAAAGTTGTAAGGCATTCATTAAAGATCCTTTTATAAACAAGTCATACAACACATTTAGAAATAGAATATTACCAAAAAAGAGATAGAATATTACTACAGCTAAAAGAAACAAGATAGCTGAAACCAGTTTGGTTCAGTGGATAGAGGGTGTGCAAGAGGCAGCTGATCAATGATTCTCTCTCATTGATGTCTCTAACTATCCCTCTCTCTTCCTCTCTTTAAAAAAATCAATAAAATATATATATTTTTAAAAAGTCAGTAAAATATATTTTTTTAAAAATAATAATAAAATAAAATAAACAAGATAGATGGATCTCAAAGAATTAATGTTAAAAAATAAAGTCAGACACAAAAAAATACAGACCCTCTCCCTTCAGGGAGTATGACTATGCCATTCCCTCCCAGCTCTCCTTCCCCAGCAGGTACGCATCTCCCAAACTCCAAGGAACCCCAGGAGACTTGTGACCAGGGGAGAAATGGGCAGAACACCTCTTCCAGGGCTAACTCCCTGAGCCTGTCTCCAAGCCCCTTTTCTCTGACTTCCTAGTGAGCCAAAGCAGCCCAGCCTGGGCTCTCCGGTTGCTGCTTCAATGTCCTTCCTTGTTTCACTGTCCTAAGTGTGTTTTTGCTGCAGTCAATAAATTCTTGCTTGCTTTTCTAGAGAGAGAGAGAGAGAGAGAGAGAGAGAGAGAGAGGGAGAGAAAGAGAATACATGCACTATGGGTCCATTTATAAGTTTAAAAACAGTAACTGAACTATAATGTATAGAGCTGCAATTTTAGGTGACATAACTATAAGGAAAAACAAGAAGCCCTAACCAGTTTGGTTCAATGGCTAGAACCTCAACCTGCAGACTGAAGGGTCCCGGGTTCAATTCTGGTCAGGAGCAAATGCCCAAGTTGCAGGCTCAATCCCCAGTGTGAGGTGTGCAGGAGGCAGCCAATCAATGATTCTCTTTCAACATTGATATTTCTATCTCTCTCTCCCTCTTTGAAATTAATAAAAATATTAAATCAAAACAAAGAAGTAATCCAAAAAGTCAGGATAATGGTTATCTTTAGGGAAAGAGAAAATGATTATGATCATGAAGGGCAAATAAGAGGTATCTTGGCAATGTTATATTTAATGATTTTGGAGAAGTTTCATGAGAATTAGCTTTATAATTAGGTTGTATATTTTTACTGTATGTACAGCTCTGTATGTTATGTTATATTTCATAATACAAGATGTGACAAAATTAAGCATGTAAAAATACCTCTCAGACTTGGATTTATGCAAAGTGAGTAGAAAAAAAGAACAGTGTCTCAATCCTCTCTACAGAACAGGTGAATACAAAGCAAGAGAATACACTCTGCCTTATTAAGCCAAATTTTTTTCTATATTATCAACACTCACAGGGTCACCACTGACCTCTTCAGCAGTCTCATCTTCTTCTTCATCATCTGGCTGGTACTCTTCATCTGAGGAATCATCTTCTTCGAGGTTGATATCCACAAACTGAGGAGGCTTCATAAATACAATTACAGAAAGAAATAAAGTAAACAGGAAATATAAACCATGTGTACTTGGAAAATAAGGGGGAAAAGACAAGCAGGAGGGGGGGAAAACCTAAGAGCACAATGAGCTAAAAGTAAGGAACAAGAAGCAGGGGTTAAAGAGACTACTAGCAAGAGAATCAAACCTAACAGTTAACAGAAGAAAAATTAAAGCTGAAATTTTAAATGTTTAAGTTAAAAGTCCCAAAAATGTTAACAAATAAAAAGTACTTAGGTTTCAAAACTGATGAAGTCTTTCTGAAAAAGAATAAGAATTACCTCTTCCAAGTTTACCTTAATTTCATTGGCCTTCTTAATTGGTGAAATATTCCATGTTGGAATTACCTAGCAACAAAGAATATAAGTAGTTAAGTTCTCTTGACTGGAATAGTTTGTTTTTATTTTTTTATTTTATTTTTTTATTTTTTTATTTTTTTTTTAATTCTGTACTGACCACATGCTCCTGCCCCAGCAGCAGTTTGGGGAGCAGCCACTAATTTGGCCAGTTTTATTTATTTATTTATTTATTTATTTATTTATTTATTTATTTGTTTATTTATATTCCTAGTTAAGCCTAAGCCTAAGCCTAGTTAAGCCTAAGCCTAGTGAAGCCTAAGCCTAAGCCTAGTTAAGCCTAAGCCTAAGCCTAGTTAAGCATAAGCCTAAGCCTAGTGAAGCCTAAGCCTAAGCCTAGTGAAGCTTAAGCCTAGTGAAGCCTAAGACTAAACCTAGTTAAGCCTAAACCTAAGCCAAACCTAGTTAAGCCTAAGCCTAATTAAACTTAAGCCTAGTTAAGCCTAAGCCTAAGCCTAGTTAAGCCTAAGCCTAGTGAAGCCTAAGCCTAAGCCTAGTTAAGCCTAAGCCTAAGCCTAGTTAAGCATAAGCCTAAGCCTAGTGAAGCCTAAGCCTAAGCCTAGTTAAGCATAAGCCTAAGCCTAGTGAAGCCTAAGCCTAGTGAAGCTTAAGCCTAGTGAAGCCTAAGACTAAACCTAGTTAAGCCTAAACCTAAGCCAAACCTAGTTAAGCCTAAGCCTAATTAAACTTAAGCCTAAGCCTAAGCCTAGTTAAGCCTAGGCCTAAGTCTAGTTAAGCCTAAGCCTAGTTAAGCTTAAGCCTAGTTAAGCCTAGGCCTAAGCCTAGTTAAGCCTAAGCTTAGTTAAGCCTAAGCCTAAGCCTAGCTAAGCCTAAGCCTAAACCTAAGCCAAGATAAGCCTAGGCCTAAGCCTAGTTAAGCCTAAGTCTAGTTAAGCCTAGGCCTAAGCCTAGTTAAACCTAAGTCTAGTTAAGCCTAGGCCTAAGCCTAGTTAAGCCTAAGTCTAGTTAAGTCTAGGCCTAAGCCTAGTTAAGCCTAAGCTTAGTTAAGCCTAAGCCTAAACCTCGTTAAGCCTAAGCCTAAACCTAGTTAAGCCTAAATCTAGTTAAGCCTAGGCCTAAGCCTAGTTAAGCCTAAGTCTAGTTAAGCCTAGGCCTAAGCCTAGTTAAGTCTAAGCCTAAGCCTAGTTAAGCCTAAGCCTAGTTAAGCCTAAGCCTAGTTAAGCCTAGGCCTAAGCCTAGTTAAGCCTAAGCTTAGTTAAGCCTAAGCCTAAGCCTAAGCCTAGCTAAGCCTAAGCATAAGCCTAAGCCTAGTTAAGCCTAGGCCTAAGCCTAGTTAAGCCTAAGTCTAGTTAAGCCTAGGCCTAAGCCTAGTTAAGCCTAAGCCTAGTTAAGCCTAAGCCTAATTAAGCCTAAGCCTAAGCCTAGTTAAGCCTAAGCCTAAGCCTAGTTAAGCCTAAACCTAATTAAGCCTAAGCCTAAGCCTAGCTAAGCCTAAGCCTAAGCCTAAGCCAAGATAAGCCTAGGCCTAAGCCTAGTTAAGCCTAAGTCTAGTTAAGCCTAGGCCTAAGCCTTGTTAAGCCTAAGTCTAGTTAAGCCTAGGCCTAAGCCTAGCTAAGCCTAAGCATAAGCCTAAGCCTAGTTAAGCCTAAGCCTAAGCCTAGTTAAGCCTAAGTCTAGTTAAGCCTAGGCCTAAGCCTAGTTAAGCCTAAGCCTAGTTAAGCCTAAGCCTAAGCCTAGTTAAGCCTAAGCCTAGTTAAGCCTAAGCCTAGTTAAGCCTAAGCCTAAGCCTAGTTAAGCCTAGGCCTAAGCCTAGTTAAGCCTAAGCTTAGTTAAGCCTAAGCCTAAGCCTAGCTAAGCCTAAGCATAAACCTAAGCCTAGTTAAGCCTAGGCCTAAGTCTAGTTAAGCCTAAGCCTAGTTAAGCCTAAGCCTAGTTAAGCCTAGGCCTAAGCCTAGTTAAGCCTAATTCTAAGCCTAGTTAAGCCTAAGCCTAGTTAAGCCTAAACCTAGTTAAGCCTAAGTCTAAGCCTAGTTAAGCCTAGACCTAAGCCTAAGCCTAAGAATAGACTGTTTTTAATGTTTACTTTCTCGTTACCCTTACAAAGAGCCATTTACCTACCGTGGAGCTGCCCTGAGCTAAGGTACTGCTTATCCCTGAGAGTATACTCTCAAATATTTGTCATAGCTTGACAGCAGAAAAGGTGAGAAACTATTTCCATCATCAGCATTCTGCCTCAAACCAGGTAAGACTCTGTATCTGTCTTGTCTACTTTAAATCACAGCTTGGGTTCACACAAAATAATGAATGTAAAAACTACTTGTAAACTATAATGTTATAGGTGACAGTAGCCTTTTGATATCAGTACTTTTTTACTCAATTACATAAATCTACCATTAGAATGCCTCCAAAGAGCCAGCCACACAAAGTTCCCTTTTTTTAAAAATATGTTTTTATTGATTTCAGAGAGGAAAAGAGAGGGAGACCGAAACATCAATGATGAGAGAGAATCATTGATCAGCTGCCTCCTGCCAACCCATACTGGAAATCGAGCCCGCAACCCAAGCATGTGCCCCCACCACCACCACTGGAATCAAACCCGGGACCCTTCAGTCCACAGACTGACTCTCTACCCATTGGGCGTCAGCCTGCGGACTGAAGGGCAAAACCGGCCAGGGCAACGAAATGTCTTATGAAAGGATTTGGAGTGAGGTGTCAAACTGTCCACAACTTAGTTTCAAATAACTAAGGAATAAACAATAGAGTTATAAAGCAAATATGGCAAAATTTTACAATTGTTAAATCTAGATGGAATATGGATTCACTAAAACTCAACTTTTTTCATGTTTTAAAACAGTAGAGTTGGAGGAAAAAGATTTTAAAATAATTTTTTTAAAGCTCCTACATAATGCTGACAAAATGCCACTGGAGTAGGTAAGTTCTTGATTATTTACTTGTGACCCAATCAAAATCACTTTATGAACAAAATCCAACAGGCCACTGGGTTCTGTCTCTACAAGGAGCCTCAGGTTTTCCACATTTCAGCCCTGCCTTGTCCCCGAGCCACTCATCTGTGTGGCTAGGCCCGCACCAAATGTACAGGGGATGATGTGGTTCAGGGCCACACCCTTTCTCCTGTTTGTTTCTGAACCAATCAGTTCCCCTATTCCCAAATACATCATGAAGGCAAAGCAGCATCTGAAGTGTATTGGAGTCAGTCTACTAAGCATTAAGAAGCAAGAGGAGCCGAAACCGGTTTGGCTCAGTTCATAGAGCATCAGCCTGTGGACTGAAGGGTCCTGGGTTCAATTCAGGGCATGTACCTTGGTTGCGGGCACATCCCCAGTAGGGGATGTGCAAAAGGCAGCTGATCGATGATTCTCTCTCATCAATGTTTCTAACTCTCTATCCCTCTCTCTTCCTCTCTGTAAAAATTCAATAAAATATATATTTTTTTTAAAAATCATTGCTTAGCCGAGACTGGTTTGGCTCAATGGATAGAGCGTCGGCTTGGGGACTGAAAGGTCCCGGGTTCGATTCCGGTCAAGGGCATGTACCTTGGTTGCAGGCATATCCCCAGTAGGGGGTGTGCAAGAGGCAGCTGATCGATGACTCTCTCTCATCGATGTTTCTAACTCTCTATCTCTTTCCCTTCCTCTCTGTACAAAATCAATAAAATATATTTTTTTTAAAAATAAAATAAAATAAAAAATAAAAATCATTGCTTAATTTAAAAAAAAAAAAAAAAAAAAAGCAAGAGGAACTTTAATCCTGCTCTTCCACATAAACTATCGTCTTGGATTGTTCAACTTCTCTACATCTATATTTGTGGCTGGTAAGCATAATCCAGAATCTGATTTAGATCTCCTTGGCCTTTTATTCAAATCAAACATGGAAATGATGTCAATTACACCCCATATGTCAGGTAGACTTCATGTAACTTCTGTCTCTCTGATGGCTGCTTTCATCATAGCTACCACATGTCCATTTGTGTACTTCCTGAAGATGATAGTTCACTTAATACAACAGGGTTAGTTGATTAAATTAAAAAATATGCTATGGCCAAAACTGGTTTGGCTCAGTGGATAGAGCGTCGGCTTGCAGACTGAAAGGTCCCAGGTTCGATTCCAGTCAAGGACATGTACCTTGGTTGCGGGCACATCCCCAGTGGGGGTTGGGGGTGCAGGAGGCAGCTGGTTTCTCTCTCATCAATGTTTCTAGCTTTCTATCCCTCTCCCTCTCTATAAAAAATATCAATAAAATGTATTAAAAATATATATATATATATGATAGGGCTATCAAAAAGCAAACCTCAGACTGCATCAAAAGAAATATGGTATGTGAACATTGAGGGGATAACCTAACTTACCCTGTACTAGTTAAGACACATCGGACCAGTAAATTCCACTTTGGCACACTTTTAAAAGGATACAGACAAACTAGGTACATTCAGAAGAAAAGGATGATTGATAAAAATACTCAAAGCTGTGTCACTTAAAGGCTAATAAAATACTGGGGACGTTTAGCAAGAAAAGAATGTTACAAAAAGAGATGCTAGTTTTCTTTGACTAGAGGAAAGTCATGTGGAAGAGGAACAGACATTTCTTCGATAGGGTTGCAAGGAACAGAGCAGGAAAAAGATAAAAACTGCAATATGTGTGTTGGGTCCATCTTCCTCACTATGAGAGACAGAACGGACTCCCACAGACGATCACTTGCCTTGTCACAGAAGGTAACCACAAACTGGATAAGTGTTTGTTAAGCAGGATGTAAAGTGGTTCCAAGCATCAAAGACCTTGCTATATACCAAAATACTTCACAAGTCTTCAAGTGGTTCTCAAACTTCAGTGTGCGAAAGGAAAAACTAGTGTGTTTTCAACGATACACAATCCCAGGCCCTACTCATGGGTCCTGATAAGTAGGTCTGAGGTGGGCCCAAGAACGTGCATTTTTAATAAGACTTCTGAGGGAACCCACACCAGCGTGATATTGATGCAAGTGGTCCCCAGGACACACTATGAGAAATACTAAACCCTGCCACATATAACGTGAACAGAATTGACCTCTTGTTGCTTTCAGCAACTCTAAATAGTTATCTACTACCTACTAGTTCCAAAAATGCACTATTTCCACATCGACTAAAATAAACTATGTTGATGATTTCATATATTTTACCTTTACTTGTCTTTTACACATCTTTCATTAAGAAGGCAAACTCAGAAACAAGCCAGTCAATGAAAGAGAGACACCACATGACCTCACTTATTTATGGATGATAAAGAACATTATAAACTGAAGAACCAAAAGATAGATATACAGACAGTAAAGCAACAAGCAGACTTGTCAAATTACTGCGGGGAGGTTGGGGAGTTCTGGGGGAGATAAGAGATCAACCAAAGGACTTGTATACATGCATATAAGTACAACCAATGGACACAAAACTCTGGGGAGGGAGGGTATGTACGGGAGGTGGGGGAAGTGGTATATGTACAAAAATAATAATTTAATTTAAAAAATATATTATAAAAAATAAAAATAAGCCAAGACCGGTTTGGCTAAATGGATAGAGCGTCGGCTTGGGAGCTGAAGGGTCCCGGGTTTGATTCCGGTCAAGGGCATGTACATTGGTTGCAGGCACATCCCCGGTAGGGGGTGTGCAAGAGGCAGCTGATCAATGACTCTCTCTCATCGATGTTTCTAACTCTCTATCTCTCTCCCTTCCTCTCTGTACAAAATCAATAAAATATATTTAAAATAAAAATAAAATAAATAAAATAAAAATAAAAATAAAACAACTAAAATGAAAAAAAAGGCAAACTCAGACCACAATAATATCTACCGTATATTTTTTTACTCTACAAATAACCTGAAATTAGATATTATTTACCAACCTAAGTAAACGATAAAGAAAAAAACAGAACACCCACCACTCCTTTCTCCACCACTTCCTTAAGTTTAGAGCGTGTCATTTTGGGTTCCTAGAGAGGGGAAAATAAGAAGAGTCAATAAAAATCATGTAATTCTTGAATTTTAGAATGCTAACTTTGCCCCCAAAAGCCAAACTATTTATAGACTCCGAAGTGGCCTCCTACACTTAGCCAGTTTACAGGTAACTCTATTCCATCACATTAAAAAAAATGACAATCAAATACTCACAAACATGGGCATATCTTCAGTCTCACTGATGGCTGCTTTCATCATCGCTACCACATGTTCATTTGTGATTACTTCCTGCAGAAAGATGAAATTTCACATTACGCAACAAAGACGTGTCACTCGATAACACTCATCTCTCTGTGATTCTGCTAAGCATATGTAGAGACAAATGAGAGCTATATACTCAAACAGCTTCAGATTAGGGTAATGCAAGGCAACTAAAAGCAAAGAAGCAAGTTTTGCATAAAAACACACAGCTTCAAGCAATTTGACAGCTTATTAGCTGCTACAGGGAATAAAAATGGCTTACATAAAAAGAAATTCTGCCCTATCTGGTTTTGCTCAGTGCATAGAACATCAGCCTGCGGACTGAAGAGTCCCAGGTTGGATTCCAACTAAAGGCACATGCCCGAGTTGTAGGCTCAATCCTCCCCATAAGGGGCGTACAGGAGGCAGCCAATCAATGATTCTCTCTCATTGATGTTTCTATCTCTCAATCCCTCTCCCTTCCTCTCTAAAATCAATAAAAACATTTTTTAAAAAGAGGAAATTCTAGGTAACTATATACTTAGGAGAAACTAATAAACAAGTTTTATAAATAGCTGTGTTGCTACATATTGAAGATTAGTGCAAAGTACTATAAAATGTTAACTGGGCATCTTTTCAGGCATATTAACCCACAAAAGAGTAAATCCAGTATAAATATTATCATCACCAGATCTAATAAATAATACAGTAAACAATCAAATCAGTGAAGGCAGCAGAGGAACAGTTTATCTTCCCAGTTAAGTTCTTCTTTAACATTTGTTCAGATTTCAAATGTGTGCTGAGTGCAAAGAGAAATCTATCTTGAAATGTAAAATGTTTCGCCAGATAACTCACAAAATAAGTAATTCATATACCACAAGTCAAGAATTTCCCGAGCCGAGCCGAAACCGGTTTGGCTCAGTGGTAGAGCGTCGGTCTGCGGACTAAAAGGTCCCAGGTTCGATTCGGTCGGGGGCATGTATAATACATTGGTTGCGGGTACATCCCCAATGGGGGGTGTGCAAGAGGCAGCTGATCAGTGTTTCTCTCTCATCGACGTTTCTAGCTCTCTATCTCTCTCCCCTCCTCTCTGTACAAAATCAATAAAATATACTTTAAAAAAAAAAAAAAAAGACTTCTCAATATTTAAAAAAAAAAAAAAAGAATTTCCCGAGTACTTTTATTTGCTTCCCATAAAAAATTTCCACTCCAATTCCATAGCTGCCCCAGTCTTACTCACGTGAAGGATGTTTCGCACATTGACTGCTGTCAGATTGTGCTGTTTGGCGCCATCCTCTAAGGTACGGTCAAGCATATCGTCCAGTTTTGGGTCATAAGCCAAAGCCCCTTCTTCCTGACCTCTTCCATCTCGTTTCCTCTTGGTACCCTTTTTCTTTTTCTGCCTTTTCTCACTTTCTTCAGTGTCTTGCTCTTCTGCAAATAAACCAAGAACCTCACCAGAATCTCCAAAGTAATTGTTCCCCAAACTGAACCCCAAAAGGCAACGCTGTAAAGAGAAACAAGCTGCCAGCTGTCTGGCCCTGGAAATCAGAGTATGATGTGGTAGAGGCGGTGATGGTAGAGGTGGTAGAAAGTACAAAACAGATGAACCAATCTATGCTGCTAGAAGTCAGGATAATGGTGACCCCAGCAGTAAGGTGTTGGTAATAACTTAAAGGGAGTACTTTTGGGTACAGGTAATATCCTGTTTCTTTTTTTTTAAATGGGAATGTTCCAAGGAAATGTTTATCTATTTTTAGAGAGAGAAAGGGAGAGAGAGAGAGAAAAACATCAATCAATGTGAGAGAGAAATATCAATCAGCTGTCTCCCATACACACTCCAATTGGGAACCAAACCCTCAACTCAGGCATGGGCCCTGACAGAGAATGGAACTGGAAACAGTTGGTGTATGGGCTGACACTCCAACCGAGCCCCGAGCCAGGGCAGTAATATTCTTTTCTCGATCTGGTTGCTGGTTATATAGGTGTATTCAAACTCTGAAAATTCAATAACCTTTTATATCTTAGGATATGTGCAGTTTTCTGCATATTACACTTCAATAAAGAGGATAAAATTGAAAAAAGGAAAGAAAAAGAGAGCCTACCCATTGGAATAAAGAGTCCATCATCCTCCATCTCTTCCTCAGCGTGGTGATCTGAAGTCCTGCATGGCTTTCCTGGAGGAGAGGCACAGACATCGGGCTGCGATGATTTCCCAGGCGGGGCTCCTAGTTTTGCAGAGGGGCTGCCTGATGGCAAGAAAGGCATCTCTTCTCCAGAAGGCATCTGAGGTTTCTCTGGAAGAATCACAAACACTGCTTCACACTGCCACCATTCTTAGTCAGACTCTATTGTAGAAATCAGGATCTTGTTATAAAGTCCTTTTTAGGTAGATAATTTTGTTAATAATGCATATACTATACAGGTATTCCTCTCTCTTAAAGACAGTGTCCTAGAAAAATATTGAAATGATATTGAAATATGCTCACATCCAATTTACTCATCTATAATGTCAGGGAATTGAAGTAGATAATTGCTAAGGTCCTTCTAGCTCTATTATACTGAGAGCTATGCATTTATTTCCTACTAGAGGCCTGATGCACAAAGTTCATGCAAGATAGGCCTTCCTTACCCCAGCTGCCAGCACTGGCTTCTCTCTGGCAACTGGGCCTCCCTTGCAGCCCCGACTTCATCTGTAAAGTTGTCTGGCCTAATTAGCATATTATGCTTTTATTATTATAGACTCAGAGGCCTGGTACATGAAATTCATGCACTTGGTGGGGGGGGGCCCGAGTCCCTCAGTCCGGCCTGTGCCCTCACAGTCCAGGAGCACTCAGGGGATTGTCTGACTGCCGTGGAGGCAGGAGAGGCTATTGCCTCCACTGCTGCACTTGCCAGCCATGAGCCCAACATCTGGCTGAGTGGGGCTCCCCTGGTGGTCAGTGTGCATCATAGCAACTGCTCATTCTGCCGTTCCTTCAATTTGCATCTTAGCCTTTTATTATAGAGGATAGAAAGATCAGATTCGTAATGGGAAGAGAGGAGGTATTATATTGCTGATGACAAAGGGACACTATATAGTTGACCATTAACATCACATTTAATTAACTATAAGTGATATACATTATAAAACGTTATCAGAGGAGAAGTGGGTGGGGGAGGATGAAGAGGGTAAAGGGGGTCAAACATATGGTGATGGAAGACTAGAGTTCAGAGGTATAAGTTAGACAGATGTCATATTATAAAGTCTACACCAGAAATTTGCACCATGTTACTAACCAATGTTAGTAATAAATTTAGATTGTTTTAAAAATCTCTAAATTCCACTCAATAGCTGAGTGACACTGAACCCCTATTTAATTATCCACTCCTTATCTAGCACTCTGATCTTGTATTTTTCTCCAGTTCCTCCTGTCTTCATGTCACCATTACAACTAAGTTTGAAGAAAAGAAATTTAACAATCAGCCCCTCAAATATGTTCCCCATTATGATGGCATGCTTCACCATCTCCCAAACCAGATATCTTAAATCATAGCAGTCTCTGAGTAATATTAGTTATTTCTTTGTCAAGACTCTAAAATATAGTCTTTATTCTCTATCCTTACTGTCAACATCCTAGTCCCATCCTTTATAAACGTCTTAAGGGGGTAACAGCGAGGCTCTGAATACCTGGATTTGCCCTTTCTTTCTGAAGCCCTGCTACATTCCTACACAAACACAGCACTTCTACGTATTTTCAAAATGTGCTATTCTACTTCCACTCCTTCCCTACAATCTATCAAAACATATCAATCCTACAAGTTCCAAAAATCCTAATTACCTGTACCACACAAATTAATCACATATTCTTATATTGTTCCAAATGAACTATGCATTTATGTCTTGTCTTTCCAACTAAAGTATAAGCTTCCTGAGATTAGAACTATGTCTTCTGCTTCTTTTATGCATCAACAAGAGGCCTGGTGCACAAAATTTGTGCACTCGAGGGGAGAAGGGGTTCCTCAGCCCAGCCTACTCCCTCTCACAGTCCAGGAGCCCTCAGAGGATGTCCAACTGACGGTTTAGGGCCAGCAGCAGCTAAGGAGACAGGAGAGACTCCGGCCACCGCCACCACCACCACCGCACTCACCAGCCATGAGCCTGGCTCAGGGCTTCTGGCTGAGCAGCGCTCCTCCTGTGGGAATACACTGACCACCAGGGGGCAGCTCCTGCATTGAGTGTCTGCCCCTGGTGGGTCAGTGTGCATCATTCTGTCATTCAGTTGATTTGCATATTAGCCTTTTATTATATAGGATTAGCTATCACCTACAGCAATGTTTCCCAAAGTGTGGTATGCGTACCCACAGGGGTACGGGAAGAGTTTGATGGGGGTATGCGTTGCACCAGAGTTTGATGGGGATGTGCACTGCACCGTGCTTAGCTGCGCCTAATACATCCATTTTTTTTTTTTTTTACAAGGGGTACTCAGCATTACGAAAATTATAGAAGGGGTACACATATATCAAAAGTTTGGGAAACACTGACCTACAGGAAAAGTTCAAACACCTAAGCATGGAAAATAAAACCCTTCACAACCTAAGCACAATCTACCACTCTAAAGTCATCTCTCACCACTTCTTCCAAGCGATGTCACCATCCTCTTCTGCCTCTGACCTCTGGGCACACTACTGTTGGCCTATGAAACCCTATGCCATCATTCTGTCAAACTGCAACTCATCCTCCAAGTCCTAAGGGTTAGGTAAAGCCCTTCCCAATGTCCCAGGCAGGAGTCTCCACAAGCCCCACTTCATAGGTATGCACCAAATCACAAAAAGCTACACATACTTCATACCTCCAGACAAGAAAGGAGAGAGAAAGGAAAGAAGAGGGCACAGAAGATTTAAGAAATGAGAGGAGAGAAAACCTCCATCCATTCATAAAGCTCACTGCTGACCTTCGGAACTCTACAATTCCAATTCCATGCCAAATCAAGATCTCTTTTCAGAAAAACTACATTTTGTAAAGGCCCTGACAAGAGTGCATTAGCAAAGGCGAAGACATGCCAAACCGCTGACAAGGAAAACATTAAGCCTAAAGATCAGGCATATCTTACCTCCCTCTTCCTTGACTTCTTCACCAGGCTCTCCTGGAAAAGGCTCCTTGGTGACAAGATGATCCCCTCGGTCTTCTTGGGTAACTGGCTTGGGCCTGAGTGTGGTTTTCTTCCCTCTCTTTGAGCCGGTGGCATGGAGTTTTTCTCTATCAGTGTGTATGTTAAGGGGCTGGGAAGACTCCAAGGAAGGTAGGGTGATTCCCTTTGAGATGGCCACGTTAACCACTTCTGGAACTGTTGCATCTGTGTCCTGGGTGAGTACCCTGGAATTCAAAGACGGATCTTCCACACCAAGCTGATTTCCTGCATCCTGCACAGATTCAACTTCGAGACCAGCTGCACTACCATGACTTCCACCCCAAGACAGTGACGCTGACCCCAAGTCTTTACTCTGGTCAGATTCTGGTTTAACGGCTGCCTCAAGATCTAAGTCATCTTCCTCCAGGTTGCCCTGATGTTGTGGGAACTCAGTCACTGCAGTTCTTCTCTTCTTACTGGGCAACATTTTAAAAGTCCTACTTTTGTTCCATCCTAAAAGGATAAAAGCGAGTTTTTATCAACTTCATATTAACTATGATAATACATCCTCAAATATATTTTCCCTTTCTTATATTCAATCATGAACACAGTACTTTATATCAAATGCACCTCATTCTCATTAAGTGGAAGTGGACAGACAGAGGTTAGAGTGCCTGAGTTAAAATCCCAATTCTACCACTGATTAGTAAGTTATAATATCTTGCTTAGTGATTTAACCTCTCCAAACTTCAGTTTCCTCAACTGTAAGAAAGAACTGTTTTTACCTCATAAGAGTTGTTATAAGAATTACATAGAAAATGATGAGCGTGATTATTATTACCATCAGGAAGGTAGAATAGCATGATGCTGAGACCAAACAGAGTCAAACAATCTGGATTTGCTTCCCAAGTCTGATTCTCTCCAGCTTTGTGACCTTCTAAAAATTACTTAACCTGAATCTGCTTCTTCAGTCATAAACTAAATTAAAAATAGCAGTGACATCACTAGATAGTAATTTATTAGATCAATAAATGTTTTCTATTTTTGTTGCATAAATAAAAAGGTTATTTCATTAATAGAAACAATCCAAAAGCAAAATGTGTTTGTTTAAAGAGGTTAGGCCTTGCCCGGGACAGTGTCTCTCAGAAGTTAGAGCATGCACAGGCCCACACACGGAAGGCTACAAGTTCGATTCCTGCCAAGGGTATGTACCTGGGTTGCAGGTTTGATTCCCAGTCCCAGTCCGGGTGCAACCAATCCATGTTTCTCTCTCTTTCTCCCTCCCTCCCTTCCATTCTCTCTAAAGATCAATGGAAGAAAATACATATTCTCGGGTGAGGATTAACAAATAAATAAAGAGGTTAGGTGATATTTTCAGAAATTATTTTGTGTTGTAAACAAGAGAGAGATTCCTACTGTTCTCTGTACTACGGTACTTCTGACTCTTGCTTTCAATTCCAGTTATCACATTTTAAGAGCAACACTAACCTAAATTGGATGGTCTCTTCTTTTATGTTCTAGAACCTGTTTGCAAACCTCTTTTATAGTAATTATAACTTTTGTAATTGCCTCTTGTCTGACTCCTTCCCATCTGCCTCCACAAAAAAATACATGGTTTTTTGTTTGTTTGTTTTTTTCAGGAAAAGGACTTTTTCAACTAGTACCCCTAGCACCAGGCAGTATCTGCCCTATTGTCAAGACTGAATGAATGTTCCCTAACTACATGAATGAATGGAAAAGAGTGTGGCTCCAGCTGGTATGGTTCAGTTGGTTGAGTATCCTCCCATGCACTGAGAGATCACCAATTCGATTCCCTGTCAGGGCACATGCCCAGGTTTCAGGTTGGATCCCCAGCAGCAGTGGAGGCAGCAGATTGATGTTTCTCTCTCTCTCCCCCCCTCTCCCTTCCTCTCTTACTCTGTGCTTATTTTATGCAGCATTTAGACCAGAGTTAAGCATTATACGGAAACTTTCTACCCAAAAAAACTTTACCCAATAAAATAGGTACAAGAACAGAATAAATTATCTTGTGTTACAGTGAGTTCTTCATCACTGATAATGCCCATCTACCAGGGCACTAGATGAAAGTCTGGACTACAGGGCTGCAAAATAAAGTTGTTGGGTTTTTTTCCTCCCTTTTTAAATAATTTCTCGTATTTAATGCGTTGAGAGAGAGAAAGAAACATTGATCTCTTGTTCCACTTATTTATGAATTCATTTGTTGATTCTGTGTGTGTGCCCTGACCGAGGATGGAACCTAAAACCTTGGCGTATCCTTTCCGGCACTCTAATCACCTGAGCAGACCGGCCCGGGCAAAGTTCTCACTCTTAAGGAGTCTGAACTATAAAGTTAGTTCTAAACCTCCCTAATTCAGTTTCCACAGATCATGAGGAGAGATCTGCCCCCACCCTCCAGTCTACCAACGCCCTCATCTTGGTAATTAAAGCTCAAGGGAGGGTGGTAAGTGGGTGAGGGGGTGGGAGTAGCTTAGGCTAGTCCAGTATTTTGCTGATGAATTAATGAAAAGGGGGGGAAATATTAGGAGGGAAAAAAAAAATAAAGTCAGCTACCATTTAAAGTCAGCAGCGGCACTTATAACACAGAAATTCCAAAGAGGCTCACCTTTTAGGAACTGGAGTGAGACCGACAGGGTGAGAGAATGCAAATCCGAAGGTAGCCCCGGCGCGAGCCCCTCCTGGGGATAATGTTCAAAAGGGAGACCGAACTGCGCTTTTCACCTAGGCGCCGAGCACTGGCCCAAGCCCCCGCGCCGGGCTCGACCCCCTCAGCCCCGCGCCAGCCCTCCGCCCCGACCCCCTCGGCCTGGACATCCTGCGCCCTGACGTCCGGCTCCCACAGGCCACTTCCCGCCTCTCGGCACGGGACACACTCCCCTCACCGGCGACGGATCCCGCGGAAACTCGGAGTCCGTGCCACCGGAAGTCAGCCAGCGGCCGCCACTTACGTGCGCGCTCCCGCGCCGTACGTAGTGCGCGGCGTCAGGACGTAGTGCGCGGCGCCGGCCCACTTTCGGGCGGAATGAAGCCGCAAGGCTAGCCCGTCAGTTGTGGTCAAAACGATTTAAAGAAATACCTCTCTTACTCGGTCCTAGCGCTACTCGCAACATAACTGGGGATGGTGATTCGTTAGTTGAACTTGATAACTAACCCTTCTTGCCGTGGCACACCTGAAAATACGGGACCAAGGAAATGGAGAATTCAGAAATTTTCAGGAAGGAATCCCTGGGTTACAAATAGTGCAGTTATTTCTACTAGTGAGTCCTGGAGTCACTCCAGAGTAATGAGTACTCATAGCCGTTTTACAAAATGCTTTCATTTATGTTATCATCGGTGATTTGATCTTCACGATAATCCTTATGGAACAATGGACATTATACTTTTAAATTTACACAGGACAGCCCTAACCTGTTTGGCTCAGTGGATAAGAGCCTCGGCCTGTGGACTCAAGGGTCCCAGGTTCGATTCTGGTCAAGGGCATGTACCTTGGTTGTGGGCACATCCCTAGTAGGGAGTGTGCAGGAGGCAGCTGATCGATGTTTCTAACTCTTTATCCCTCTCCCTTCCTCTCTGTAAAAATCAATAAAACATATTTCAAAAAAAATTTACACAGAACAAATTTCTGGTTCAGCTGGATAGGTGATTTCACAAAGATACACACAGCTATCCAGAGGAATCGGGTATCCTTAACTCTAGCTTCTACTGCATTGATCCCATGTCCGGGAAGCATAGTTGATGTTCAATAATTCAATACTTGTGTTTTGAACAATGAATGATTCCCAGAGCCATCTTCTTTCCCCTTTTCTGGAAGAAAATGTCAAAACTGGAAAAATACACTCAACTCTCATTTCACGGGTGAACTATCAACAAATATTTTACGGATTTAAATAATCCATTTAACCTGATCCTATCTGTAAACAGAATCGACAGGATGAAAGGATCCACAGCCAAAATGAAGAGCGAAATTAATATACTCATGGGCACAACTGCAATCTGACTCTAGCCTCTATCACCCTCACTCTCTCAAATGCCAAGGAGGCCTCTAGAAGCTTGGCGTTTCATTTGTGGCCTGCTTTTGAACCTTCAGCGTATGAGTATCTTCCCTGGAAAAGGTTTGTTGCTCACAGGGTTTCAAATATCAGAGCCTCTGGTCATCTGTTGGTTTGCACATCCTCTCTCTCCTAAGCAGCCCTAAAGCACTTTACACTTTAAGAAAGAAATATGCAGCGCTGATTAACTTTGGCGTTCTTCATTATTTATCTTTTTATTTATTTATTATTATTTTATTATCAATATTTATCTGTTTTTCAACATCAATTTTTTTATCTGCACCCGAGGGTATTTTCCATTGTTTTTTTTAAATATATGTGCTACTGAAGCGAGCACATTCCATTGACTTTTTTAAAGAGAGAGGGAAAGACAGAAATATCGATGTGAGAGAAACATTGGTTGGTTGCCTCCTGCACTCGCCCTGGAGCCTGCAACCGAAGTGGACGGAATCGAACCCAGGACCCTTCAGCCCGCAGGCTGACACTCTACCCACTGAGAAAAACAGGCTAGGCTTCATTAGTCTTTTTATAAAAACAGCTTTAATTCACACACCACAAAATGCATCTGTTCTACTTGTATAGTTAAATTGTTTTAAGTAAATGTTCAGAGTTGTGCATCCATCACGAGGTTTCATCTTCAATCAGAGTTTGTGTTTCTAAAGTTTAAGAAAGTTTCCATAATAACCTTCAGTGGGTTCGGAAATGCATGAAAACAATGGCAATTGATACTGAAATGCAAACATATAGAACTTTGTTTTTCCAAAATCCTGGGCTCTCTTTCAGCCAGAACATTCCGCTGCTATATTAAGCCCAGGGGATCAGAACCACGGGATCTAAATTTCCTCTATGGTACCTGCACTTCTTAAGTCTATCCTTGGGTTTTGCTCCTTTAGACCAACAAACAGCCTGTCAGTGGGCGGGTCTTATTCTCAGGAAATCCCGGTGATGGGGTCCCCTCCCAGACATCTTCCGGAAAGGGGCGGGCACTGCCTTCCGGAACTTTTCGGACAGAGGCGGAGTCTCCTGCCGAGGACGGCTCGGAAGAAGGCGGGGCCTCCCTCGCATCAGGACCAGTCTGGCTGCACCTGCATCCTTAGCTCAGAGCATCCCTGGAGCATCTGAAGAGGCGACCGCAGCTGGCAGCCAGGGACCAGGCCGTCACAGGAGGCATCCACCAGATACCTCCCCCCTCCCCTGACCTAGCGCTGCGCAGCGGCGGCCTGGGTTCTGACCCAGGGTTCCCAGAGTTGTCTGACCATTGCAACGGCCTCTACAGCAATAGCCGCTGATTACGACATGGCCGAAATCACCAATATCCGACCTGGCTTTGGTAAGTACAGACGGCCCAACTGAGCCTGCGGTAATCGGAAGAGTGGTGAAGCTAGGGGAACCCAGGCAAGGGCTGCAGGAGAAATGAAGCCCAGACCAGGGTCTCCAAGGCCAGCCCCGCTAGCATCGGGCCTGTGGCGGTGGGTGGTGGGCAGTGGGCAGAGCCTGAACTTAAACTGTGGCCTGCAGAGGCTGGGAAGGCTAGAGAGACATGGAGGCCCCGGATGGGGTACAGGATGCTAAAAAACCTTGCACGGTGCACCGTCAGCACTGCTGGAGGTGAGAGCTAGGGAGCTTGCAGAAGATGCGCACCCCTCCTTCTGGGGGAGGAGAGGTGGAGTAGGCCGAGCCCTCCCCCTTGGGGCACGCAGGGCGGTGCCCCTTCCTCCCCACCCTAGTCCTCCGAGCTGCTGCGGGGGAGGGAGATGACAAGGGGGATGGGGCATCAAGATGGCAGTGTGGAGGCTGTGGGCTGCGTGTGGAAGGCAGCCAGGGGGAGGCAGCGGCCTCCGGGGAGGGAGGTGCGGGGGTGGGGAGCTCAAAGGAAGCCACTCCTTAAGCCGGTCAGCTGGATGCTGAGGCGGAGGGGAGCCGAGAGACCTGCAAGTTGCTATTCTGCATCGTAATGGTGGGGTCCCTCTGATGCCACCAAATGGCGCTTGGTGCCGCTGGGCAAGGGGATGACGTGATGTCTATTTCTGGGCCTCCTGGCAGTGCCCAGGCGCTCCCTCCCAGGCCTTTTGTTTCCCGTTCTCTGGGCTGGCTTTTCAAATAGGGGGACTCACCCGCGCTAAGCGCTGGAGCTGGTGGGGGCCGACCCAGGCCGGCGGGGGAGGGGCGAGAGAGGCCCGGCCCGGGGGAGGCCGCTTTGTGTACCAGAGAAAGCATTACGTCACCTCGGCGCCGCTCCAAGATCTGTTAACATTTCTTGGAGCAGAGAGTGGAGTGGAAAATAGGAAAGATGGGAAAGAAAAGCTCGAGAGACAAGTTTTTTCCCCTCTTAGGGAATTCCTCCAAAATATGCTAGGGTCACAAGCTACCTGTGCTGTGTTTTCCCGGTGCAGAAATAAAAAATAAAAATAAGAATTGCCCTGCTTCTCCCTCCATTCTACTTACCTCAGTATGGATGGTAGAAGCCAGGGAGAGTGCTGTCTGTCAGGCAAGGGCTCCTTCATATTCTTTAAGAGATCCTAAACCTGAGACGAATCCAGAAGTTTTGAGCATCCAGTGTTGGGGTGGGTCCACAATCCAACATGGAAGTGGCTTTTCTCACTCTCCGGTGAGAGGCTTATGGAAATGAGCAAAACTCAATGTGCTCCATGCTCTCAATATTCGAAGACATCAGACTAGGGCAAGTATCTACACAACAAATCACACCCATTAGCTTCTTGTTCCCACTGATTCTCAAGGCTAAATCTTGATATATGTTTCTTCCACTTCACCTTCTGCATTGCTATTCTTTGAGTCCTAAATTTCTAAAATAGATATCTCGTTGGTGATTGCATGAGCACCCTATGATTTTCTTTCTGCTCTTTCTTTTTCTTCTGATGCCTTCTTTCAACATGTTGTTTTTTTTCTAATTGCATTTCCCAATTCTTTAGAAAGTGAGATGGTGGGATTTCCTTTAGAAGGAATATTAGTGGAAAAGAGAAGATAAGTTTTATCAGCCTTTTTCATACTACATTTTATTTAATCCTTGCAAATATCCTCTGATGTAGAAATTATTATATATGCTTTCTCCAGGTGAGGAAACTGAGGCTCAGGGAGATAAAAAGATAAAAGTTACATGAGATAGTGAGGGTCATGCCAACATCCAGTTGATGCCAAAGTTTATTCTCCTATCTGTATCACACATGACAGGGAAAAGCTGGGTTAGTAAAGGAAGTCAGTAAGAAGGCTGGTCAGGGACCCACAGAGTTGGGCATAGCCTAGATGTGTCTCACAGGCCTTCCAACTCTTACAGAAGCTTTCCAACGAAGGAACTGTTACTTCTGACTTTTTCATGTCTCGTAGAGTACTTCCCTTCAAATGCCTTAGCCCTTGGGAGATACACCAAGCCAACGCTCAATTAGCCATGACCTTAGAGCACAAAAGGAGCAAGAAGCATCGGTCACTGCAATTTACAACTACTTTAAGCACTCACTTCAGATATTAGTTCCAACTTCCTTTTCCCACCAACCTTTTGACTAAAGCAAGACAGAGGGTTCTGAGTTTCAGCATCCCTGGTTTTTCTAATTAACTGCCTTGAGTGTGGGAAGGAGAGGCAGAGGTTAACAAATAATTGAGAAAAAAAATAGGGCAAAAGTGGGCAATAGGGTGGAGAAAAGCACATAGGTGACTTACAAATGGATTGATCAGTTTCTCTTCTTTTCCTTCTCTGTCCTTCTGACGGATAGGAACCCTTCACCTTCTTTCTTACCCAGACCATCCACATTTTTTAGCAGTAAAAGCCAAGGCATGGGAAGCCACAGTGGGTTTCCTTTAGGGATCACAGAGTAAATTTAGGGTAGATCACAAAGGATCACTCACATGTCTCCCAACATGGCCTTTCGATCTCTCTTTCAAATCATAGATCTCTCAGTAGTTCCCTGCTTTCCGCTTCTCACAGAGACAATCCATGTTCAATTTCACTAATCATTAGCAAGCAATTTTCAGGAAAGTCCCTTCTTGGTGAATAGAGAGCCATTTTTTTCCCTTTTTTTAAAAAAAATATATTTTATTGATTTTGTACAGAGAGGAAGGGAGATAGAGAGTTAGAAACATCAATGAGAGTCATCGATCAGCTGCCTCTTGCACACCCCCTACTGGGGATGTGCCCGCAACCAAGGTACATGCCCTTGACCTGAATCGAACCTGGGACCCTTCAGTCCCCAAGCCGACGCTCTATCCATTGAACCAAACCGGTCCCAGCAAGAGAGCCATTTTTTTCAGCGTGTGCCATTTTGATTGACAATTGAAACCAATCAGTTGTTCAAATAAATATTTACTGATCTTGTGTTAGATTTGAGAGACTCAGGGACTCAGAGATGAGCAGGATGTTATTTCTGCTTGCTGTTCCATTTTGTGAAAACTCTTTCCCTAATAACTCTTAATGCTCTGTGAATAAACACTAGTATTATTTAGTATGGACATGGTCACCTTGATTTATTTTGTTAATGGCTTTATTCCTTAACTATATTGTTTTATAATATAACTCTTCCTTTTCTTTTAATTTTTTAAAATTTTTATTGATTTTAGAGAGAGGAACATCGATTTGTTGTTCCACTTATTCATTCATTGATTGCTTCTTGTATGTGCCCTGACCGGGGATCAAACCAAAAACCTTGGTGTATCAGGATGAACTCTAACCAACTGAGCTACTCGGCCAGGACTAACCCCTTCTTTTCTCACCTGGCCCCAGCTTTCATGAAACCATGGAATGTTTGAAGTAGAAAAGACTTTGGAGATATTTAGCACAATCTCCATGGAAGAAATTCCTTTTAGAGTATCCCTAACCTCTGATTCAACCTCTGAAAGTTTTCAATTATATAAAGCAGTCTGGGCTACTGTGAGGCAGTTGAAATAATAATTTGACTCTTTTCATTGAGTCAAATCTGTCTTCCTGTAGCCTGTACTTGCTGGTGCTGGGCCTAACCTCCAACGTGAAATCAAATCACACCTTCTTCCATCACAGCATCGTAAATAATTGAAGAAAGTTATTATTCCTAGACCTCTCAGCTCTTTCAGTTCCTTCCATTTTCCTTCATTGGATGTGGTTCCCAGGTCTTTTACTCTCCTGATTATCCATAATGTAGAGACATTTTGGCGTCAGGAAAATCAGTATTTAAATCCCATCCCTGCCATTTGCCATTACTTGGCCTTGGGCGGATTTGAGTCCCCAGGTTTCTCCATTGTAAGTGAGTATATTAATAGTACCTATTTAATGAGTTCTTTGATTCAAAGAGAGGAAGCTCTAGTTCAATGCCTGGCAGGGACATAATAAATGTACAAAAAAAAATCTGTGTTTATTCCTGTCAGTGTAGACTGAACACTCCATACATATTGTGACCAGTGCAGAAGAGATTATACTACCCTCCTGTGAGCCTTTTGTATTCAAAGCATAAGTTGGGCTTTAACCGGTTTGGCTCAGTGGATAGAGCGTCGGCCTGTGGAGTGAAGGGTCCCAGGTTCGATTCCGGTCAAGGGCAGGTACCTTGGTTGCAGGCACATCCCCAGTAAAGGGTGTGCAGGAGGCAGCTGATAGATGTTTCTAGCTCTCTATCCCTCTCCCTTCTTCTCTATAAAAAAATCAATAAAACATAGGTTGTTTTTTTTTAAAGTATAAGTTGGCTCTAGCCTGATTATACTCCATGCTTGTGGTCACCCAAACTGCTAAGTGATTTTTGCTCATCCTTAACAAGTAAGGTCTCCCGTTGCTTATTGGTAGGTTTTGAAAACCAAATAGAATTTTAAATTTTCCCTGATATATGTGATCATATTGACCTTCCCCTCTTGTTCCAATCTGTGGAGGCTGTTTGAATTTACTAACTCATTTGCTCCTTGAACACTTAGCAGCTGCCACATGGTTCTAGGACCTGGGGATACAGCAGTGAGCAGACATTCAGTATTCTCATTAATTTATCTGGTGAGGAAAAACAGAAATTGTTGGGCTCATTAACTACTATGAAGAAAAAAATAAAGCAGTAATAGGGATATTCTCTCACGTGGGGCAGTCAGGAAATGATTCTCTGATAAAGTGAAGTGTGAACACAGGTCTACAGTGAGAGGCAGAGAGCCAGGCAGACCTGGTGAAAGGATGTTCCAGGAAGAATCTGGAATATTCTGGAATCATACTTATTTTCTCATTTCTCCCTGCCCAAGTCTTTCCTTAAAAAAGTGGGTTTGTTACGTTTCTGCTTCTATTGAAACAAAATTATGTAATAACATTTCAAATTCAAGGGACCGTATTATGGCACAATGGGTTTCAATATTTGTGATTACCACAGAAGATTGTAATTTGTGTGTGTATATACATATACATGTTATTAATAACATATAAGTGTATATATATGCAAAACATTAAAAAAAAAGTTATGTGGGGGTAGTTACAAAATAGTAACTTTAATGGGGATGTATAGTACAGCATAGGAAATATAGTCAATAATTTTGTAATATCTATTTATGGTACTATTTGGGTACTGGAAATATCAGGGAGAACACTTTGTAAAGTATATGATTGACCACTCTGCTGTACACCTGAAATTAATACAAAATAATATTAATTGTAAAATGTAATTAGAAAAAAATTAAGCAAGTCAAATAATGTAGAAAACTAGAGGCTGTATCGAGACCAATTGGCTTCAGGGAACTTAAAGGGGAAATAACCCCAAACCTAATTATCTAAGTCAAGGGCCAACTTGTGTGGGGGAAAGACAGATAAGACTAAAGGAAAGGAAGGGAAAAAAATCTGTTTCTCTTTACTTACTTGTTTATTCAACAAATATATATTAAGTGTCTTTAGTGCTGGGGATATAGAAATAAACAAAACAAACAAAACGCCTGTCCTCATAAAACTTATATTCTAGTGAAAATAGATAATAAACAGTAAATTTATATGTGTGTCTATATATAATCTTGTGTATGTGGGTGTGTATGAGAGAGAGAAAGAGAAAGAAAGAGCAGACACATGGAGAAAATTAAGCAGGGCAGACGTGTGGGTCTTTGGGATGGAGAAGGCTGCACTTTTGAATGGGGTGGTCAGGGAAGATCTTACTAAGAAGGTGACATTTGAGCAAAGATCTGACTTTTCAACAGTCTCTTTATGTCTCTTTCTAAAATTCTTCCATTTTTAAATATCTATGAGCTGAAATTTAGAATATATTTTAAAAGTACTTAGACCCTCCCTGGCTGGTGTGCTAAGTGGTTAGAGCATCCACTCGTGTACCAAATGGCCTCAGGTTCAATCCTGCCCCAGTCAGGGCACCTGCAGGATGCAATCAATCAGTGTGTCTCTCTCTCACATCAATGTCTGTTTGTCTGTCTCTCTCTCTCTCTCTCTCTCTCTCTCTCTCTCTCTTCCTGCAGGATGCAATCAATCAATGTGTCTCTCTCTCACATCAATGTCTGTCTGTCTGTCTGTCTGTCTGTCTCTCTCTCTCTCTCTCTCTCTCTCTCTCTCTCTCGCCTTCCCTCACACCCTTCCACTCTCTCTAAAAATCAATGGGAAGCCGAAACCAGTTTGGCTCAGTGATAGAGCGTCGGTCTGCAGACTGAAAGGTCCCAGGTTCAATTCCGGTAAAGGGCATGTATCTGGGTTGCGGGCACATCCCCAGTAGAGGGTGTGCAAGAGGCAGCTGGTCGATGTTTCTCTCTCATCGACGTTTCTAGCTCTCTATCTCTCTCCCTTCCTCTCTGTAAAAAATCAATAAAATATATATTTTTAAAAAATCAATGGGAAAATTATCCTCGGGTGAAGATTTAAAAAAAAAAATACTGTTCTTATTACCATCTACCCCCTTTTTTTTTTTTTTTTTTTTTTTTTTTTTTTAAATATATTTTATTGATTTTACACAGAGAGGAATTGAGAGGGACAGAGAGTTAGAAACGTCGATGAGATAGAAACATCGACCAGCTGCCTCTTGCACACCCCCTACTGGGGATGTGCCCGCAACCAAGGTACATGCCCTTGCCCGGAATCGAACCCGGGACCTTTCAGTCCGCAGGCCGACGCTCTATCCACTGAGCCAAACCGGTCCTGGCCCATCTACCCCCTTTTGCTATCCTGGAGCAACCTACTAAAACAAAGTCAATCCCACATCCTTTCACCCTCCATGGCAGCAAGTCAACACAGCCCCATTGCTCACAAACCCTGCACGAGATGTGGGATACCCTCTGAATCCAGACACACCTCGTGTCCCGGGGTGACCGCTGGGCTGAATGGGTTCCCATGTAAAAAGGTGACCTTCCAACACCCACAGGGCAGTTTACGTGAAACAAATCGTTATTAGAAAAACCAAGTTCATACGTGCGAAGGGAAGGCCGAGAAAATAACGGAGTTGGTTGGGCACTCAGGGAAGTCTTTCTGGGGAAGGTGAATGTTTTGTCCAGGTTTGGTGGAAAGGAAGGGCTGTGGGTTGGTTGAGAGGAAGGATGAGGGCACTTCAAAGAGAGGGGATAAGTTCTCAAGCCCCGGATGAGCAAACTGTGTTTTGGAGGCCAGGCTGGGATGAACTTGGCTCCAGCAGGGGCCCCACGTAGGAGAGTTCTGGGAGGGGGTTGAGGTCCACCTGCCCTAACCATCTCTGGTCTCCACCCTCAGATATGTCACCGGTGGTGGCAGGCCTCATCGGGGCCTCGGTGCTGGTGGTGTGCGTCTCGGTGACCGTCTTTGTCTGGACGTGCTGCCACCAGCAGGCAGAGAAGAAGCACAAGAACCCCCCGTACAAGTTCATTCACATGCTCAAAGGCATCAGCATCTACCCAGAGACCCTCAGCAACAAGAAGAAGATCATCAAAGTGCGGAGAGACAAAGATGGGGGGGAAGGCGGACACGGGAACCTGTTGGTGGGCGCAGCCGAGGCCGGCCTGCTGGGCCGAGACAAGGGCCCCAGGCCACCGAGTTCTGGGTCTTGTATCGGCCAGTTACCCATCAAGGCGGACTACGGGGAGGACCTGAGGAGCCCCATGGCCAGCCTCACCCCCGGGGAGAGCAAGACGAGCTCTCCGTCCTCCCCGGAGGAGGACGTCATGCTGGGATCCCTCACCTTCTCGGTGGACTATAACTTCCCCAAGAAAGCCCTGGTGGTGACAATCCAGGAGGCCCACGGGCTGCCCGTGATGGACGACCAGACCCAGGGCTCTGACCCCTACATCAAAATGACCATCCTGCCCGACAAGCGGCACCGGGTGAAGACCAGGGTGCTGCGCAAGACCCTGGACCCCGTGTTCGACGAGACCTTCACCTTCTACGGCATCCCCTACAGCCAGCTCCAGGACCTGGTGCTGCACTTCCTGGTCCTCAGCTTTGACCGCTTCTCCCGGGACGACGTCATCGGGGAGGTCATGGTGCCGCTGGCCGGGGTGGACCCCAGCACGGGCAAGGTGCAGCTGACCAGGGACATCATCAAAAGGAACATCCAGGTGAGGAGGACGTGTGTGTGCTGGGGGAAGGGGGTGGGAGGTTGGGGGAGACAAGATCTTAGGGGACAGATGGAAGGGGGAGGGCACGGAGTGGGTGGCAGAGAGGGACTGTGGGGCAGGAAGCTCTCACCTGCCAAGCATAAGCCGTGGTCAGAGGAAGACGGAGGGCCTGGCAGGCTGGGTCTCCTCTAGGAAGCAGCTTCTGGGAGAGAGGGAGAGGGAGCTTCTGAAATTCCACTTGGTCGCTGGGATCCTAAGCCTGCACCCAGCCTGCTTAGATGGAGGGGCTAATTTTTTTTTTTCTCCAAAATAATGTGTGATCTTCCTCTAGTGAATTTCTCACAGCTTTGAAGGTAGTTCAAGAATTTTCCCCCCATGCCGAGACCGGTTTGGCTCAGTGGATAGGGTGTCAGTCTATGGACTGAAAGGTCACGGGTTCGATTCTGGTCAAGGGCATGTACCTTGGATGCACGCACATCCCCAGTAGGTGGTATGCAGGAGGCAGGTGGTCAATGTTTCTAGCTCTCTATCTCTCTCCTTTCCTCTCTGTGAAAAATCATATATTTAAATATATTTTATTGACTTTTTACAGAGAGAAAGGGAGAGAGATAGAGAGCTAGAAATGTCGATGAGAGAGAAACATCGACCAGCTGCCTCCTGCACAACCCCCACCAGGGATATGCCCGCAACCAACGCACATGCCCCCGACCGGAATCTAACCTGGGACCCTTCAGTCCACAGACCAATGCTTTACCACTGAGCCAAACCGGTTTCAGCAATAAAATATATATATATATATTTTTTTTAAATAATAATAATTTTCTTCTCTGCTTTCCTTTCCCAGCAGCAGATATTCGGTATACTTATTACGTTTATCTAGTGAGGAGAAAACAATCCTTAGGGGTATAAATAGTATCATGTCTGTGTGTCTTTTAGTAACCATTTCATAAATGCAATTTAATGGATGCTTCGCCTCCGAGCCCCTGAGCCAGGCCCAAACCTCCTTTGCTACAGTTATTTCTCTCTTTTCCTCCTCTGTTTGCATGAGAAGCTGGGGGTGAGGGGGTGGGGGTGGGGGTGAGAGCCTTCTCTCCCACTGGGCTAGCATTGGCTCTTGAGTTGTCATTTCAGGGGAACAAGCAATGTGTCCCTGCCCTGGGAGGCAGTGTAGTTCCAATGGCTAAGCCCTCAGGCTCTGGAGTTGGACTGTCTGACTTCATGTTCCAGCTCACCCTTTTCCAGCTGTGTGACGTGGGAGAATAACCCTTCTAAGCTTCCTGACTGACACACACACGCACACACACACACACACACACCATGTAAAAGGGAGCTAATACTGCCTTCCTTGAGCAGTCCGTGGCTCAAATGAGATAACATCCCCGTACCTCAGTGCCCTAGGGGAGGAAAGACAAACCATTTTTGGCGATTACCATACTGGCAGGAGTTTTGAAAGACGCTGTTGACATTTTAACGCAGAGTTTCATTTATTTTTTAAGGATTAAATGTAAGTGGTTAATAGCAAGGGTTTTGAAGTCAGACCTGAATTTTAATCCAGGAGACTGCGCAGGGGGCATTTACCAAACGCCTGGGGAGGTGGGGAGGGGTTGGCATGAGCCAGACTTTTTTCTGTTTTATTCACTCCCCTCGGGAGGGATAAGCCAGGGCTGTAATCCTTAGCAACACCTTTCCTGGGAGAGGCCCCACACAGGGCACCCAGAGCCGGTGCAGAACCACACCGGAGCCTTCCAGCCTCTGGCTTCCTAGCAGGGTCTTCCTCACCGACGGGCAGGGCTGTGTTCCAACCTGGGCCACGACCGTCACCTCCCTGACCACTCATCCTGGCCATCCCTAGCCCCGCAGCCTCCCAGTGCCACCCGAACCCTCCTGCTTAGCTAAGAGTCTGCTTGGCCTCTGCATCTCCCCTGAGCTCATCGGTTAGAGCTGCTCAGGACCACTCCACGCTGTCTGGAGTTTTTTTGTTTGTTTGTTTTTTGTTTTTTTGGGGGGGTGTCTGTGTAAAGCATTCCTTTATAATATGGGGCCCAATTATCCTCCTCCAAAGATTCCCACGTGGTGGTGAAGATTGCATTTCCTGGCCTTCAGTGGAAAGTTCATGTGTTGGTCTTTCTATTATACAGTGCAGTCCAGTTGACTAAGCCCAGGTCTGATCATTTCTGACTCTACCCACTTCACTATCTTAATCTGGACAAGGAATTAACATCTCTGGGCCTCCGTCTCCCTCTAGGCTGGATCAGGAAGGTTCCTGGGATCACATTGTGTGTGCACTCTTGGTTCTTATGAACATACAAAAAGATATAAGAAGCATGAAAAATTAACTCTTTTTTTTTTTTTAAATATATTTTATTGATTTTTCACAGAGAGGAAGAGAGAGGGATAGAGAGTTAGAAACGTCGATGAGAGAGAGTCATCGACCAGCTGCCTCTTGCACACCCCCTACTGGGGATGTGCCCGCAAACAAGGTACATGCCCTTGACCGGAATCGAACCCGGGACCTTTCAGTCCGCAAGCCAACGCTCTATCCACTGAGCCAAACCGGTGCCGGCGAAAAATTAACTCTTGATGATTAGTAAAAGGAGATCACAGTATAAACTCTAATACGCAAAATCTCTGAATTGGACTTTGGGACTTGGTGTGTGTGTGTGTGTGTATGTGTGTGTGTGTGTGTGTGTGTGTGGCAAGCAGCTTTTTTTCCCTAGTATTTTATTTAGATAGAAATTAATGTGAATTTATATTCCCATAATAAATTCCCCACAAAGAGCAGGGAGACCATGCAAAGAGGGCCGGGAATAAAGCGGAGACACTGGGAAAGAGAATTAGAGTGGGTACTAGAGAGTTGTCGGACTCCTCATTTCTTCAGGTCATTGTTTTCTTGTCTTTCCACCGTCCAATCTAGTGTTGCTGACCTGGGACAATGGCCACTTAACGAAAGGATTCTTAAGACCTCAGATTGACAAGGGACCTTAGAGGTCACCCATGCTGGCCAAAGGGGCTGGAGAGAGAGGAGGAGAAGGGAATGCCACTTTCCCAGGAACCATAAAGGAGCTGCTCTGTGTGAGCAGTGGGGAGGCTAAGAGGGCGGAACATGCAGGGTTTTGTTTCTCTCGTTTTCCCACGATCGTGATGGATGTGGAGGTGGCCCTTCGCACCTCTAACCCAGGGGAGGTCCACTGTGGGTGTGTGGCTCCCCTAATGCAGTGACTCTGTGGCTGGAACATCACTGGGGAAGGGGCTCTGCTAGTTGGAGGAAACCGGTTTCTCCCTCCCCTCAGGGTTTCTGTCTGTATGTCTGCCGTTAGGACCCAGGCTCCTGTTCCTCTTTTCCCCTGGGGGAGGGCAAAGCCTCCCAACGGGTTGGGCACAGACAAAACCCTTCCTCCCCCTCGTCCTTCTGCTCGCCTGCCCCACAACAGGGTCTGTGCCTCATTAAGCCAAGGGACTGGGAAACAGAGCTCGCTCCCAGCCCTTGACAAAGAGCCTTTGAAAAAGAGTCATTGGCAACGCTGCTTGGAATGGGATTGGGTGGGGAGAGAAGGGGAGGAGGATGAGGGGACATGAAACTGTTCTTCGGTGCAGAATGGAATGGCATTCAGGTAGTGCTGTGGCTGCAGACTTGGGTATCACAAAGGGGCAGCTGAATGGGGCTGGCATTCTGCCCGTGTAAAACGACATAGGTGGCCGGGGGGGGGGGGGGGGGGAGGAGCGTGGGGGGGGTGTGGGGGGAGGTATGAGGGTGGAGGAGGCAGAAGGAAGACAGTTGCCTGAGGAGTGGTTTTAGGGGAGAAAAATATTAAAAGGGTAACCAGAAGTTGTCCACTTTCTCAAAGACCTAGGGAAGGGACGTGGAGAGTTTGGATTAGGGCGATTTTGCTATAATGAATGATTTAGGAAACAGTCTTAAACAAATATTGAGAAAATGTAATAATACTATAGTAAGTGGTCATTTTTTTTAAAATTGAATGAATTTGAGAGCGATGTGGTGAGTGGGAGGGGGAGAAACATCAACATGAGAGAGAAATGCTGGTCAGTTGCCTCCCACAAGTGCCCTGACCAGGGATTGAACCTGCAACCTGGGTATGTGCCCTGACCTGACCGGGAATTGAACCTGCCACCTTTTGGTGTATGGGACAATGCTTCAACCAACTGAGCTACACCAGCCATGGCTAAAACTCTGTGTTATTTTTTTAAAACAAATATCCATTTAACCCCATGTATCCTTCTTCTGTATATAAAGTTAGAATTATATTTAAAGATCACATATTTAATATTTAGATACCAGTATTCAAGGATAGTCCATTCGTGGAAATGGAGTTGAGCAATGGTCCAAATAATCCAAAGGTTAATCCAAATAATCCTTGCTTTCTAGATCAGCTCTGTCTGCTGGGACTCTGTGATGGTGAAACTGTCCAATATGGTAGCCACACAAGGTGTTGAACATTTGAAATATGGCTCCTGTGACTGAGGAACTAAGATGTTAATAAGTTATCACTTAGACACATGCAGCTAGTGACTACTGTATTGGATAGCTCAGTTCTGAAATGTCTTGGAAGGTATTTGATTTTCTTTCTCATGGGGGATTACTTCCCTAATGCCATTTGGCTGTGAGTAACAATAAAAACGAGTTTACATTCTCTGGTTGTATTCTGATTTGTGTCCAAAGAAAGAAGTCCAGGAGTATACTGGTTGGCAAAGGCAACCAGCCTGTGATTTTAAACTGGCTGAGAGTACTTCCTGTGGACATCATCAAAAGCTGACAATATATATGTGATGGGTAAGGAAAAAATGTGAGACTTCCATCCACCAGAGAAAAGCTATCAAATCTTTTTTAAAGACTATTGTTCTCTTTAGTACTTCAGTTTCAAAATTAAATTGTAGTTAGTCCTGTTCTATGCCCTAGGGGAGACATTTTCATATGCTCCTGGTATGAAACATAGTCTTTTTTTTTTTTTACAGCAAAGGTAGAGATTTGTTGAAGAACAAGTACAAACTCCCACGTAGGGAGGGGGAAGAACGGACCCCACTCTCAAGTTAAAAAACTTGAGAAATTTTTTAAACCACATGAAATAATCTAATTCCTTATTATCACAACTTTCTTCCCTGAGATGATGTGAGGCTTATCATCAAAACACAAACGGTTAGTTTTTCCCCTTGTTTTTCATTGATATGCTAATCAGATTGCTGCTGTTGTCCTTTCCTGTGACAGACACACCTGAGCAGGTAGAGAACTAGCCTCTAGCTTCTGAGGGTAGGACTCTTCATTGTCTGTTTTTTCAGCCCTGGCCGCTGGCAGAGTGCCTGGCCCTTAGTACGTGCACAATAAATCATTTTGATGGACATGTGAGGCTGATAGTGAGAACAGTCTATTTTTGCTCGAGCTAAGAAAAATTCCTGAACTAGGTAACATTTCTTTGGGCTATGAATAACACTAGGAATTAGATTTGATAGTAGGCCCTAGCTGGGTGGCTCAGTATCATCCCAAATACCAAAAGGTGGCGGGTTTGATTCCCAATCAGGGCACACATACCCAGGTTGCAGGTTCAACCCCCGATCAGGGCATGCATGTATGAGAGGAAACCAATTGATGTTTCCCTCTCTTTCCCTTCCTCACTCTCTGAAATCGATTAAAAAACAAACAAACATAACCTCGGGTTAGGATAAAATAATAAGCTATACATATGTATATATATATTGATTTGATAGTGGCGGAATGATTTTGTCCCAAATTTAACTTGTGTCTTAAATTCCTCAAGTTCTACCTCCTTCTGTTTTCTTTATCTCAGCCTCAGCCCCACTTTCTAAGCTAGAAACTCAATAGTCCTCCAACAAGATAAAAACCAACAAACAAATATTCCTCCCTCTCTTCCTTCTCCCCTACATTTATGTCTAATTAGCCACCCACACCTAGGACATCCTGACCATTCTCCGTGAGATATATCTTACCTCCATGTCCCTCCCTTCTGCCATAGCCCTGGCTCCAGGCCTCCTCATTGCTTCCTTAGCCTACTGCAGCAGCCCTTAGCTGAGCTTTCTGACTTTGGTCTTTCTCCATTTTTCAGCTCTCACTAGAATAATAATTTTATTAATAAAATATTAAAAACAACCATCCTAACTTTGCCACTCCTACACTTACAGATCTCACCTAGCCTGGGGGTGACTCTGCTGTATGGCTAGAGTGCTCCCGGCTCTTTCCCTTCACCTCTCCCACCTCCCCAGGTTCCTGACTCATCACTCCAGCCAGGCCCCCATCAGGAACATGCGCCTCTCACATCCCCTGAACACAGTGTCCCCTTTCAGGGCCCCAGGCCTCTGTACCAGCCACTCCTGCCACTCGCCTGGTGTGAGCCTCCCTCTGCCCATTGTCTCAGGGCCTCTTACTCACCCTTCGAAACGCAGCCCAGATGTCAACTGGCAGCGCCTTCCTGGATCTCCTGGCAGCACAGGGACAGGCTTCTTACTGCTCTGCTTGTTCCATCTTTGTCTCTTCTGTGCAGAAAAGTCCCAGGGTGCATTCTGGTCAAGGGCATGTACCTTGGTTGCAGGCACATCCCCAGTAGGAGGTGTGCAGGAGGCAGCTGATGGATGTTTCTCTCTCATCGATGTTTCTAGCTCTCTATCCCTCTCCCTTCCTCTCTATAAAAAATCAAAAAATACATTACAAAAAAAAAAAAAAAAAAAAAAAAGAACAAGACGGGGCTGCCTCTCCATGCAAGTGATCTTATTCAGCATCCGGATGATAATTGGAACCTTTCCTTTTATCCCTTCCCTGTTCAGTGATGGTACATCTTGCTGGGGGATGGGTACCTACCATACAGCCTTCCCCTCCCGGTGCTTCCTCTGCAGCCTCTCGTCCCTCTCCTCTGCCTCTTCCTGTGCCAGGCCCTGCTCCCCCTGCCGGGACTCTCATGTGCTGTTTTTCTCCACAGAAGTGCATTAGCAGAGGGGAGCTCCAGGTATCTCTGTCCTATCAGCCTGTGGCACAGAGGATGACGGTGGTGGTCCTCAAAGCCAGACACTTACCGAAGATGGATATCACCGGTCTCTCAGGTAGCAGCTATTTACTTCAACCTATGTCTAAGTGTCTGAATGACACCCCCTCCTCCTGCCTGAGGCCAGATACCCCCCCCCACACACACACAGCAGGACCCCTTATACCTGTCAGTTTGCATGCGTTCCTCTCTGTGTCTGCTTCCTCTCCCTGGTGAATATCTAGGTTATAGATTTTCCTGGGCAGGGAAGTGCTTTGTGTGAGCCAATGGGATCTTGACCTTTGGGGAGATGCCCTCATAGGTGCCGAGTCCTCACTCCAGGCATTTGTTGTGCTGTCACTAAAGACCACATAGGGCCACAACCGGTTTGGCTCAGTGGACAGAGTGTCGGCCTGCGAACTGAAGAGTCCCAGGTTTGATTCCGGTCAAGGGCATGTACCTTGGTTGAGGGCACATCCCCGGTGGGGGGTGTGCAAGAGGCAGCTGATCCATGTTTCTCTCTCATCGATGTTTCTAGCTCTCTCTCTCCCTTCCTCTCTGTGTAAAATCAATTAAAGATATTAAAAAAAAAAAAAAAAAAAAAGGCCACGTAGGGGTGGCCACCAAGGACATGGACAACAGAACCCCCTCCATCCCAGCATGAAACCACCATTATCCAGTAGAGGACTGTGTCATAGGCCTTTTTTCTTTTTCTTTTTTTATTTCCCTGGGGGCCCCAGATCCTTACGTCAAGGTGAACGTCTACTACGGCAGAAAGCGCATCGCCAAGAAGAAAACCCACGTGAAGAAGTGCACTTTGAACCCCGTCTTCAACGAGTCCTTCATCTACGACATCCCCACCGACCTCCTGCCCGACATCAGCATCGAGTTCCTCGTCATCGACTTTGACCGCACCACCAAGAACGAGGTGGTGGGCAGGCTGATCCTGGGGGCGCACAGCGTCACAGCCAGCGGGGCCGAGCACTGGCGAGAGGTCTGCGAGAGTCCCCGCAAGCCGGTGGCCAAGTGGCACAGTCTGAGCGAGTACTAGCCCCGTGCCCCTTGCCTGCGACCGCGGGGCCGGGCTGGGCAGGGACATGGTGGGGAAAGAGGTGACAGAGAGAAGCGGACTCAAAACCTCACGTTAGTTGTAGAAGAACATTTCTTACAAAAATAAACCCTACAAAGGACACCCCACGTGACCACAGCTGCAGATCAGTTCTTAGAGATGATGATTTCTCTCCTTTGCAAGGCACTAGAAATTCTTTTTTCTTTTTCTTTTTTTTAAATGGGGGAAAAGAGAGAGGGAAAGACCTCTACAAGTTTCTATATAACAATGTAACCTATACTTGCATGTCTAATACAAACAAGAAATTAGCCTAGCTGCCAATATCCAGTTGCAGATTTTAACCCAAGAAAATTGTGTTTTGTGCTGAACTGTATTTGCTGATCACCTGAAATTGGCCTCTTTTCACTGGGCTTCTCTGAACAGTTACTCTCCCACCTCTAAGGATACTTTGCTCTTGTAAAACCTCGTATTTTCATTGTCCCCATCTTTTCTTCCTGTTCCCTCTGACACCTCTGCTCTTTTATTGAGCTCCAGTCAGAGGTCTGTAGTAAGCCAAGAACAAAGGTGGACTGGATGTGGCCGGGTTCCCACGAGAAAGACTATTTGAGAGACGGGTCTTTGCTGTCAGCTCTCCTGCCATGAAGGGGTAGACGGCAGCCTATGACTAAATTGTGATGAAGCACATGGACACGTGGGACTCATGAGGTAGAATTGGGTTTACAAAACAAGATGATGTCTCTAAGCAGAGCTGTGGGAATTTCAACGTCAGCTATAGGATAATACCCATGAACGCATCCTGCTGATCCCAAACACTTATTTGCAGGTATGGAAAGGAGAAAGGAAATGGCTGCAAACCCCCCCCCCCCCTCTTACACACACTTTTGCAGCTGGCTGTGGAAGCAATAGCTATTTCTGGTTGATGGGTTAGAAATCATCAGATGTTTGAAGAATTAAATTGGCCTTTGTTTTTCCAGAAATTCTGACCCTTGAGAAGCTAGAGTCTTCTCAAGTAAGCTTAGGTGTGGTTAGTGGTTAGTTTTGCTTTATAAGGCAAAGGGCCTCAAAAACTATTCTGACATTTTTTAGCAATGACTCTTAATAATAGCAGTGGGACTGAGTCATAAAGGTAACTTGGATTCTTTCAGGACATCTTTTCCCTCAAAACAAAGTGCTTGGTTCCTGGAACTTAAGAGTCTTAACAACCAGCTGGAGGCATTAGGGGAACCATGGAGTCCAACCCTCCTTCCGCCAGGGGGCACAGAGGTTGAGAGCATTCAGATCCTGCTGGGATTAGAATTCAAGCCTCTTTTTTTATTCCCAGTCCAGCCATGTCTCTAATGTTGAGACTTCTCATGGTGACGGAGACTTCACTGACAATACGTATGCTTGGATAAGCAGTCGGTATTTTTGCTAGCCTGAAGAGGAACTCAAGTCAGCAGCAGCTTGAAGCAGAGTCTAAGGGATTAGCTAAAATGGAAGGTCCACTTCCATTCTGAGAAGGGATTAAAAAGCGGAGTCTCTGTGGAGAGTGGTGATGTTGCCTTTGGTGTTCCCTTAGCTCTTGTGGATTTAAAACCTATCTGCTCCTCCCCAATCCTTTTTTTTTTTTTTTTTTTTTTTTTTTTTTTAACCTTGATTCTTGACAAGGCAGAGCAGTACTGAGCAGGCACAAAGTCCTCTCTGTCCTTGTCCCTGTCAGCTCTCACCCACTACAATCTGACTCACTCTCCCCCCATCAGTTGGGTTCACACCACCAGTCTCGGTCCTATACTCCATGGGATGTAAATACTGTATCATACGTAGAAGAAAATAATTTTTGTTTTCTAAAAATGGCATTTTGAGATAGTTTAATGTAAATCTAACAAGAGCACTCTGAAACCCCGTTAGGAAAAAAATTTAAATGATTCCTCTTCATCGCCTTAATGTCTAAAGATCAGAAATTGCTGAGCAATCCATTTTTGTTTCCTTCCCAGAAACAATGCAAAGCAACAGGTGGAGATAGTCTGATCTTTGCCCTGCTGTGTGTGCCTCTGTAGCTCCTCCTGGTATAAGTATGGGAAAACAGCCTCACCCCACTCTTCTCTTTCCCATCTCCTTGTAGCTTTATTCCTTGAATTCCTTGGGTCTACTGAGTAGTGGGTGGTGAGGTGACAAGGGAGGAACCGGTAGTTCCGTAGCCTATGAGCTGCCTCGGTGTTTTTCTCAGAAAAAGGCCAAAAGGAAGTACAGGTTTCCTCCCTCCTACCTCAGGCCTGATCCATCGTGCCCTTGACTTTGCTGTCCCAAAGTTTCCTAACTGACTTTGGCTTTCACATTTGTTCCTCCCAGAGCTAACTGATGAGGGTGGAAGAGGAATGCCTCCTCCTGAGAGTCAGTTGAAAGACAAGAGAGTCACATCCTAGTTTTTGCACAAGGCACTCATGGTCAGGAATAGGTTAGGGAATGGTCACTTCTGATTTTTCCAAGAGTCAGTTCTTCCCTGCTGATATCTTGATTCCTTTGGGAAGACAAGAGTTTTTCTTAATAACAAAAGTCCCTTTATGAGTTACTCCTTTTTTCAGTTCTCAGTGGAGCACAGCCAAGATTGTACATGCTTATAAACAGTGCTCTAGGTATGAAAACAGACAGAACTGGTTTGTGGGACAGGGAAGCTTGCTCAAGAGAGGGAATTACGCAAGTCCTTTTTCTTGGAAGGCTTTTATGATGGCCGTGATAGTGACATTTCCCTCGCCATGATCCTTCTCCAATGTGGTTGTCTTTCTTTACCCTGTGTCTTCTCTTGTAAACATGAAACTCAAGAATAAAATAAACGTGTCAAATTAAAAAAAAATCTGAAAAAGCTAACATGAATCGTGTGAAATTGCATAAAGCCGTAATGCTAACCTACAATATGTAATGCTATCTTGTATGTTGAATTTGTTAATGCACCGCACAAGTGCAAAATAAAAACTGATTCCCATGAAATAGAAACTGTGATGTCAGCATGGTTCTCTTGGAAGCTGGATGACTATGAATGAATACTCAGATTCTAATAGGATGTTTTCAAAGAGTGGGCCTCAGACCACCTGATGCAGAATCATCCGGGACACTTGTGGGAAAATGCACACTCCAGATTCCTGTCCTAGCGACTCTTGTTCGGTAGGTGACTTGGTTTGCTGTTTGTCCTATTACTTTTTCTAGTCTTTCTTGCTGTCCCTTTAAAATGTAACTTCTACGACCATAACCTCCAGGGGGAGAGATGCTGGTTATGAGTGCTGAGAATTACTCTGCCCCTGTAATTGGGAACATTTATTCCAAAAGCAATGCCTAGACTGACTGAGGTGGTTCACTCATTCATTAGTCAACAGCTATTTACTTGAGTGTCTACCATATGCCACATACTGGGGATACAGTACATTGATAAGCAAGAGTCCTCTTATATAGCTTAGCAGAGGAAAAGCATTAATTAAATAATCACAACAAATGTATAGATGCAAACTGATAAATGCTCTGAAAGAAAAAAAATAGGTACTTTCAACAATAAATATTTAGAAAAAGAGAAAACATAGGTTACCTAACTGGTTTGGCTCAATGGATAGAGCGTGGGCCTGCAGACTCAAGGGTCCTAGGTTCGATTCAGGTCAAGAGCATGTACCTTGGTTACAGGCACATACTCGGTAGGGAGTGTGCAGGAGGCAGCTGATGGATGTTTCTTTTTCATCGATATATCTAACTCTATCCCTCTCCATTCCTCTCTGTAAAAAAATGAATAAAATACATTTTTTTTTTAAAAACATAGGTTAATGCAACACTCTGGAGTCATATACTGGGATAATATGACCTCTGCAAGTGCTCTTTGTGGATTTCTGAGCCTGCCTTAAAGTCTGGAATGATTCAGTTTACATATTTTCTCTAAATGATACTGCCTGTGTACATGCTTGGGGTAGAGAGAATGAAAGCAGGAGAAAAAGTCCCTGCTCATTGAAGTTTCAGTGAAGGAACAAAAAAATTTTTCAAATTATAAAACTAATAAACACAAGAAAATTGAAAAATAAGAAGGGAAAAATCAATAGTTTCCAAAACCTAAACAACCATTTTATTTTCCAATCTTATTTTCTGTGCATTTTTTCCCTGATAACGTCACTCAGGATCATTATAGAAAACATGTAAAATAATAAGTTCATAGAAATAGGAAAAGTATCCATCTACAGACAAACATTAATCATTTTGGCACATTTCATTCCAATTTGTTTTAGCTATCTTATTGCAATCATGGGATGTATATATGTCCCTCTACGTAATCGTTTTAAAAACAGGGACATGATATAACAAAATGATTGTAGGAATAACTTGGAACTGAAGGTGATTTTGGCTACCAGTACAGGAAACCCAATTCAAGTTGGGTTAAGCATTAAGAAAATGTATTAGTTCACCTGAAAGGACTAATTAGTTCAAAAGTAGGGAGCATCCTTTAGAGCTAACTGGCAAAGGGTCACTGAAACTGTCAGGGACCCAGGTTCTTTCTGTGGGCCCAATATGATATTCAAAATAATGAACAGTAAGATTACGCTACTCAGCAAAGCTCTCATTAAAATTGAGGCTCAGATAAAGAGCGTCACAGACAGGAAAAAGCTAAAGGAGTTCATCACCAGCAAACCAGTATTATATGAAATGTTGAAAGGTATTCTTTAAGAAGAGATAAAAAATATGAACATTAAAATGGCAACAAACATATATCTATCAACAATTGAATATAAAAATCAAAACAAATAAGAAGTCTAATGACACACAAAAAAGCCAACAATCCAATTTAAAAATGGGCAGCTTTGGACGAAACCGGTTTGGATCAGTGGTGGAGCATTGGTCTGCGGACTGAGGGGTCCCAGGTTCGATTCCGGTCAAGGGCATGTACATTGGTTGTGCAAGAGGCAGCTGGTCAATGTTTCTCTCTCATCGACGTTACTAACTCTCTCTCCCTCTCTGCAAAAAAATCAATAAAATAT